TTTAAAGAATATTGGGGTTCTGGTTCCTTTGCACAACGCGTGCATTTTATTACCAGCTTGGTGAGAAAAGAAACGAAAGCTTCTTCTAAACGAAAGAAGACCGAAGGAAAACATAAAATTCGGGAGTTTACACATACGTACCACTTACGAATACATGGCATCGAACACAACATTTGCAAACAATGCTTTCGTAAGACCTTAGGAGAAACAAATACATTTTTGGAAGTATGCAGTCAAAAAATAAAGTTGAACTGTTGTGGAATATATTTATGAAAGTGATCGTAGAGGGAAGCAACCACCAAAAAACAAATACACAGATGATGCCATCAGAGAAGTAACGGGTTTTTTTTTTCTAAATTCCACTTTATCAGAGCCACTACAGTAGAAGAGACACAAATAAAAAATATTTACCTCCACATTACACAATTTCCAAGCTGTATAATCAATACCTAAGTGAACCAACCGATATTAATATTAGTCTCACCAAATTTGAAGAAATTTTACATAGACTTAATATTGGGATAAAAAGACCAAGCAAAGATTACGTGTGGACAATGTGACAAACTAAAAATGAAAATAAATTTGACAAGTGGTGAAGAAAAAACCAAAATTCAAGAGGAATTAGACTTACATTTAAAAGAAGCTGATGAGTATTACAATTTAAAATCCCAAGATAAGTTTTTAAGTTCATGGCGAAATACCTTTAAATTGTTGATCCTTTTGATATTATCATTATAAATTATTGAGTCTTTCACAAGTGTTGATTTAGGTACTAATCATTCAAGATCTTGTTCTCATCCAATACACTAACTTATATTTGATATCTCAGATTTAGATTTAATTTTGAAAATAAGAGTAAACGATCTAACAGACATTATTTCAAGATTTATAAATAAAGGCCTGCAAGTAGTTTTAGGATTGCTTTTAGTTATAGGTGTATGTCTAATTGTTCGTTTTTGTAGAATAAGCATCTTTTATAAACAATTTTGGGAATAGATGCTCCAAAAGGGAATGCTATATCAGATATTCTATCATATAAAGCAAAGTAACTGCTTACGGCTGTGATTTATCTTATGTAGTAACTAATTGTTATAATAAATGGAATCTTTGCTAGTTGAGTAAGCATTTGGTCTACATGGTTAGTAAAATTTAATTTATGATCAATGGTCATTCCTAAAAATTTGATGGTTTCTGTTTTGTGTATCAAATCATAGTAGGTATAGTCAACGCCAAACAAAGTGGCGTGCACGTCATCACGATAAAAATTCCCCGACCTAATGCCTAGGTTTCTATCACAAACAATTGCTCTATTGCAGTTTCATATTAATGTGATATATAAATTGTAAAATGGTCATTACTCTCTTATTATGGTTAATAGTCATATAAACATTGTTATTAAAATATCACATAAGTTGCTTTCTGATAAATTTAGACGCATTATGCGAAATAAAATGTTTTGCAAACGCTCCAATCACTTATCGACATGTAAACGCACTAAACCGATTTCGCAGCGTTGACACATTGTCACCTTGAAACTTATTTAAACTGGGAACTGACATTTGTATTCATTTTGACACTGAATCAATTTGTGGCATTTCAAATCTTTATAAATCCTTTGGCCCCGCATACTGTAAATTTACCAACTGCTGTTTGTTTCAAAACAAAATTATTCATTTTACGAGTAGATAAAGGCAATTTTGGTATATAAAGATGCCCAAACAGTTAAATAGTCGGTGTAAGGAACTCGTGGCCTCGTTAATGCACTACTTTGAGCAAGAAAGGGACAACAACGGGCCTTTGTTGCCTTTAAATGCTGTTCTAGAGGTAGGTTACTAATAATTATATGTAATGTATATTAATAATAGTGAAATTTTATTTCATTTTTTGTAGCGTGTTGCTGCTGCTTTAAAAATTAGTTTAAGGACAGTTAGTCGTATTTCCGAGGGTGTGAAAAGTGATGCAAATTTAGAATCGCCCAAGAAAAAGCGGAGTTATATTAAACGTGTAACCAACACAGCGACATTGGATACAAGTGCCATTCGAGAAGTGATCTATAATATGTATCACAAAAGTAAGATCTTATTATAATAACTTATCAGAAATTTGCATTAATTTGTTAACTAAATTATAATGTCATATTACACATGGTTTCAGAAGAACAAGTTACGATACAAACTTTATGGTCTCGATTAAGAGATAGGGCATTATTTGATGGTAGTGCCACGTCTTTAAGGCGGTTGGTTAGAGATCTTGGATTTAAGTGGCTTAAGGACAATCCGCGACGAGGGCTCATGGAACTACCAAGTATAGCTTTGAAAAGGGTGGAATTTCTAAGGCAATACAATCAAGCCAAGGTTGAGGCCTTATACCAGTTTGTCTTCCTCGATGAAACTTGGATATTTCAAAATGAGACCATAGGTCGCTCTTGGCAAAATGGAAACCAAAAAAGCGTGAAAGCTATTAAAACAGATGGTAAAAGGTATGTACTTTTACACAATTTGCACTATAAAATTTAAAACTAATATATTTTAGATACATTATATTACATGCTGGAAATGAAAATGGGTTTATTGAGGGTAGTGAAGCGATATTTTCTTCGAAAACAAAATTGAGCGATTACCATGGAGAGATGAACCACGACAATTTTTTGAAATGGTTTCAACATCAGTTATTAGAAAAATTGGAGAGTCCATCTATGATTATACTGGATAACGCCCCTTATCACAGCATGATATTGAACAAAGTGCCCAACAATGCATGGACAAAAAAAAATATCCAAGACTGGTTGACAAATCAAAACATACCATTTTTAAACACAATGTTTAAAACAGAGCTATTGAGTATTGTTGCTCGGTACATAATGCTTCTTAATTATATATATTTTGGTCGACAGTTTATATTTCTTTTGTTTATTCCTATTCTTAAAATAACTGCTTTTTTAGAAACAAACCACCTAAAATATACGTGATTGATGAATTGGCGGAACAACATGGGCACAAAGTTCTTCGTCTGCCTCCTTACCATTGTATATTTAACCCTATTGAGTTAATTTGGGGCGTAGCAAAAGGTTACTATAACAGACATATTGGTAGAGATGGTAACAGTGAAAAAGACTGTTTGGATATGTGGAACGAGGCTCTACAAACGGTTACCCCAGACATGTGGAAAAATAGTGTTCGACATACTGAGCAAGAAATTTTTAAATGGTATGAAAGAGAACGAATTTTTGATCGACCAGACATCGAACCTTTAATAATCAACTTTGAGAGTGATGAAGATTCAGATTCAGACAGCGCTGAAGAAAGAAACTCCGACTAACTTTATTGTACAGAAAAAGCGTACACCAGTAGCTTACCTAATTTTATAATGCATTTTTCTGTATGAATTCTGTAAAATAAATACCATGCATAAAATTTGGAGGACCCCATTTGGATTTTTATTCAGTACCTTTAAGCTATCAATTAAATATGGTAGTTTCATAGTGTCATCTGATCAATAATTGTCATACTTAATGATTATGCAAGTACAGATCTATAATTTTATTATACTATTATTTTTGTTCTCATTTGAGGTTAATATTGCTTATAAACCTAGATATGTAAATAATAAATTTTATTATTTTACAAAAAGTTTGGCGACAATGTAAATTTTTCAACACACCCACCTTGATGACGTGCACGCCACTTTGTTTGGCGTTGACTATATATCCTTTAATTTACCGGTTGATTCCATCAGTGATGGATCCGGTGAACTTATGGTTGACAGCTGATGTGATGACGTCAACAACCGGTTCCGTTGAATGGCGGTTAATAAAAAGACTCATTTTTAGCCTTCAGGTTGCTGCCATACGAGAAAACCTAACCTTTGTTTTATTGTGAATGGATACTTGTTAATTTGAACTGCATATCATTTAAAATCATTATGGCAATGTACGCAGCCGTTGGTATTGTGGTAGAACGTTTGTTAAACGATTCAAGTGATGATTCGGATGAAGAAGTTATCCAGTGGAGAGAAAGAGCACATTTTCAGTTCTGCATTATTCAAAATAAAATCACTTGCCTTCAGATGCTCTGATTATTTCGAATTGTGTTACAAAAACATTAAATTTCAGGCCACTCCTATGCTGTAGCATAACTTCAATCTTTTCTTCTTCCATTTTTTCACACAAAACTGTAGTTATCAAAAAATGGTAAAATGTAGAGTATAGAATATCGTGGATCAACCGAGCCCGAACGTCGGTGGATGCTGTTGGCACCGGTGGCATATCCACCATCAAATTAAAGACAAGTTTGATGTACAACCGGTCGTTCCAGCGGTAATTAAAGGAAGTAAAATTGCATAACCGGTTGCACCGGTATCTCAACCGGTGAATTAAAGAATATACCTTATTTAAATTTATAGAATCAAGGAGCATTTAATTGTCATGAATTTGCTTTTACATTGAAAGTAAAGCATTGTTAATACACCATTTTTTGATTGATTGTTTATCTCTGTAAATGTTTCACCTAATTTCATTTGCCATATATCGTCAGTAAACACTATGCATTTACCATTTATGTATACATTTATCAAATCGTTAATCTAAACTAGAAATCGGATCTAGTACTAATCTTGCTTTTATACTTAATTTATTTGAAGTATAATATCTTCATTCTCTTACAATTTCAATTAAATGTATCATTTTTTCACGTAGAAAAGAGCCCCTGACCACCTTGGCACATTTCTTATGTGCTAAAGAAAATGCAGTATAATGATGAATTAGCACTAACTCTGTATAGCCAGTGGCTTTATTCACGAGGCTGTTCGTTGCTTTGCAGTTGCTTCAGCGAAAAATCAAAAAGCAACGCAGCCGAAGTGGAAATCGGCCATGGCGTTGCTTTTGATGAAAACAGTGCCCAAGACTGCTTGTCATACAGCATTGTTACAATTCGCTCTAACCCGAAGTTTAGTTTTCCGCGCTGAATAAAATATTCAGTAATTATCATTCTCTTTTTGTGTAGGAAGAGGTACCAGACTACGTGTTGCAGCAATACGGCTATGATACTGTCACACCTCGAGTCATACCTCCAAAGGATCTGATCCATCTGTACACGTGTTCAGAGTATTCGGACGCTACCGAACTAGAGTTTAAAAAAGCGATTGACATATTGCCGTTCGTCGAGGATCCCGAACTGCGCGAGGAAATGCAACTGAAGGTAACGCTGAAACGTTTTATAGGAACGTTCCACATTATTAACACGCTTTTATTAGCTTGACCTGCATGTAACGGAATCTTTCAACCTAATGTTCACCAATTTCAAGAAGTCTGATTAACTTGAAAATTTGCAGAGTGGTCAACCGATGACAACACCATAATTTTTCTTTTAAAAATTTTAGATTTGAAGTATATTACCAAAAATCGAAGCTCTTGATTAGTACTTTTGTTAGGCCGATAACAATACAATAATCTTGGAAAAGAATTCGAATTTGAATATTTAAATTTTGAAATCTGAAAAAAAAATTGGATTCGAAAATTATAAAATAATTGGAAAATTCGGAAAACAATTCAAAAATTTAGAAAAAAGGAATGTTTTGAAATTTTTTTGGAAATTTTGATATTAAAAGTAAACTTAGATTTATTGTCTAATATAAAAAATCGAAGCTCTTGATTATAAGTATTTTGTTGTCGTTTTGACACTAAAAATTCAGAAAATAGACGATCGTCAACTAAAAAAAACTTTAATATAGCAAATCGAACTAAAAAGAAAAAATAATTTTCAAGTATAGGAGAAGGTGTTACTGCAATAGAACATCCAGCAATCAAGAATGATTAATTAATTTGGAATAAGATCAATATGAAAATTAAGATATTACCAAGACCACGTGCAACAGGTATACGGTGATAAATGAAATTTTCTTTCCCCAAAATGTAGTTTTTAGTTTTTAATAACTTGTTTACTCTTTCTATTTTTTAATCTGTTCGGGTTTATTGACAGATGTTAGTAGCGCATAGCTGTGTTCCATCTCTAACAACAAACCCTATGTGTCCGGTCTTTTGTTTTTATAATTGTAACAAGTGTTCTCATCCACGCTTTCGTTTTAAAACACCATTTAGCAGCAACCTCACCGACGACTCCTGAAGATGACAACATAGTTTGTCAAAAGCTTGTGATTTCAGTCGAAAGAGTTCACTACGCTTTAAGTTTTGCCAATTCCCAATAAACAATTGCAGGGGCCTCGGTTGGCCGCGTTGGTCAGAGTGTCGTGCTACTGATCAGCCGGCCGGCCGGGCCGCGAGTTCGAATCTCGTCTTCGCCATGGATGTTGTGACGTCGTGTGTTTGTCCATAATTAGAGAAATATAAGTAACACACATCTGTGGCAAATGGATAACTTCCAATGCCAAACAAAAAAAAAAAAATTTAATTGCAATGTTTCCCAACTGGTCGTTGGCAATGGCAATGACTAATACTCGCATAATATATATATATATATATATATATATATATTATTTTCCTATTTTTGTTATATACCTTTCTCCGCATGATAATTTACTATACTCGTATGTATATATATATATTATCATGCGGAGAAAGGTATATAACAAAAATAGGAAAATAATGGGCAAAATCCTCAAAAAGAAGGAAAGTGCATTCGAGCAGAAAATAGGATACTTATTTCTGTTGGTTGACTTCATCAGGCCTGAAATGAATGCACATATGCAACTACAAAAGTAGATACACATGTCCCTACACCCGGATACGGGTTTAACCTGAGGAAACGAAGATGGTGAGGGGAAAAATGACACACGAAGTCCACAACAAGACCAACCAGCAGAAATACGTATCGTTCGGGTTACCTATCCTATTTTCTGCTCGAATCCACTTTCCTTCTTTTTGTGGAGTTTGTTCATTATTTTCCTATTTTCCGTGAGTGCGACCACTTACTCGTATTATCCGACACATTGTATATACAGAAAGAAGTATATTGATTGATTTCACCATTTTAGATTTGGAGAACTGCTATTCTCAGAGACAACTGGAATTATCAAAATTTGGATGCGCCACTGGAAGTCCTGCAAAGGACATTATTTTTCAGAATTGTTGAGCTGTCCCTCGTCTTAGGTGAGTTACGTAATTAACTCTTATGAATGAATTAGACGATATGTTGGCTGTCTTGATGATACTCTCAACTAGGGATGTACCGAGTACTTGGTTTGTACCCGGTACTCGGTCCAAGTTACCGAGGTTTAAATTACTCGGCCGGGCAATTGTTCGTCCTGAACTTTTGTAAATCAAAAAATGGCCGATGTGATGTGCAAAGGCTGAGTTTATATGCCTTTCGACACCTTAATAATGCGTTCGCCACGAAATTAAAGCGCCATCAAAAAATAGCCAGGGTTACAACATATTTTTGCCAGAATCAGTCGCGTAATTTGGATAATTTTTTTACCGTCTTCACGTAAGCTGTGTGCTTATTACTTCCCGTGTCACTGGAGAGGAAGTATAATCGCGGAAAATGTACATAATGTCAAACCATATCAACTCATTTCCGTCGGTCTGTCTGTCCGCTAATCCTTGGCCCATCTATAACTTGTACCGCTCGGATTTTTATGAAATTTTCACACAAGGTTACCACTATGCCAAAGATAAAAAAGCTATGCAGTTTTTGAAAATCGCCCCAGTGGTGGCAGAGCTAAGGCAAAAAACAAAAAAGCGCTTGAACATCGGTTCCTCAGAATATTCAAAAACATTTTTGTAGGAGTTAAACATTGGAGATTGTAGGGGTCATATATTTATACGCTTCCAACCCCAGTAATTCGACGCACCACCTAATACCACCACCACTTAATACTTCATAGACTTCCCCGTTCATTTGCCATTAAAACTTATGCGAATAATAACGAAATATTAAAATAAACGCGTCCCATTCTATTAACGAACGGGCATACTCGTATACCTGCTTTGAGGGCTGACCGATAGGAGGCTGAAACACCATACTGGGTAGTTGGAGAGTGATGTTAGTCACAGCAACCTTTCCAAATGGTCGATAATGTATGGGAACTATGAACCAATTGTATGGGCCTGTTTGACTGACTTGTCCAATTATATTCCTTTGTTTTAAATGTTTGAAGGGCTAACTTGTGTCAAAAAACTCATTTATGGACTGAGGTCAGCGTTGCATGTGAAGTATAGTCAACCTAGTCGATTGCCATTTTTTTAGGGCAGTACTCCATGTTCTTTCATAAAAAGTAGGGTAAGTTCATAGAGCAGCTACTATAGCAACAAATAATGTTCATATACCTAACTATTGCAATACTCTTAAATATCAATAAATATAAACTTCTGAAAATATCCTAAACACACTAACCTAGGAAGCTTCACTAACAAAAAAATGTTTAAGCAGCACAACAGTTTATTTTTTTGTGGCGCGTTAATTTTTTGGAAAAGTAAATCAATTCTAAGCATAAAGTACCTTAAGGAAACATATTCTTAATATCATTCCACAGACTACCCGGTACTCGATATTCGAATCTGATCGAGTAGCCCGAACTCGCCCTTTTGAAAAAAGTAGTACTCGGTGCATCCCTTCTCTCATCGTTTTTTAGTAGAAATTGGAAAAAATTACGAATTAGTTTTCTGAAAAATGTTTCACATCCTGTTTTTTTTTTTTAGGTGCGAACCCACAAGATATTCTTCCGCCTTTGGATGTCTTGATAGAAGCCGAGTCTATGAAGACATTGCAGGACAATAACAGTTTTCAGTTTTTGATCAAAACCGCCTACGAATATGTTTATCGGACTCAAGTATTGTAATCACTTAAGCAAAGCTAACTCAACTGCCATAAAATACCTCCACCATGAGCTGCGGAAGATACAGTCAAGCAATGAAGGAGAGGATCTAGTGGTTTCTTGAACCTAGTTGTGGTTAACGAGAAAAGTATATTTGAATATTTTTTGTATCAAGAATAAAGTTACGTTATTTCTCTAGACTTAATGCTACTGCAATCGTAACATATTTTCTACTAGTTGATACGAGGTTTGTAAATTAAGTGATGAGACTGATTTTTTAATTTTTTTATCCGAATTTAATTACAATTTTATATTGTCACCCTCAAAATAACTTCTGAAGTCCCACAGCGCCGGAGAAGATTCTTCACTCCTCATAGCACGACGATCTGAATGCACAAGATCCAGAATTCTGTTGATATTTTCATCGGTTCTTGAAGATGAAGTTCATCTTCAATCGACTCCCTCATGAAAATACCTTAAACCATAAAAAAACCTGGTCTCTTGACAAAACACTATCTCCGTAGGTCGGCTGAAGATTAGCAAGACTTTCTGTTGCACTATGGCCAAGTCTGAAGCGAAAAGCCGTTGCTCGAAATTGATGTCACTCATTTTTAGAACACATTAGGAAAAACACTTTTACAAAAAAAATCGCTACGGACAACCAAATGACTCGAGCGAGTTCAAACTTGTACTGAATGCGGGTCACATGTTCCCCTGTCTTCCCTCTGAGCCCGCCGCCTGCAGTGTTGCCAGATCGAACGCTACGTTGACAGGCTCATTGCTTAATTTTACAGACCTCTTAGCTTTTCCAAATCTCTGCGTGGGATCATTTGGAGTTGCCAACCTTGTCAACGGTCTGTGTATAATATCATAGAGCTCCAATTGCGTACAGATACATCCTTTAGTCTATTCGACGACATGGACTACTCCCACTGAAGGTGTGTGCCAAATAAACATTCCAAGTTAATCCACCCGGCAACATCGACTAATGCCATTCAAGCTGTTTGCCAAATCTGTTTGCAAGTTATTTTCACCACACTATGTAAGTTAATCCACCCGACGACAATCAACTGCTACCACTTGAGGCGTTAGCCAAATAAATGCAAATGTCACTAGACTATATCCGTTAATTCATCCGATATCGACTACTCCCACTCGAGGTGTTTGCCATGTCATTAAATATCGGTATATCAACTTTTGTACTAAATAGTCGCTAGCCCATTGTGCGCCTACTCGCTGTGAGCGCCATCTATGGAGGAATCGCACGACGGCCGTCATTCCGGAATCTCTAAAACAGACACAGAGAGAGAGTTCCAAACTTAAGGGTGCCTGGAGGGTAAGCAGCCAAACGGATAGCTGAGACTATTGGCTATTTAAAACGCCTAATAATTTATATTTGCCTCAGTTTTAAGGAGAAATAATGATTTTTTCTTTTTTTTTTTTGAGAAAATGACCAGTTTTTAAATTTAAGTTTTAATATTTTTTCTATTTACGGTCGCAACGGCGCAAAATTGATTTTATTCTCAAGCTTACTGTTACTTCATTCAGATTCAACCAACATTTGATATAAACAGTTGAAGAACAAGTAACAGTGGAGCAACAAACTTCCTTAAATCAACGGAAAAAATGTTACGTCACTTTACAATAAGCAAAAAAAATAACACAAAAGAGTACGGGGTTTTCAAATGTCATTTAAAACTTCTCTAGTTAACAATATTTCTAACGGTATGCCACATGTAACATAAATAATTAGATAACTAAAAAAATTATCTTCAACGATTCGTGACAGTGGATGCAGCCAAATCATTCTAATTACCTAATTGAGCAGGTACACACTTATGTCTCATTCAAACACAGCTAAACCTTTTATGCTCAGTTTATTGTAAATCTTGTTCAAATTGAGTTCCATTATCATCTCCTTATTTCTCTTGTGGTAGACTGTAGCGTTATTCCTCGTTTCATGATAACAAAAGCATTATTAATTTTTCCTATTAATTGTTTTCTTGTATTAATGGTTTCGGAATACACTAGTGCTTTAGCACGGCCCCATACGTAAAAATCTAGCGGGGTCAAGTCCGGTGATCTTGCAGGCCACGGGGTCGGACCATCTCTGCCAATCCAAGCATTGTCTAGGTGCTCCCGTACTGCTAATATCCAGTGCACTGGGCAGCCATCGTGTTGGAATGTAACTGGTTCTTCATTGTCAAAATTTGGAACTCGGTTCATGAGTTCGGGCAGATTATTTATTAAAAAATCTAGATAATTTTGCCCATTCAACTTTTCCGGTAAATAATGTGGACCAATAAGTGTATTACCAATTACACCTGCGCAGACGTTTACCGAAAATTTCCGTTGATTTTTGGGGTTTCACCTTTTGGGGCCCAAAAATGCAAATTATGGAGATTTACAATACCCTCCCTTGAGAATTTTTATTCATCTTTCCACAGAATACTTTTAAGAAGTCTCGATTATCAATATCCCTATGTAGCAGGAGGCGGCAAAACTGAACGCGACCTTGCACGAAGAACAGACAACACCTTCCATACGCTTAGATTTAGCGTTGCAGCTACACACCGGATGCTCGTTGTAGGATCCGCATCAAAAACTTCCAGAATGCGTTTGTCATCAGCAACCCTACGTTGTCTACCAACTCCAGGTTCAAGGCAATTCAGATTCCTAGTTTCTCTTCAGCGTCTAAAGGTAGTTTCAAAAGTATGACGGTTGGCGTCTATTGGTAAAACGTGCTTGGTAAATCCTTTTTGCTGCTCGGCCATTTCCATCAGCTCTGCCATATGCCATTAGCACGATGGCATACTCGTCGTTGGTAAATATATCAGCTATAGCAGGCAACAGTAACAACAAATCAAGAACACTTCGCGCAATTGAACGAAAACAAAAACAATTTTAATAGTGGAGGTAAATACACGTGAAGTAGTGGAGATCGAGTAAATACGTCAGGTACAGATAATGAAGCGGGGTACGAGGCAGAGGAACGACGCAATAGATTTAGCTGTGTTAGACGGAAACCCAATGGTTTGGCTGCATCCACTATCATGAATCGTTGAAAATAATTTTTTTTTGTTATCTAATTATTTATGTTACATGTGGCATACCGTTAGAAAACATGTGAAAACCACGTACTCTTTTGTGTTATTTTTTTTGCTTATTGTAAAGTTAACGTAACATTTTTCCATTGATTTAAGAAAGTTTGTTGCTCCACAGTTACTTGTTCTTAAACTGTTTGTATAAAAAAAAAAACAATTTTGCGCCGTTGCGACCGTAAGTAGAAAAAATATTGAAACTTAAATTTAAAAACTGGTGATTTTCTCAAAAAAAAAGAAAAAATCATTATTTCTCCTTAAAACTAAGGCAGAATGTAAATTAATTAGGCGCTGTAAATAGCCAATATCATCAGTCATCCGCCATTTGCGTTTGACTACTCACCCACCAAACAAGTGTTACGACGGTTAGGCAATACGCACAGCTACTACAAGTGGACACGAAGCGAATAATAGCTAGTTCAAAAGTGGCATATTTTCGGAAATGCCTACATAATGTCATTAAATCGATATAATGTCGCTTCTGAAGTTACGTAACCCGTGTGCCGTTAGAGATGTTTCCCTAATAAACCCGCGAAGCTAATGTCACCAGACTATATCCACAATCTCACAGAATCAATATGATTACCTACGTTATGGTTATCGAAGATGTTTTGTTAATGTATTAAGCTGAATATTTTCCAACGATCAGGTTCCTGCTAAATGACAATAATCTAATGTTGGAGGAAGGAAAACAACTTTATTCAATATTTTACGAGCTATTATAAATTCATGTTTTTGCAATTTATCTACTTTTCATTCTTTTGGACATCTCTCGCTGAGCGGTCTGTTGATCTTGAACCTTAGTGATTTGTTCCATCAGCTCATGGTTGTACGTGCTATGCAACACGAGAGCTAAGACACCAGCTCTGTTTGCCATACTGCTCCTGATTTGGCGCTCTTTTTCTAATAACTCGTCCATTTTCAGCCATTGACGTACTCTTTCCAAGTCGATCTGGAATAAAGGTGTGCCAAAATAATATTCCAGTCCAACCAAAAGGTTACAAATAACATTGGAATTACTTTTTTGGTAAAAATAGTGACGCATCTATGGCACTTTTATGTCACTGTGGACAGATGGAGGTTAAAGTAAATAAGCATTGCTAGTACCATCACACCTAAGTAGACATAATCAAATCAACATTAGTGGAAGCACGACTTTCAGACATGGTACTTCTCACATAATTTGGAAGAACGGCACAAGCCTCATGAAGGTGGATGTTTCAACTGGTATTATTATTATGTTAATATACAATGTCACTTTGCTAGATATTGGTAGCAAAAGTATACACTAAAACTAATTTTGGCGACAAACAGAACAGTCTAAACATATAGGCTTGGCTCCTTCTGATCTATTCGTTTTCGTTGATATTAACAGACTCGGTAATCAATGTTTTTCCTTATACATAACAATATGATATAGTAAAACTCTTTAGTAATATATAATTTCTGTAGATTATGCTACAGTATGAGCAAAACAGAGGAAAATGCATTTTTCTATTCACAGTATTTCCAATATTTGAAACCTTTCATATCTGCACTTTAAACATTATAGTATAACCAAGTATCACAATGAAAATCAATCCACATTTGTCATTTTTTTGTAACAACTTTTAATTATTAATGAATGTAGTAAAAAACCACACTATCTTCATATAAAACATTTTTTGTTAAAAGCTTACTGTGACAAAAAGAACAAAAACCATCTGAACAAACATTCTCAGAAAAACAGCAAGTAATTAGTTGTTGCAATTAGTATATTCAAGTTTTCGTTTTTTTATTTAGATATTCGCTTCAGTCCTTTGATTTTGGCAAACATGGGGTATTTGGCATAATTTGCCCAAACCAAACCTTTTGTGAAAATCACCAGAACTTTTTTCTTGGTACGCCAGCATCAGCCGTTACGGTCTTTTTCACGAGTATCCATTATGGTAAAATGACAGCTAATTATCTGGTAATATTTCAAAATTCCCCATATCCGCAAACGACACGTAATTATGACGGATCCGTCAATGCCAGGTAGACAAAGCCATATTTTGTTTTGATTTGTTGTACACTACAGATTCATTTTGTACTTGATAAAAGCTCTTTTATTTAGAAAAGTTAATTTGCATACAAAAACCAAAACGCTACAAACAAGATTTGCACTCGATTCATTATTGCTAACGTTGCAGACTAACACGTCAAAGTGTGATGGATACTCGTAAAATAGGGTATAAATACATGTCAGCGTGTTGTAATCCTAACCAATATTTACATGTTTGGTTTGGCAACTTTTCTGGTATTGTGAATTATAACAAAATAAAATATGGATATGAAAACAGTAAAATTCGTATTATACAAACCTCTGCTCTTCTGAGCTTTTCCCAAACGTAATGCTTGATGCAAGATTTTTTCGGAGCTCTACAAAATTCCCCGGTGAGAGAAAATACATTGGTAACCAAAGGGCAACCACAAACTTCGTGCTCTCCTATTTTCGGATCCTTGCAGTGCTCTGGACAAAGCACTCTCAACCTTTTGCAGTAAGTTCTGTTTCCTTGATTGTAGTAGTCACAGAACATGTTATTCCCTACAATTTTTTTTATATGTGTAAGTAGCGAGTACAGTTCCAGTGACAAACCGAAACATTTATAGACGTTGGTCAAACTGTGTTGAAGAGTGAATGCCATCTATTACAGGGTGCGGCTAACTTCTTTTTTTAAAATACGTGCCATTCAGGTGGTTGATGTAGTGGAGCACTAGTTGGAACACTGAGGAGCGTACTTTTGCCGTTGAGGCATACTTTTCGATCGGATGTTCTGTGATCGCAACCCAGCGCGCATTTCGGTCTCGCTTTAATTTCGCCCATTTGGCTCTTGCCCGGGAAATCAGTTGTTACGTGGGTCACTACGTTCAGACAAACTGCAAATTCGCCCATTAGATCACCTGAAAACACTGAGGCAGTGAAACCTTCAATATTGCGATCACACGGCGTGCAAACATGCGTCTGCCCTTGGACTTTACGAGCGTCCGGAGAAAAGAATTCATCATGATGATGTTCATTTCCATCCCTACAAGGTGGCAATTGTGCAGGAACTTTTTGAACGTGACTTCAATTCTCGAATGAATGCGTCTCGAAATCGTTCCGCGGACGCTATCCCGATTTGACCCCTCGTGATTATTTTATATGGAGTTTTTGAAATCATGTGAACCGTCCAAGGACCCTACAAAATTTGAAGATCAACATACACGAAGCAATTGCCGACATAACGGTCGCTATGCTGACAAGCGTCATGACAAACGCCAGTTTACTCAGTGCATGGAGAATGGGGATGTCATCTATCTGTCAAAACTAGATACATATAGGTCTATATTATAAAAATGGCGTCAAGTAGGTTGCTTCCCACACAACGCCCTTACCGAGCTGAATATATTCTGCACATTGCGTATATTATAAAAAAAGCAAACGAAAATGCGCTTTATTAAGTTTTGGAAAAAGAAAATTGTACTGCCGCACCCCATATTAGTTTGTGTTGGATATATCAAATCACACTTAGCTCTCTTGGCTGCTTGAACTATAGCACAACGATTTGTTGGAGTTTCAAAGGATTGCTGAATGCTCAAAACACGTAATTTGGACATAGTTGTGACTTGTTGAGATACAAATATCTGTAATACAGATATAAGATACAAAATACATATTACTTTATTGTTATCTTGTATCTAAGATACTTTTTTAAAATCGTATTTGTCTCTTGTTATAGAAACCTTTCATTTGATATACGAGTATTAGTATTTGGTACATGCTATGTTTGCTAAAGTACTTTTAGTAATAGTCACTTATGCATGTTGTCACATAACACGCCCTTGAAACTTTACTCTGGGGCGAAGTATAAAAGAATATGTAAAAGAACTTATCCTGAATGTAACATGAAAAATTAATTGATGTGTTAAGAAGCTTTAGACAACATTGGAAGTGATATAAAAAATAAGTCAAAGGAGGAATCTTATTGCATGTTTTAAAAGACCCTGATTCCGCTATTTCAAGTGGCGAAAACATAAGGTCTACTGGCAGCACTGCTGATTTTAAAAACACTGCAATACCTAAATAATAAAGATACCTCCTTTTAAAAGCTCAAATGCTATTCCCTTTTGGGTATGATAATAAGGCCTCATCTAAGAAAAGTGAGTGAAAATATCTGTAAAATACTGTTTCTACTTGTCTCAATTAAAACCATAAAAACATGATATTTTTTTGTCACATTTAAATAACTCGTGTAATAAAATAAACTCTATAACATGCAGTTTTCTTACAAAAGTGTTTTATCTTTAAAAATTAATTAAAATATACGTATTTTGTATCTGGTATCTGGAATAGTTATTTTAACACTATCTTGTATTTTGTATTCCAGATGCTTTGTATAGGGTATCTTGTACATCGCTGGATTTGGATTACCAAATTTTCTTATTGAATATGATACCTCACCTTCAATGCGTGTCTTGAAAATAGATCCGAACGATGCCTGCGATTCGTACTTATTAAAACATTTCTCCATGTGTTTAATAGCCGTTCTAGAATGAATTTCATGGCCGCAAGTGACGCAATAAGTCGATATTTCTGAGTCATCCTCATTGTCATTCTCTTGATCTGGATCAATAGTCGCACTTTTAGCTCGCTCTATGATAGCATCCAATTCTTTATGACGAATATCCAACTCTCGCAGGATTTGCTTCACCTCATGTTGTTGTTTGCGGACTTGGTCCAATGCTATATTGGAAAAATAAAAATAAATATTTCCCAGCAATATCATTCATAAAAATAATAACTAAGAAACTTAGGAACCATAGACAGTTAATCATTGTATGACTGACTAGGGGCTTCTGATGCAGTGTGTGCTTTGGTAAAAGGGTCGACTTTACTGCTAAGTGGAGATTCCCAGCCAGTGTTGTCATTTATATTGTCTCTGATACTTGAACTGGATCATATCTGTGGTGACAGATTGCATCTAGACCTGCGTACCGAATATTAAGTTAGAACCATTGATTAACGAACTGTCTAAGATGCCCAAAAATATGCTGTATCTGGACGTTCAAATACAATTTCCAATGTCAGAGCCATGTTGCAAAATAGTATCGCAATTATTCTCTTATAAGTAATATAAACAGGTTCCATTTTCCTTTTGAATGAAATTGTTCATTTTTCATCATGGCTTCAACCTTCCATAGAAAGATCACCCATCAGCTGCTGCTTAACGGAGATTCCTAGCCAGTGTTACTATTTATATTTTCCCTGATACTTGAACTGCATCATATTTGTGGTGTCAGATTGTATCAAGTCAGTACCGAATATTGAGTTAGAACCATTGATTAACTTATTTTCTAAGATGCTCAACCGTATGCAGTAGTTGGACGTTCAAATTCAATATTCCACTGTCACAGACATGTTGCCAAAAATAGGATCGTAGTAATTCCCTGATAAGCAATAAAAGCACGCTGCCACCTAAACACGTCGATCGAGATATATAGTTGTAAGCATTTTAGCGTAGGCAAGATATTACTGGATGATCAATGGCTAAAACTTAAGTGCAGAGGAAAGAAAAGAATGAAAATAAGAAAAATACAGCCGTTGAAAAGGAGGCTTAAATCACTCTAAATTGATTAGTTTGAAAAAAAGTTCGACTTATTAATTTCAGGGTACAAGTGTGAACATTCAATTCCGATTCCTCAGACCTTTAATGTTGATTTCCTCGGCGACAGAAGGCGTAAGTGCCCATTCCTGCAAGCGCTGCGGAAGAACTTGCAGGATTCTCGTCCTGGCCAAAGTCATGCCACATTCTTCTGAGCAGTACTTTGAGCCATATCGGGCGCTGTTCACACATTTTGGCCCGTAACATTGGCGAGGGTAATCAGTTTTCAAATGCTCGTTGTGAGATTGTTCCCTGTCTGAACTGGAATCACGCCTTTTTCTTCTAGCTCTGAAACATTAAAAGCCACAAATATCACAAAACCATCATGGCAAACTGTTGAAATAATTTAACTGGATTGAAAATGTTATTTGGTAAAACTATCGCATTCTCCAGCTTATTCTGGCAGTGTCTCTCCGATTCATCTCCCTATTATCCTCGCCTACAAACGGATTCACATATTATGATCAAATAATAACTTTACTAAAGTTTCGGTTGCCGCAGCATCACTCAAGGTACATGGCCAGGAAAGTTTTGTTACTTGATGTGACAGCTGAATATTGAATATAGGTGCGTTTTTGATCAGAAAATTTATTTTTTATATTGTCTGAAAAAAGTACACCCTATATATAATAGCATTTTTAATACGAATTTAATGATGTGTCACATGATACATTTCTTTTCTTAGTTATAAGAAATTTTCTTTTCTGATTTTTTATTTTTTTTTTAAGTAGGGGTTGCAAACAAATGCTTGCGTAAATACCTGTCACCGAGTATTGTTATAATTATGTATTGTAAATATTGCTTTATTATCGTCAATGATGCCAGGCGATCATTTTAGCAATGAAGAAAAGTTCGACATGCTGACGTGCTATATTTTATGCTACAAAAATACTATAGATACTCCAAAAATCTTGTTAAATTTCCCGAAAGCAGGCAGCCAAGTAAGTCCATTTTCTTAGAGTTGGCTCGAAATTTAAATGAATATCACGCTTTTTCCTAATTTAACCTAAGCTGTTTCTTCCACAGGTATTAAGATTCCATGCAGAGGATCCTTATCTTGGACACCCTGTTGTTTATATATATAAAACATATATACAGGGTGACTTCGAAGTTGAGTCATTTATTTTAACAGTGAGTAGATCTGATCAAAAGAAATGTTTTTTTCCTTTACCATTTTTCTGGTAAAATTAAAGTAACAAAGTTATAGCCCTTTGGAAGTTTGAGTACCGCCCTGTCTCAATAATATCATGTACTCGTGTTTGGCAACAACGGATATAATCCACCTTATCGGTTCATCGCATCGGAAACAAAAAAGCGAAAGAATTTGGAACGATGTTTATTTTATTCAGTTCAGTTATACATACAGTTAGTGTCAGTCGCGTGTGAATAGTGTCTGTTGCGTGGCTCAAACGAAATAAAAAATGGCACATGTTTATGCGGATCGGTTTCCCAATCGAGTGCAACCAACCCCTCGTGCCTTTGTTAATGCAGTACAACGGGCTCGTGAATCAGGTGACTTAAGACCTCACAGGGGACCTCACGATCAAATACAGGTCCGCACTGAAATACTTGTCGGGAGGATACTTTATAAAACAAGGTAACACATTTTTTTTAATTTTTTTTTTATTGTTACACACATATTTTGGTTTATCTTCCTTCTACAATCATTATCTGAAAATTAATGACTCAACTTCAAAGTATAGAGAAAATGATCATGCGGAGAAAGGTATATAACAAAGAGTAGGAAAATAATGGGCAAAATCCGCAAAAAGGAGGAAAGTGGATTCGAGCAGAAAATAGGATAGGTAACCCGAGCGATACGTATTTCTGCTGGTTGGCTTCATCAGGCCCGAAATGAATGGACATATGAAACTACAAAAGTAGATTCACATGCCCACACTTCCGGGTACGGGTGTAACCTGAGAAAACGAAGATGGAGAGGAAAAAACAGCACACGAAGTCCACAACAAGAGCCAACCTACACATTGTAGTATAAAATGGATAGAAGACCTCGAATTTTCAAGGAGACATCTAACCACAGCCACTTGCTGTGGTACTTCAAGCCCAACGGATCTACAAAAAGAAAATGATCTTGCGGAGAAAGGTATATAACAAAAAGTAGGAAAATGATGGGCAAAATCCGCAAAAAAGAGGAAAGTGGATTCGAGCAGAAAATAGGATAGGTAACCCGAGCGATACGTATTTCTGCTGGTTGGCTTCATCAAGCCCGAAATGAATGCACATATGAAACTACAAAAGTAGATACACATGTCCACACATCCGGATACGGGTGTAACCTGAGGAAACGAAGATGGAGAGGGAAAAAAACGACACACGAAGTCCACAACAAGAGCCAACCTACTACACATTGTAGTATAAAATGGTTAGAAGACCTCGAATTTTCAAGGAGACACATCTAACCACAACCACGCGGCCGGTTATAGCCGCTTGCTGTGGTACTTCAAGCCCAAAGGCGGCTACAGACACACGCTGATGACTGAATTCATGAACGCGCGTGCATTAACGTGCATGCATCGACGCGAATTTGCTTTTATATACAGACGCTCAAACTTTTCTACCGTCTTTTAATCGGTGTACGCGACGAAAGAAGTTGTGATGTCGTCCGATGAAGAGCTTGCTGTTATGGCAGTGGCGTGCGATTACGTGTTAAAAAGTGCCAAAAAGTCGAAAAAAGGTCGTCGCATGTGGTCTAAGGAATGGCTTTTAAAAAGGAAGTCATTTTCACATATTAACTTATTGAACGAATTGAAAGGAGAACCCGATGATTGGCGTAATTATCTACGAATGGATGAGGATACCTATGTAGAATTGTTAGAAATGGTTACTCCACTAATAAAACGTCAGGACACAGTTATGAGATCTGCAATAAGTGCACATGAACGGTTAACCGCAACCCTTCGATATTTAGCGACTGGACGAAACTATCACGATTTAAGATTTTCCACGATAATATCTCCGCAAGCGTTGAGCGAAATAATTCCTGAAACATGCTCAGCCATATACAAAGTACTACAGCCAAAATACATGAAGGTAAGAAAAACATAAAATATATTTCCATTAAATAACGAAAAACATAAGAGCATATTCATAACAGTATATTATTAATTATTGTAAAGGATCATAAGAGCCGTAATACGCAGCAGCTGTATTACTATTATTCATTGTTGTTAGTTGGTTGGTTGGTGTAGACTGAGTCCAGATGGGAACACAGTTTGGTGGCGGAGGAAATAATGTATTACTATTATTAATTGGTGTTGGTTGGAGTTGATTGGGTTCGGACGTAATTCTTGTATGTTCGTTAACTTTTCCTAACTCCGCTTGAAATAGGATATCATTTATTAATTTTTCTGAATATAGTCGCACTTCTCTTGGTAATCGCCGTAATTTAATTGCTATCGATTTTCCCATAAGGTCGAACTCGTCTGCCGGGTGATGGAGTCGTGTAGCGACAATATCTAATATCTGATCTGCTTTATTAATATTTTGGTGGTGTGATTTGAATTGTTTGGACCTCTTGGTTAAACGGGGTGATGATCGACTGGATAGTGCTGATGTGGAAGGTCTTGACGTGCTCGCCATACTATGTTCTGAATGTGCCTCCATTTCAGTTTGTTCAGATACGGCATCACCCGCCTGAAAATAATACACACATTTTATATGATATTATATATTTATATATTTTATTAATTGATATATATATATATATATATATATATATATATCTTTTTTTACAGTTTCCTACAACAGAAACAGAATGGAAAAGTATCTCTGAGGGCTTTGAAGAAGTATGCAACTTTCCTAATTGTGTAGGAGCCGTAGATGGCAAGCATGTTCAAATCAAACCACCACCAGGCAGTGGAGCATTTTATTATAATTACAAGGGGTATAACAGTTTAGTTCTCATGGCTATATGTAATGCAAATTATGAATTTATAATGTGTAATTTTGGTACCAATGGTCGAATATCGGATGGAGGAGTCATAGCATGCACTCATTTCTACACAAAATTAAAAAATAAAACATTGAAGCTGCCACCTGCAACATGCCCACGAAACAGTAACAGAGAGCTACCATTTGTATTCGTTGGAGATGAAGCTTTTGCATTACGCAGTGATTTCTTAAAACCTTACAGTCAAAACGACCTGAATCATGATCGAAAAATTTATAACTACCGCTTATCAAGGGCACGATGCAAAATTGAAAATTCATTTGGTATACTATCAGCAAGATTTCAAGTACTTCAGACAGCTATCGGTCTACATATAGAATCGATAGACAAGGTCGTAATGGCTTGCTGCGTACTGCATAATTTCTTAAGACGCAAGTGCAGTCAGTCTTACACACCGTTGGATTCTTTAGATCAAGAAAATCGTACAGACGGAACGGTGCAAATGGGGCTTAGAGCAAATCCTGAGCAACTAGCAAATCTGCAACGTAGCCATAGCAGAAACTTTAGTAGCGAAGCAAGTCATGTGCGGCAAGAATTTACTCATTTTTTCAATGAAGAAGGGGCTCTGAGTTGGCAAGAACGAATGATACAGTAATTAATGGTGCAGTCATAACAATCAAAATTTTTGCTTTTTAACAAGTAGTTTTCTGAATTATTATCACTTGGAAATTAAAGTTAGCTGCTACAATTTGGAAGATTGTACACCGCCTACTTTGTATATAATAAATATTAAAAATATACTTTATTTATTTATTGACCTACCTCTCTCTCATTCTCCTCTTCATCTATCATCTGCGTATCTTCCACGTCTTCATGCACTTCTTCTTCACTTTCAATATTTGAAACAGACTGTCTTGGTATCTCTTGATCTTTAAGAAATAACAGTAATTCGTAATACCACAGGGATGGCACATATACATCTTCCAACGCAGCTCCACTTCTTTTTGAGTTTTGTACTTGTTCTCTTCGGAAACCACCGCGCAGAGTATTAATTTTTGTTATGACTGATTGTTTTGTAGCATTAGGTTGAATACTTTGTAACTTTTCCACTAACAATGTGTATGCTGCATTTTTTTTATTCTTATCTAGATATTCTTTTGCTTTTGTTTGCCAGAGACAAGGATGTGCCCTGTACAATTCAATGAATTCTCTGGTGAAGTCTCGAGTCATTGTTCTGATGTCAGACATGTCTACAATCAATAAAAATTACTTATTCGAAGACAATTCGTACTTTCTTGATCAACGGCATTGATCTCTGATTGTCTGCGGAACTCACACGTTCTTTTGCCGCTACACGTTGAGACTTGCATGCGCGTCTCTGCACGTGCGTTTAAAATTTCTGTCGAGAACTGAAATTTGCCCGCCACGCCAATTGTGAGCGCACGTTCATGAACGTTGCTGATATCTGCATACACACTGACGTTATTGAGTGCGCGTTTACGAACGCGCGCTCATGAATTAAGTCAAAAGCGTGTGTGTGTAGCCGCCTCAAAGGATCTACAAAAAGAAAATGATCGTGCGTAGAAAGGTTGATAGGTATATAAAACAAAAAGTAGTAAAATAATGGGCAGAATCCGCAAAAAGGAGGAAAGTAGGAGTATATATATATATATATATATATATATAACAAATAGACAAAGTCCGCAAATAGGTAACCGACACGATTATTACCACAGATATTAGGTCGGCTTCTTTCGAGATTACGTGGGTTTTTCTACAAGATGTTAAGTTAGCACTTGTTTTGTAGTTGTACGTGTTGCCTAGACGTCATGATGTTTGGCTCTGATGTGATGTAACATCTGCTTCAGAAATGGCATTATTTTAGATCTAAGCTGTAAGTTGTATACTTAGTGCATAGGTGCATAGTGAGGATTCCATTGATTTCTTGTCTCAAATACACTTACTTGAGATTCAAAGCTAGAAATTAGTTGCGCATCCACTTTTTCTTATTCATTCTGGAAAGTACATATACAAATTTGCTGAATTTCAAAAATAAAAGAGATAAGAAAATAAAATCTCTGTTTGGTGAAGTAACAGGTGGGAAAATATGCTAGACATGAATATTTATCAAAGTGAAAAGGTTTTTACATTATTTTTTATTTCCAGTCATCTAAATTTTATAGAAATTCATTTTGCGATGTCACTAGAAAATACAAATGAGCCCTAAACCCTATTTCACGAATATCCATCACGGTAGAATGACAGCTGATTATCTAGTAATATCTCAAATTTCCCCATATCGGCACAGAACACATAATTCTGACGGATCCATCAATGCCAGGTAGACAGAGATATATTGTTTTGGTTTTTTGTACCTGCTAATTGCTCTTTTATTTAGAAAAGTTAATTTTGCATCCAAAAAACAAAACGCTACAAACAAGTTTTACTAGATCTACACCCGATTCATTATTGCCAACGTCGCAGACTAACAAAAATGTCATTTGCTGACAAGCTGTTCACCTCAGTAGACGTCAACGCGTGATGAATACTCGTGAAGTAGGGTACAGATGCGAGGCACTGCGAAAATGTTGTCTGCGTCAATCCTAATTTTTGTGATTTTGGAAATTTTTAGATACCTACCCCCACCCCATGTTACAGTATATAATTTATCTCGGGAAAGATTGGTTCCAACCATGATATTGCGAGCCCATCATTTGTACACTATGACACTAGTACATAACTGATAGAATCCCTGAAGAAACCTACACTCGCGTTGGCTTAGTATCATTAACTCATATCAACAGTGACATACCCTCCTAACAAATTGCTACAAATCCTCTGTTTACACCTCTCTTTATTTCTGGAAGAACCATGCTTGTTCTTTCTGGTGCACACGTCACATCTTCCACAGTCCTCAGTTCTGTAACAACCCATACATTCTCCGCATTTTTTAACCTTTTTGTCATTCTTGCTTTCTCCACGTTCCTTCCTTTTCTTTGACCTATAGTCTTCAGAGTTTGTTTTCGCAGTTTGAACATCGTCGCGTTCTTGTCGCTCTTTCTTTGTTTTCCAACGAGTAACCAATGTTGGATCCTCCTCTTTACAGCGGATGCAGTAGTATTGTTTGATGTTTTTTGCCTCTTTTTCTGATATTCTAATACAATCTCCATGGTACCTATGTGATAAATCATAAACGAATAACTAATATTGATTCAGTCATACAAAAATATTGTGTGCACCTAGCTTTAACAAATTAGTGTCTCGCCCAGTGGCGTAGCTTCCTCCTCAGGGCCCCATATAAAAATATAAAGGGAGCCTCACCAAACTGTGACAAATCCCAAATTCAGGGAAAAATTTGAAGTATAGATTTTTACAAAACAAACATAAAAGCTTGCATTGAATAATATGAATTGTCACATATTGACCATGGGCGCCTGGAAGAAGTTTTCTGTCAGAGGGGAAGGATCATCAGCAAGAGATAACTGTGAATGCGAAAATTTTAGAATGTCAGATAAATGTTGCAATGTCTACAACACGTAAATCTGGGGTCATAGTAGGTAATACTACTTCATTTTTTGAAATCATTTAAATGGCAGCAGTGTTATGAGTAGAAATTACAATAGCTTTATGATCATCCCAAAGTTTGTTTTTGCATGTTTTACAAATTTCTGAACATTTTTAAGGGTAGTCAAACATCTTTGCAGAGAAATTACAATTTTAAAAAAATACAAAAATTTGCTTTCATCATTTCTGATTGCTTCAGGTTAGGGTATATGCAAAAACATTATGGAGCTCAAACATTTTGTTTCTTTACTAAGGTTTATCTTGACTTCATGGACAATTTGAAAACCAGTATAAGTGAATGCTTGAGAAGTACCGTCAATCTACTTGCCACTATTTTTTCCGATTTTTTTTTAATATTCCATTCATAGCGGAAGATGATTTTAGTGTTTAGAAATTTTCAGCCTCTAAAGGCAGTTCCATGCTTGATACTCAAAGTTGCCTCATAGAAGTCTCTGGATGTTTTAATTACTTTTAATTTCGAAATGCTTCTTTCAGCTGTTGCAGTTGTAATCTAGAGGGTTAATAATATTAAGCATTCTACTATCATGTAGCCATACAATATAAGGTTTAGCGCTTGAGAATTTCTAATTTAGAGTACTGCCCAAAGCCTTGCGTGAGATTGTAAAAAACACTTTAAGCATGTTTTTCGTACGTGGGGGGTCAGTGTAAGCTGGGGACTCGTATCACTGATACCACCTGACGCGGCGGTAGCTACGTCGCTGGTCACACCACTGGAATATCAGATGGAAATACAAATTGTGAACAGACTTTCTATATCTCTATGGTCAATGTAGCAACAGATAAGGTTTTGGAAAAATTGAAGAGGGTGTAGCTTTAATTTCGAAAAAGAGTGCCATTTGACAAGGCAAATTGAGTGCAACTTTAGAACACTGATATAAAATGTATGATTATATGCTGATTTATAAAGATAGTTACCATTCTTCACACGCATCACATGCAATCATAAATCTTGATGAATCAGAAGATCTGCAAATGCAATATGCTTGCCCATCCTGTTTTAATAGAGTATCAATTTTAGATTGCCTTTCTGGTAACAAAAACTGTCGAGCAATTTCCTCTCTCTGGAATAACAAAAAATACTTTGTTTCAACTATACTTACTCAACTATGAACAATAACTTGTTCAGATAAAATATATAATATATATAATGTTCAAGGAACAAGAAAAAGCACAAGTAGATGCTATATATCATTAGACCTATAAGCAAACTTGAATAAATGATTAAATAATACAAATGTTATCAGAAAAACCAAGCTGCTAACAATGCTGTACATTTGATTTAGGAAATAATACCATTCTTATTAAAGGAGAGATTTAGCCAAAGACTAATCTCACATTTAACCCTGTGAAGTACAGTATAATAATAATAATCATAATAGGTCTTTCTTAGGGCAAGGTTTAGCCATAGGCTATTCTTCCACCAGCCCTTAAAACAGAAATTCCATTATATGGAATGACTTTTGAAATTAAAACGTGAAATTACTTGCATCACTCAGCTAGTAGCATGTGCCTAATGTTCTTGTTGAATAACAATACTGTTGAACAAATATAAAACAACAACTCAGGGACTTGAAGCAGCTGCTACTGCTTGTTAGACATATGCAATTCTATAGCTAGTTTTGCAGTGCTGTGCACGTAGGTCCCCACAGAAATTTATCAAAAGAAACTACATCATAGAAAATATTCACGAAAACATAGCTTTTACCATTTATGCAAAAGTAGACTAGCTCGAAGCAAGAAAAATTTTAAGGCAGGTAAATAGTCTATTCAATTGGCTGCTGTAAACATCAGGATAAAGCAGTTCACATATCCATCGTAAACAAACAGTGAAATGTCATGGCCCTCCTCAAAACCAACAGATGATAATATCCCTAGAACCCTGCAGATATATAACAAAGAAATTAGCTAATCATAGAGCGTATTTTTGTGCTATTGGCATTTGAACATTGAGTGGCCTCAGGCTGCATCAGGGCAATCTCAATCTGCCCTTTCTTAAGCAACCCCTCCCAACCAGTTGCCCTGAGGCATGGCTCTTTTAATCCTATGGTAAATATATCCTGGTGTTCAGACATAAACCAGATAAACAATAGATCTGCCATGTCAGTTAAATAATAACCATCTAAACTGGTGTTCCTTTGGAACAAATCTTTAGAATTTTCTTTGAGAAAGCAAAGAAACATCTTTTTTGCATCTAGGACGCAAAAGACACCGCCATACAGATGCATCTGTGTGCCTGTGCATAAGTTGACTTCTTTTTTTTATTTCTTTATGTACATGATATTAAAGAAATACAAAAATTGAATGAAACGATTCAAACTTAGAAAAATCAATGTAAAATACACCTAGATAATAACACTCAAAATAACAAAAAATACAAATAATACACTGCGATAACAAACATTATGTGATAGTCTTAGGTATAACTTAAAATTTTTACGATAGAACCCTACTCCAGCCAACACTTTCTCTGCGAAGAACATCTAGTATGAGGAATGTATTTTAAGTTTTGCATATGGAAATAAAACAACACGGTGGGTAGTTTTAAATGACTTTATTGTTTTTCGAAATATTCTCCACGAAGATTAATACACATCTGCATGCGCTAGAACCAATTTTCGAAGCACTTATTCCACTGGTTCAGAACGGCATTTTTGAATGCGTCAACTGCTTCTTCTGGTGACTGGAACCTTTGACCACACAGTCTGTTTTTAATTTTCGGGAGAGTAAAGAAATCGTTAGGACTTAGATCGGACTATATGGAGGATGGTCCAATAATTCCACGTTTTCTTCCGTTAAATACTGCCTTGTTTTTGGACTGTGTGCGAGCTTGCATTGTCTTGGTGGAGGATGATTCTTCTTTCAGGGTTGATTTTTCTTTGCTCATTGAGAGGAATTGTTGCAATATGACCCGCTTTTGACACAAATACCGCGACCATCTTTTTCGAAACACTTCGGATGACTTTTGTTGGCTTTTCTTCACCTTGGAACACCCAAACAGCCGACTGTCGTTTATTTTCTGGTCCATAACAGTAAATCCACGATTCATCACCACTAACAATGCTGTACACATTTTTTGAGTTTCCGGAATTGAAACGGTCAAGCGTTTTTTGACACCAATTAACCCTGGCTGCTTTCTGCTCTTCAGTCAACAGGTGGGGTATCCAACGAGAAACTAATTTTCGTACTCCTAATTCTTCATGTAAAATTTTTTGAATTAGGGTATTTGAGATCTTCAAGGACGCCTCAATCTCGCGATATGTCACATGTCTATCTTCAATGATGAGTTTGCGCACAGCATCGACGTTTTCCTGGGTGACTGCCGTTTTTGGTGCACCCATCCTGGGATCGTCGCTAAGACTCACCCGTCCACGTTTGAATTCTCCATACATTCTTGTTGCGATACATTCCTGATAAAAATGAAATCTATTCAAGAAAGGTGATTATCTAGAATAATATTCCCATTTTAAGTTCACTACTCTTTCACTACCCTTGTTTACTTTTTGAATCAACACAGCAACTACAAAGTGCTAGGTAAATATACATTTATATCACAACCAAAGAATTCCGCAATAGGATAGGGAGACAAAGACAATGAAACATTTTTTAGTTCCATTTAGTTTCCAAACCTACGAAAAGCATGAATTCTCTTCCTATCTGGAAGGTGATTCTACAGCCTTATTGCCATAGTTATATAAATCATAGGAGTAAGGGCCAGTCTGTGTCAAGAAGTAATTATTAAATCCCTGTTTATGGTAACATAGGAGTGAGAATCTGAATGAGTTTTTAACTCAGTAATAGTTATAGTTAGTTTCTTGTTCGTGTCATTCATGCAACTGCCATCGCGTGCGTAATAGTATACAGAGACAAAGACAATGAAACATTTTTTAGTTCCATTCAAAACCTACGAAAAGCATGAGTTCTCTTCCTATCTGGAAGGTGATTTTACAGCCTTATTGCCATAGTTATATAAATCATAGGAGTAAGGGCCAGTCTGTGTCAAGAAGTAATTAATAAATTCCTGTTTATGGTAACATAGGAGTGAGAATCTTAATGAGTTTTTAACTCAGTAATAGTTATAGTTAGTTTCTTGTTCTTGTCATTCGTGCAACTGCCATCGCGTGCGTAAAAGTATCACTTTTCGCAAATGTTGGGTGTGAGATTTTTTCCAATGGTGCAGGGTGAGAAAATAATAAACCCAGAATTTTAAATACATACTATGTTTTATTAGAAATTTAATAATTATAAGATCAACAACAACATCAATAATTCATTTATAATAACTATTACCAATATTAAAAGCAGAAGAACTGTTATTTTGATTATGAAAACTTGTAGGTATTTGTGCAGAAAAGTTATGTGTGGAAAATTGCTACTTTCGGCATGTTGGTAAAAAAGTGTATTTTAACCCATAACAAGCAGGAGATCTACAGTGCGGGAGCAGTTGAGATGGATAACCTCTTAATATGATTTCTATAAGAATCACAACTGTTTATTTGGCAGATACTTCTTAATGCTGCTTTTTGTTGTCAAAATATTATTTGCCAGTTGGTGCAATTGTGCCAAACGATATTACCATACAATATCTGGCAATGAAATAAACCCATATAAGCAAGCCTTATAATTTCCTCTGTTGTAGAAAAGGTTTATGCTTATTTGCTCTATAAGATCTTTGAAGGTTAAACCAGAGTTATTGTAACATCTTAAAAAGCTGATTGCTCAGTATATTTCAAAGGAAATTTAACAATAGTTGTCTTTCAGGAGTTCAGTGTTAGAGAGTGAAAAACTATCACTTTTATGAGGTTTATAACATTTTCTTCCAGGTCACTAGAGTTAGCACCACACTGCATTTTTATCATTTTGCTGAAAAATTATTTGTGAGAGGAGTTTTTACTTGCTAAATAAATTCTTTGGCAAATGAAACTGGAAAAACGTTTACTACATTAGAGAATTTTCAATATATGTGGTTTCATTGGACAAACATGGGAGATAATAACAAATCTGTTCAAATTCAATGTTACAGAGAATTTCATGGATATTTTGTGGAACTGTACTACAGTGAAGGTTCCTCTTATGTGGGCTCAATTGTCAATAAACTTTGTACATGTAAATACACAACTGAGACTAGAGGTTGTTTTGTGTGTAAAACATTTCCTCTCGCAACTCAGAATATCCTAACTCAAGACATTTGAAAAAAAAATAAAACATTCATAGTTTTGGACATTTGCAAGAGGTCCATAAACTAGTAAATAGGTATTAGCAAGAACAATATTTTTGAGTTTCTTACCGAAATATCTCTTTTGCGAGACATCGCTACAAAAGTGAATTAAAGAGTCCTGTAAAGCAACAGTCCAGCTACAATTTTCAATCGTAGCACCCAACACAACACTTTTAGAATTTTATTATTACAACAGTTACCACAAAAACACATACACATACACCACAAAGACTATATGCAGTCACCACCGCCACCGCGTCGCCATAAACACAAGAAAAAGGAGAAAAACATCAACGTCAAAAATGACACAAAAACTTCCGGTGTTGCCAAGCGTTTGGAACCTCGATTTCATCTTTTGTATTGTTTATACAGGGTGTTTCCTAATTGATTGTCAATATATACAGGGTGACTTTGAAGTTGAGTCATTAATTTTCAGATAATGATTGTAGAAGGAAGATAAACCAAAATATGTGTGTAAAAATAAAAAAAAAATTTACCTTGTTTTATAAAGTATCCTCCCGACAAGTATTTCAGTGCGGACCTGTATTTGATCGTGAGGTCCCCTGTGAGGTCTTAAGTCACCTGATTCACGAGCCCGTTGTACTACATTAACAAAGGCACGAGGGGTTGGTTGCACTCGATTGGGAAACCGATCCGCATAAATATGTGCCATTTTTTATTACGTTTGAGCCACGCAGCAAACACCACTATTCCCTCACGCGTTACCGACTGATACATTGACTGAATAAAAACATTGTGATCAGCGTTTCAACTTCTTTCGCTTTTTTGTTTCCGATGCGATGAACCGATAAGGCGGATTATATCCGTTGTTGCCAAACACGAGCACATGATATTATTATTGAGACAGGGCGGTACTCAAACTTCCAAAGGGCTATAACTTTGTTACTTTAATTTTACCAGAAAAATGGTAAAGGAAAAAAACATTTCTTTTGATTAGATCTACTCACTGTTAAAATAAATGACTCAACTTCGAAGTCACCCTGTATAACAGGGCGATTTTTGGGTCCATTCTAAGAGGAAAAATGGGCGTATATTCTAAATGTCTTAACTTTGAGATACAGGGGGGTAAAGTAACAGATGATACATGGTCAAAAGATATGAGAGTCAATGTACACAGGGTGTTCTGTGAGGAAATGGACATAGTACACATGCAATTTCAGATATTTGGCCTTCCAGACTAACACAGTTGAATGAATTTAGATTTATTTTTAAATATGAAAGGGGCAGTCCATAGCAGGTATACCTACCATTTTGTTGATATATGTATGTATCTCGACTCCTTCTGGAACCAGAGCATATTTCTGGGGTGGTAAATTAGTGATATGATTTTTTTTACTGAAATAATAGTTTAACCCAATTTTAAAATTAATATTTATTTAATTACTTGAAATATTATATACCATACATATTACTTGATCGCATTTGAAAAGAAGCCTTATACCACTCTATCATAATACAATTTACTGTTAAATAGGCTTTAATTAATATCTAACAGGCTAATTAACTCAAGGTTGTTTATCCAGTTAAACATAACAAAAGTATTAATTTCATTTTACATTCCTAGATGTTTAACCTCTAATTTATATCACAATACTTCTGATTTATATAACACCTTAAAAGGTGTATGTATAGTTGCTTCTTATAGTGAGGTGTTCTTATTGTGAGGAAACTTTATTTGCCTTGACAGTTGGAAGCTAATGTGAGTTGTCATGAAACTTTTTTTATGATGAATGCCTTTTTATTCCAGTGCCTTTCTTAAGGAACTAATTATGGTTGAAACAACAGATAACATATTTCACATCAATCATCAGAATCAATAATTACTTTCCCAAATTATAAGGTAAGGAGGCATCAGGTCAAAAAATGTTACCTTATTTCAACAACTCTCATTTCAGTCTCAACTGTCAAGACATTCAAGGATACCTCATTAAAATAAGGATACTTCAATTGGAGGAGCGACTATGCATACAGCGCCCAGCACACTAATTTATGTAATGAAGACTTGGTATACCCGCATACCAAGTAAGTGAGGTCACTTCACTTTTCTGACCAGTCACTTATAAATATAAGATAACTGATTATTAGAAAGTCTCGACATGCACGACGCCAGTGAAATGATTGAATAGATAAGAGAGCGATTCCGTGGTGAATGATCACAGTGAGAAATAGCTGGTGTTATTCGCGCCGTGCACTATCTGTCAATCATTGACGACCTTGCGATACTTCCGACCGGGGGGTCGCAGCTCAGCATCCTCCTCCTCATCATCGTTGAACTGTTCATATGCAAACTCTGGCAGAAACTTCTCGAGCTGCTCATCAAAGAACTTTTCCAAAGTCTTCGCATCTTGGTATACTTGCGAATCCATTGGGTTGAAAGTGTATGCATTCCTGAACATCAATCTGACATCTTTTACCAAATCAGCCAAGTTTCTATACTGATTCTCTGACCCCCAGTTCAATTTCTGCCTGATCGTGTCCAAGGCAATTGGTTTTTTAATTATAGAGTGATATTCAGTATTTTCTGATCCAATGACTTCTCTGAAATGCAAGCTGGGTTCGTATTGGCAGTACAATTCCAAAACGAGTCGTTCTGCAGTTTTCTTTTCTTTAGCGCTAAGTTCATGGCCGTTCTTGTCGGTAGCACCGGCATTCTCAGTCAGGTCCGCAAAATTCATGCACAATAGACACTGCCACGTGTCGTTTTCCTCGACGCTCAGGTTTGGTATGTGGCAGTACTGATGAAACACCTTCGGGCACTTATCACAACAGACGAGCTCCCCACCGTCCATGCAGACCGCACACCAGTCCTCGTTCGGATCGTCCTTACTTGCCTCTGACAATTCCGTCTTGATTTTGTGCACAGGTGTCGAATCTCCGGTTGAGCTGTCCACATGCGGCGAACTACCTTTCTGCCTTCCTTCTGCCAACACCTGAACTCCATTGGAATCCAATTTTGCAATGGTCGCCATCAAATCCTTTACAGAGTCTTCGCAAAATTTGTCTAGGCTTCTCTCTGTATCTGATTTACCCTGTGGAGGTTTAGGGGATGGCGTTTTAGGAATGGTACTGGACACTGTCTTATCTGCAGACGTGGCCTGAGGCAATGTAGTGACAGTAGCGGGTTGAGTGGATGTCCCCGGTACTGCCTGCTGACGAAGCGTAATCTTGAAGTTGTCGTTGACGGCGGTTGTCAGTAGGCTCATGCCACCCCCCATGCCACACCGTTGTTGCTGCTGTTGCTGATGATGTCCACCCATGCTTTGCTGAGGGGTATGCCACTTGGCGCCTCCGATGGCACTCATACTGTTCTGGTATTGAGGTGGAGGCCTCTGTTGCTGTTGTTGATGGGATTGTTGCTGTTGCAGGTGCTGTTGGATCCGAGACAGCTGCTGTTGTTGCGGCGACTGGTTGGGAACCAACATCCGCATCTGATTGGAGGCTGGTTGATGACTGAATCTGATCTGTTGTTGTCCCTGAGAAGCTGCAGCGGCAGGGAACCTGTTCTGGAACTGCTGAACAATGTGTGGCTGTATGGCTTGATACTGACCAGGACCAGTTTGTATGTAGATCGGATTACCGCCGCTATTGGTGTTTGGTTGTAACAGGTGCCTCAGATTGTTCCTTTCTCCTAATATGCCAGATGGGTGAGTTGAAGACGATACCTGTTGTTGCTGTTGGTTGAGGCCCAACGGCAGTCTGGCTACATTGGGTCGCTGCATGTTTGGAAGTGGCCTCTGCATTGGCTTCATGTTCAGCTGTTGGGTTAATGATATTGGGATGGCTTGAGGAATGTTATTAATCGATGGTGGCCCCATGCTTTGTAGTCGTGATTGCTGACCCTGCATCTGTTGTTGTTGCATCTGCTGCTGGTATTGATACTGCTGTTGCTGTTCTTGACCTCCACTGGTTTGTCCGTAATTCGGCGCAGCATGTTGAATTCTTTGTTGATGTGTTGGATATGGACCGGCAGACCCTGTTGGAGAAGACATCTGGTGTTGTTGGGCAACATCTATAGGTGACATTTGCTGAGGTGGCCTCTGATGTGGACTAGGGCTGTTGGGCAATGAAGGTGGGCGCTGTGGTACCATATGCTGTTGCTGGGAACCCCCTCCAATCCCTGCAGGAGATACTGGTTCTGATGGGTAGATGCGACCATCTACTACTATCTGACCAATTGTTGCCATAACTTTGATTAGATCTGGGACTTTATCCAATGCTAGATGTATCCTGACAGGTATTTCTGGGTTTGGAATATCAGCCCTTTTGCACTTTATTCTTTTCAAATGCTCTGTCACCTGTTTCTTGCTGTAGAGCAGTGCCATATCACTTCCATTATCTAAAGCATTTTGTGTGAAGCTGATGCAATGATCAGTCATCTTGGATAACTGTTCGAGTGCCTGTTTCTTCTCATGCAGTGTCTTTTGCTTAGATTCACATACCTCGGACAACTTTGACACCAGCTGCTTCCCTCTTACATTTATTGTGTTTGTTAGTTTGACTACCAGTTGTGTGATTTCCCTAACCAGTGCATGTTTCTTTTCTGTAATCAAATTTTGTCGGTCCTCGATTACTTTCATTGCACTTGTTAACAAAGCCCGTTTATAGCCAACATCTTTGAGCATCTCCCCAATGAACTTTCTGGCTTCAGAGGCAATCTCATTGGTGAATTTGTACTTGTGTTCACGGTGTTCAATCAATTGGCAGTCTCTGCATGTGAGCATGTCACAGGTTTCACAGAACAGGCTCAACTTTTCATGTGGGTGCTGCTGACAGAACATACTGTTGAGCCCGCTGCCACTGGCAACTGAGTTAGACTCAATAAGGCCATCTTCTTTTGGCTTTATTGTATGGTCTTTGGTAATCTTCAGACGCTGATGAGCCTGGACACAATTGTCACAGATGAATTCTGAGCAGTCCACACAATAGCTGGTGGCATCTGCATCATCACTGCAACTGCTGCATTTTAGTTCAGTGGGCTTCTGAGTGGCGCTGGTGGTCTCCTCATTACTACCACAGCTGTTGCCTGCACTGGCACTTAACTCTAATAGGAACTGGTTATCAATGATGCGATCTGCTGTACATGGGATAGTACACAAAGGACATTCAACTTGATGAGAATCATCTCCATGCTCATAAAGCCGACTGTTGATGCATCCACCACAGACATTATGCAGACATTCCAGAAGTTTGGGATTGTCTGCAGCACCAAGAACTTTGTCACAGAACACACATTTGAAGGTAAAACTTTCTCTTGTAGTTGGACTTTCCACATGATGTTCATCATTTGAAAATGTTGACTCATTTGTTAGCTCCTTTTGTGTATCTGTATAAGTGCTTGATTCTGATTCAGCAGACAACAATTGATCTATCGTCATTTCTTGAGTCTTTATGGACTCGGTATCTGTTGTGTCTGTTTCTCCTGGGACTTCTACAGAGTCTTGTGCAGTTTCCAAAGAAGCAGAATTGCCTTGAGTTTCCATCCCAGTGTTGGTTAAGTTTTGATCACCCATAAAAACCTTCTGTTCCATTGTCTGCTCCATTGGCTCTTCACCCACAGCAGGGGCAACATCAGATTCCATCTCTATATTGTCTATTGAACTAATGTCTTTAAACGATCACTAGGACTAGGAACATTACGGTTTTCAGTCAAGAAGCGGAAAACTAAACAACCACGACTCAACGTCTACTCTGTGATCCATTAGCAGAATGGAAATGTTCATTTTGTTTGCACAGATCATCACGGGCAGCAAGTTCTTATATTTATCAGCACCACATCCGTAGTGCGGTTCTTCCTTTCTTCCAGAAAGTAAAGATAAAGCACATTTGGGCGATCACAATTATATTATTAAAAATAATATAATACTAATTTTTTGACATATACATAAAATGTCTGATAGTTTTCCTGTCATAACCTAAAAAGCCCAACTGTCAAAAAAGTTTTAGACTTAAGCTCGGTACACGCGCTCATGGTTGCAGGAACATTCTCTTCCAGATAGATGATCTATATTAATAACCCTCTATTGTCTGAATAAAATATCAGAACGATTCAAAATTACAATAATCGAAGTATTAGCTCGCAGGTTTTTGTGCCTTCCGCTTAAACTGGAAAGCAAAAAGCTCAGATGCATACATGGGAAAAAATAACCATTATAGATATGTAATTGAAGTATTTTTGAACTAAAAGCAGCACGTCATCTATACACGATCGATTTTAGGCGTCCTTCATTTAACCTGGTCAAGTATGGTTTAAACATCCATTGGACTGTAAGCACTGGATATACATATGAACATTCAGAGCTTAACTTGTTCATATACGAGATTTTGGGTTTGACTGCTATCTGTTGGGTTGGCGCAGGACGCAGCACCATCGTATTGATATACCTGATGATGCATGTAATATAGAGTAGCCGGTGCAGGTTGGATAGATCTAGCACGTATGAAGCCAACCAAATTCTGCAACCCCAACGGATGCAACCATCAGGCATGTGTGAAGCGAGGCTAACGCTAAGCTTGGTGTTTTATTTAGGGTTTCGTACGTCAGTCTTTTAGCAAACTTGAACGTGTATACCTAGCTTATGAAGACAAATTCATGCTGGCAGCACTGCAATACTTTTGCCCTTGTTACAAGTTACAGAGGTCGCTGTCAGCAAACGTCAGCTGGATTGGAAATTGGAATGCAACAGGGACAGGGTCGGAGTGAGATTTGGGTTAAAAACCTTAAATTTTTTGAACTATACACGTTTTGTGACCTAGAGATTTCAATGCGTGTAATACTTCAGTAAATAGATAATGTATTGTTTCTTCTCAAATTTCGTGGAAGATTAATTTGTGAGTAGGAAATTGTAACACACAAAGCATTTCATATCAAGATTCTTTGCCACTGCCAGTGCAGATCAAAAGTGAGAAATACATTGCTAAAGAATTTCTATCACCATGAATTTTCAATACTTGAATCCAATCTGTACCCAAGAGTGCATTGATGATATTGTTGAAGGTAGGTTACAATGCCATTGTGGTGAAGATGGGATAAATGAGTGGCACTGGTCAATGGTCTCTACAAATGCAAGAGTTCTGAATAATAGCCGAGATATATTATTCCATCCATACATCAGTTCAGGAACTGGAGCTGCAAGAGGAGATTTAGAGCTAAAACCAAACTTTCATTATTATTGGGAGATAAAAATGTTGACAATGCTATATGGAACTGATGTGGTATGTATTCTGACAATGTTTTTTATTAAGGCTGGGCGCATACATTCGTTTTTTGTGTACAGTTTCCTAATCAGGAATTCCAATTAGGAATTCCGTGACCCTAGCGCAAACGTTCAATTTTTTGAAGTGAATATTATACTACCAGTACGTTCAGTTGCGGCTCTGTGAATGCTTGGCGATGGAGAACGACGATTTAATTGCGATTGCAATTCTATTATCATTATCAAAAAAGAAGAAAAAGAAACTGCGGTAGTGGGTGAATGCGTTAAACAGTCGTAGAATGTACGAGAGTCCATTTTATCTAAAGATATCAAGGTTACGAGCACATCCAGATAAATTCTTTGATTTCTACAGGATGTCAATACAATCTTTCGATGAACATCATAATGGCATACGTGATAAATTAAGGAAGCAAGATACCTGGATGGGATTATCTCCGCATACACAACATAGATCTAGAAACCGAGGCCGAAGCATAAGAGACGAGTTTGCTCAGTACTTCATGACGCTGGCAGGAGAAATATCATACCTATATAACAAAAGGATTACCAATTTACAACAATAAAAGTACAGTAGGCAATAGTCTTTGTAATAAAAGTGAAAGAAAAGTAATTTTACTCTTGTTTTCTTTTTCAACTTTTGTTCACGAGTTCCAATCCTGTATAACCTCTTTGAAAACTTGCTCCAAGCCAAATCTTTGACATCTCTATTGTGGTAGTCCTTGTCATGAAAATCCCACAAGCAGGAGTGTTTTTCAACAGCCAATATTAGTTCTTCTGCTTTACACATTGTCCTGATGCATTCGAGCTCTTGATGCAATGACGTAATGTCCAATACGCACGTCAGTGCGCGGTTCTGGTTGGAAATTTTCGACTGTATGCGACGGTACATTACAAATGTATGCCAGTGCTGCGTTCCGTGTGACGTCATTAGGTTTTATCCGTTCCGTTTTTACGAACGCACGGACTGGCTTCCGAAACGTACGCATGTACGGAATTTGTTCCGTTCGGAAGAAAAACGACCATGTGCGGCAGTCAATGTATTTTATTAGCGTTTGATGCATTCGGGTCTCCGAATACGGAAATCGGACGCTGAAAACGAATGTATGCGCCTAGCCTAAGATTAAGTATTATTTCCCAGCTATATAGGTTGAAACCACTTATATGCATCTTACCATTATAATTACTGATTCTTCTGTCTGTAGTTATTTTTTTCCAAAGATAATTTTTTATTGGTCATAATCAAGTCCATGCTGACATGATATTACTGATAGTATTTTTAAAATGTCCTTGTGGTAATTCTCAATGTAAAACATTACAAACTACATATAGGGTGACCCAATGAAAAGGTTGTACCCCCATTTGTGACTCTCCTGGTATATGTTGGCCCGGTCAATTTTGATTTCTAGGGGGACATCTTTTTTTCTGTAGCCATACAATACAGGGTGATCCAAAAAAAGAGATTGCGTTACACTTTAGATTTTTAAATGGAAAATCCTATTTTTTTCTTAAGTTTTAGATTTTCCATGAAGTTTTTAGTAACTTTTGCATAATAAAGTTTATACCTATCTTCAATTGTTGTGAAACTATTAGAGTTTATAATAAAATTCAACTAACTTAATTTAATAGTGACAATAATGGAATGCATGGGGATAAATAATAATCATGGATACCAGCAAGAACATTTAGCATCAGTCAGTGTCATCATATGTCATAGAAAAACTTTGTCTTTCAATTTTTGAATAATAATGAACTTACTGATCACCCTGTATTGTACGGCTATAGATAAAAAGACGTCCCCCTAGAAATCAAAATTCACGTGTTCGAGTGTTTTTCCCAATATATACCAGGAGAGTGAATAATGGGGATGTGTCCTTTTCGTTAGGCCACCCTGTATATGAAAATACTATGTCAGAAAAATTATAATATATTTTTATGTAAAAATGTTTATAATCCTAAAGTTTAAATTTTAATCTGCTGAACATAATGATACTAATATATACAACTCTGTTATAATGGAAAATGTAAATGACAACATTGGATCCATGCTGCCCACCCAACGACCATGAACAGTGATGTTTCATAAAGCAGGTCAGATAAGGCCAGTAAGTTGGGAACCTTTGAGCTAGTGTTGCCATTTACACTTCCTATGATGCATGATAATAATACTATATCCATAAAAATAAAATCCAGTGCTCCTTTTGTACAACATATATTAATAGCATTTTACTTCGTAGATGGTTGGAGTTGGAACATCTGATGTTGTACTGAATAACTGGAAATATAAGGCATGTAGCATGTTGGGCATTGATTCCAGTTCTTGGGGATATTCATATAGAGGTATCATACAACATGACAATGTCAGAAAAAGATATGGATCTAAGTTTGGATTTGGTAGCATAATTGGTGTACATCTTGACATGTGCAATGGAACTTTAGAATATTACCTCAATAAGAAACCTTTAGGTATATTATTATTTTTTAATTATACTGGATCGCGTACATGTGACGTTATCTTGGAGGACAAGGGTAAGTTCGGATAACGGGCGTCAGCCGCATGTTGCCTAACGCTCGGTTTCTTTAAAATACAAAGAATCAGTATTTGCTATTCACATGGATCGCGAGTTAGTCGACGTCGATGCGCGTATTGACATATCTTGCGTCTAGTGGCGTCATACGCGTGTATATTTCCTGATGCCCGTTTCCATGTGTACGATAAGTATTAATTCTGCGTATTTCCATTTAGCTGACTCGTGTCGTCTGTACTTACCCTTATCCTCCAAATTTTGACATACGTGCACGAGATTCAGAGAACGCCAAGTATTAATGTTATCCAATAATTGATAAAAAATGGGCGTGGATCTATTACTTGATAAGGAACTATAGCATTGATGGAAAACTTCCTCCCCGGGTCGTTCTCAAGAAAAAACGCGGAAGTCTCATCATCGTCCAACAATTTCATTTTTATAGAAGCTAACTTCGTGATGAAACATAATGATATGAAGAACCTAGGAACATATATTATTTTGGTTCAAGCTCAAGAACTGACCACCCCCTTAATGAATTATATTGCCATTTCAAACCTGTTCAAAATCTCTAACTGTTTTTGACTGAATGTATGATGTTTCTTGCATAATTGTTACTATATTTCAGGTATAGCTTTTACTGGTCTTAAACAATTCAAATTATACCCCTTGGTGAGTTCCACAGCAGCACAATCAGCTATGCGCATATCACGAACATATGCTGAGAAACCGACACTCCAAATGTTAGCATTGGTGGTAATATGTGAACATTCCGCCCTGTATAAGGTGTATGAAGAAATCCCGGGATTATATAAGCTATATGAGAGTAAATATAGCTGGATTGTTCCAAAAACTGGTGAGTATGAAAACCTTAGCAAAAAGGATAGATTTTGAATGGAGATGTGACAGATTGTAGTATTGTAAAATTCTAAAATGTCCCAAGTCATGTACATGGTAAAGTAGTTCACCACACCACATCATCCATGAAATGAATGACCCCAATGATCCATGCTAATTATATTATTGAGGCATCAGCCTATATCTGGCTTTAAAAAAAATGGTGCTTGATATGAAAAAACAACTGGTAGAATCTTTCAGTAGGTATATGGTTATTTCAGAAAAGCAGCATGGTCTTGTCAATGATAAAAGTACTGATACTGGGGTGTGCAGTGTAACCAAAGCCCTTGATAAAAAAAACATATTTGTAGCCTTTTCTTAGACTTCTATCCTGCTTTTGATTATGTTGATCATGAGTTGATACTGTATAAATTGTGATGATATGGAGTTTGGAGGTTACCATTTTATCAATCATATCTTCAAGGAAGAAAGCAATAAGTTGTGCTAATTATGCAAGTATCTATACAATGGTTATGGAGGGCAGATGTTCTCCAATTATCAGCCCTGGGGCCGTTTATGTTTTTGCTATATGCGAATAATAATAATAATCATAATAATAATAATAATGGCGCTTATTTGCAGTTAAAAAAATACATGGTATACAAAATATGGAAAAAACAACAAATTACACTTACTGCAAAATGGACCAGCAAACAGTCAAGGAGTGATCAAAGTACTGGCCTAGTGACAAAACAAAACAGAGAGCACATTTTTGTAGCCGTCTACGGATGAATGAATGAATGAATCTTAATCGTAATTAGAGGCATTCCGGCTACCATAAGGAGCCAGTGCATAAGCCGTTTAAGCGGACCCTTATGCACCTCTACATTCCTTAGATCACAAGCCTCGCCCTTTTAGCGAAGTTGAGAATCGCCTTGAGTCCAAGCTCCTTGACGTCCTGAGGGTCCAAATTAATGGACCCCAGTATAGTCTGCCTATAGTAGCTCAGAGCTTCACAGCGACACAAAACGTGCGCCGAGGTCTCTTTCTCTACCCCGCAGCATTCACACAAGTGATCCTCAGCCCCATCACGTGCAGGTGGCGCCTTAACGTGTTATGGCCAGACAACAGCCCCACCAGCAAGCTTAGGTTGGCTCTATCTAGAGATAAGCAGAAACGTCCATCCTTAGCACTGGGCTATTCAATGAGTTCCCGAGCCTGGCGGAGATCTCTGGAGATACTTCTCCATTTCTGAGAGTGTTGTCTTGCAACCCACGTCTCCATTTTCCTCCTAGCTCTATGCGAGGTCACTCCTAGAGCTGCCTCAGGACCAACGAGCTTGCTGGCTGATCCTGTCTTCGCCAGAGTGTCCGCCGTTTCATTGCCCCTTAACCCAGCGTGCCCCGGTACCCACATTAACGATACCGGATGCCTCGCTGCGAGGCAATCCAGAGACCCTGCATTGCAATACAAGACAGGCAGCAGCGGTGGCCGCAGTAGTAGACTCTTCGGTCTACTGATCAGTCGCCGTGCGCTGTGCGGGTTCGAGTCCCGTCTCAGGAGAAGTTTTGGCTATGGATGTTGTGATTGTCCGTAGGTGGTAGACGGTCTCTGACAGTCGAACGCGGAGGTACCACCCGGCGGTTCTCGTAGGCGGAGCCAGAATGTGTGCATGTTGCATGGACGCGTGTTCCCTCGCCAGAGTCCGTGTGGCGTTCCCCCTTTCCATGTATCCCTCTATAGCCCCACGGTACCTAATGGGTGCTTAGGCCTTCGTGGTAGTTGGAGTATATAAAAAAAAGACTCGAAGTAATCTTACAGGCACTTAGTGCTTTCATTGCAGCCTGGCTGTCGGATAAGATTGTTATCCTTCTCCTAGGCCTACTCTCCTCCAGAATGTGAGATACACAAGCCAGAATCGCAAAGATTTCTGCGTGCTACGGATAATACCAATTCATTCCAAAATGACAAAAAAAAGAACTGTAGAAAAAAATTAAAGTACAGTATGTTTCTATAATCAAACTTCAACTTGAAACTCATACTCAGATGAGAAGGACAACACAGGAGAGACTCAACCATACTCAACTATTGTTGCTCCAAGATCAATTTTTTTAAATTTCTTTTGTATGCTGACATTGGCATGTCTGTGGGAACGTGGTTGTACAAGCGTACAAGAGATAAACAGAGTGTGAAAATGACCTACTGAACATTGCAGTACGATGTGGTGGTTGAGAAATGACACCTCTGAACCGGACATTGACATTGTGAACATCACTACGGAATGTAATTTTATTGTATAAGTACGGCGGAGTTCCATATAAAATAATCTCATGAAAAATTACTGCAGAGTACAGGTTTCACCTTGCCTGCATGTTTAACCAGCCTGCTTCAGATAACTTGTAGGAAACAGGTTCAAATTTCCTAACTCCAAAGATAAACCTGGGACGAGAATTTTGAACACGCTGTATCCGGTCAGTATCATTTTGTGTTAAGCAAGGACCAAACACTGACTCACAGTAATTGAACAAAGACAAAACAAGCGTATCACAGAGTAAAATCTTGAGGTCAGTGGGAAAAATATGATGGGATGGAAACAGGATTTTAAGCCGACCATAAGCTTGACCAATGCACCTATCAACATGCTTTGTAAATCTCAAATCGTTATCTATGACTAAGCCTGAATTCCTTGTAGCAGATGTATGTGAGATAATACTATTATTGATTGTAACAATGAAAGAGCCTACAAGCCTTCTTGTGCTTCCCAAATAACAAAACATTTGATTTTAATTGATTGATAAATAACTGATGAGCTGTGATTTCGTTTACCAAATTACCAAGATCCTCATTCAATAAAGCAGTTGCAGAGTTTATGTCAGCGTGAGAAAATTGATCTCAGTGCATACCTATCCAATGTCAATAATATAATATGCCGATCATACTAACATCTTATTAACAATGAAGTCTGAAATTTTGCATAATCTAGAACTAGTATACACAGCAGCTCAAAAATGTTCAGTAAATAATGATCTTATATTAAATACAGATAAGACCCAAGTATTGAAATGTGCAAGAGATGACCAGGGTTTCAGTATTTTTATAACGTTTCAACAAGTGAAACATCTCTTCCTGTTGTTGGGTATTACTGTTGATTGTCATCTAACTTGGGAGCTACATGTAGAATTGTTGTGTGATAAATTATGTAGAAATTCTTATGATACATTTTTTATCAAATCATTGTAGTCAGTGAGTTTTACTTACTCTATACTCTATACCATTCAAGCTTTAATTATCAGTTGCACTATGCCATTTAAAACTAGTCATGCAGATGAACTGGAGAAGTTTTTCTTCAAAAATATGTTATCGCGAATCTGGCATGAATCCCGCAGTATTTTCGATTCGTACGAATTTTAACAGTAGCTTGTTTAAAATAAATAAAATCTCTTCAATAATATAGAAGTACTTATTTATCAAACTCGATCAAAAGATTTGCTGATCGCCTAACATCGGATGCAGCATATCAGAAAACTTCAAGTCATATGGGATGTAAAATTTTCACTTAACTTTAAAAGAAGATATCCAAAAATCACCAATATTGAGCAGTTTCGAAAATCATTTGAAACTCTTTCTAGCAGATAAGTTTTCTTATAATTTGGAAGAGTTATTTGCATCTAAAGCTGTTTTTTAATTTGTATTTTGTTTTTCCACTGTATGAGTACATATATGTTTTTGCATCCCTTCTTTTTGACCTTTGATTTGTTATAGTCTGTGGCTGTTTAATAATGAAATACATTTATTATTCATATCTGCGATGTGTTCAACAAAGTGCAAGAATGAAAAGGGAAATGGTTCAATGGTGATAGGGATGAGTAGATACGAGTACGCTGCGAGCTGAACAAACAGTTCAAAAACTGCGTCTGAAACGAGGCGTGAACGGCTATCGTATGTTCTCAAGTTTAATTGGCCACCTCGAATACGACATATACGAGGACCATTTTTAAAGAGAAAAAACCGATTGCACGTCATGCCCGCATATCTTGTCACGTGACGTCCGTTCAACCTCAGACACTCTTAGCCACTAGCTCACTACGACGTCATTACGTCTCTGTTAGAGTTGCTTTTTTGATTATACTGCCTTATTTGTCACCATGTCAATCAGTAAATCCGCCGATTGTAGAGTGTGCGTAGTAATTCGGTTTTTAAACGCAAAAAAGTTTGTTCTGCAGCCTGTTGAAGTTATTAGGCTTAAGCGCGCTATTCAAAACCCCCGGTGGGGCCTGCCCTCTAGCGACGTCCTTCTGCTTCACGACAACCCTCGGCCTCTCGTCGCGGCAAGAACACAGACGCAACTGGGCAAGTTTCCACCATACAGCCCTGTAGTATACAATTCATGTTCATAAATAAAGCTTCTCTGACTTCATTACAAAACGGTTCTTACTTAAAAAAACGACGCTCGCTTTTGTCATATTTTATTAGCTTCAAAGATTTGCTGTACTGCAGAATACAGAATCAGACTAGAAGAAATAAATTTTTGCATTATTTTCAGATGCAGAGCAAAAGTATAGAGAAACAAAAGAAGATAAGCCTGTTGCCTATAAAAGTCACCTTCGAGGTAGCTGTTGCGTTTTTCATCACATTCCTCAACAGTACACTCACGGATGTCACAATCCAAATTTTACAACTGGCGGCATGAACATGGCTCATCGCCATAGAGACTACTCGGCTCCAGTTTAGAATGACATGTTCTGTTCCATCATCTGCTAGATATGGAGAAGTAGCTGTTCCTAACGTGATCAGTAATGTTTTTATATATGTTCGATTTTCGTTAATAAACAGTGGTATCATGCATTGGCAGGTGCAGATCCAGGGGGGGAAGGCGGGCGGGGTTCCTTCCGCCAAAAGCCTCAGACTTGCAGGAAAAAAATGAGGAAAGGGGAAAGAACAAGAGACCACAATGTTTTTGTTTGACAACTCAAAATAAGTGTGCATTCTGTTCTTTTAAATTACTTACTACTTACTAGAATAAGCGCAAACGGATCCGCGTCTATGCATCGAGGAGAAGTCATGCAATAAGTAGTGTTGAAATGAATTGTGCAACTCGAAATTAACAACTGAGATCTGGAAATACTTTATATTAACCTAATAAAAATCTGAAAAAGTTGCACCTCTTCATCTTCTGAACACGAAACAGTGGTAGTAGTGTTCGTTCGTCCGACAACAGACGGCCAACCATGGACAGCTGTTTTGGTGCTCTTTGACATCTCTTCAGTTTGGCGTAGCTTTCGTTGCGGTTAACAACGGATGAAAGCTGACCAACTATTCAGGGTATACGGTCTATCCAAATAAGACAACATAAAGTGCCATCTATTCATAGGATCGACCACTGCGAAAATGAAAACAGCCGCTGTCTATTGGAACTGTATGTTAGTTCGCATTGTCAGTACGAAACACCTGTCCATGGTTGGCCGCCTGTGGCCGGAAGAGAGTAGATAAGAGTCTCTCAGCTCTCGTTCGTTGTCCACCAAGACCAAGTCCACATGTTGAAGAGTTGCCACATAGCTAGAAACAACTGTACAATTGATATCTCAAACTTTATAATTGTTTACTACTATTAAAAAAATAGCATAGAATGTATTTTAGATCCGAGTGACTTTTTTGTTGATGCAATATTGTAGTTTAAACCTAAATAAACACCTTATATGTATATCGAAGCAGTCGCGCAGGCATAAGCCTAAATGCCGGAGCACCGCGGCGGCTATGATGATCCCAAAGAAATTATGTTAATACGATTTTTGAATTGCCTAAGGTTAGTAGAACTGCAAAAAGCTTCCTCTTGTAGATTGTTCCAATCTCGACACCCTCGGGACAAAGGAGCGGTCGTATCGGCCAGTTCTGGATGTACGAAGTTTGACACAGTTAGGATGGAACGCCAAAGTCAGGCGGGTCTGTCTGGCAGGCACATCGCGCGGCGGCATCATGGAAGAGAGCTCTGAGGAGCAAAGCCCGTTGGTGTAGCGATAGAAAAGAGCCAGATTACCGACGGCTAGCCGGTGCGAAAGAGTCCCGAGACTGTCTGTTAAAGAAGAGTCATCGATCAGTCGGACCGCCCTCCTCTGGTCAGCATCGAGCATGGATAATGTAATCGGGGCGGCAGCACCCCAAACGTGTGAGCAATACTTGAGGCTAGGCCTTATCTGGGCCTTGTATAGAGTGAGAAGGTCATTCGGAGAAAAGTACTTCTTAGCCCTAAACAAATAGCTTTTTCCCAGCAGCTGCAGCTACTGGTGAGATGTGTTCATGCCAGATCAGGCCCTCGGTGATCTGGACTCCGACCAGTTGAAATGAATGGCTCTTTGGTAGAACTGGGCCGTCCATCGAAACTGGATGAGCGCTAGGAAGCTTTTTGTTCGTCAAAGTACAGTACTGTGTTTTGGAAGCATTGACCTGTACAAGACTGTTGCGTCCCCAAACAGTGATAGCCTCCAGGTCTCTTGTCAGAGAGGAAGTCGCCGCTGGTCTTCTTTTTTCCAGCTCAGCGGCAGAGATCGGCTTGTCACTCTGAATTCCTGCATGTAGAGTGCTGTCATCCGCGAAGCTGTGCATTGCGTTGATCGTACAGGAAAGGAGGTCGTTGATATGTAAGAGAAACAGTGTTGGAGCCAAGACCGATCCCTGGGGAACACCCGCGTTGACATTATGGGATGAAGAGGAGAACCCGTTAATTACGATGGATATCTTGCGGCCAGAGATAAAGTCAGCCACCCATCTGCAAAGCTTTTCTGGGAGGCCATAGGTTGGAAGTTTGCCTAAGAGGGCAGCGTGCCACAGCTGATCGAACGCTTTCGTGATGTCAAGAGCAACGACATGAGCTTCACCATAAGACTGGATGAGTTTACTCCACAATTGCGTGACGTAAGCTAGGAGGTCCCCTGTGGATCATTGGTGCCGGAAACCATACTGCCTGTCGCTAATCAAGCTTTGACGTTCGAGGTAGTACAGAAGCTCGCGATTTATCCACCTCTCCATTGCCTTACTTATAACAGAAAGCAGAGCTATAGGCCTGTAGTTGTAAGGATCGGTCTTAGATCCTTTTTTTTTGGGATGGGTTGGACGTGAGCTTTGATGTCGAGCGACAAGAGCACTGGTCTTACGGTCTTATGCCTGAATGTTACCTCCCGCATAGTGTAGGGAACCCTTTAAATTGACGGCACTTGGGCATTGGGAGGGACGTCCATGGTGGAGTTTTCAGCAAACATCTTGGCTAGCACTTCCGCCTTGGCCTTTGAGTCAAATACAATAGTTCCATCCTGACATGTAAGTGGTGAGAATGTGAGAAGTTTTTTCAATCTGTTTGGCCAGCGTCCAGAAAGACCGACTGCCATTGCGCTGCGACATCACCCTGTTCCTAACTTTTATATCGTGCTAGTTTTTGGCATTGCGAGCCGCTTCGTTATATTTGTTTCTGGACTCGACGTCGGCTTGTCTGTTCTCTATTCTATTCATGACATTTTCGGCATTGTCTGGAAATCGTTTCACCATGAAGCTGTAAAATGCTTTCTCAATATACTTTTGACGCAAACTTTAATAAAATCTAGATTTAATACGACGGTTGTGTTGTTCAATTTACAAAAAATAAATGATGCAACTGTAGGTTGGAAAAATAATTTTATTAAAGATATCCATTGTTTTACACCATGTCTGTCAAGACAGATTCGAGTGCACGGATTTAAAATAAATTAGGCGTAGTCTGTTGTACATTACTGGATTTCACGGCGACAACTAAATAATATAAAGTGTATAAAAAGTGAGTAACACATAAGATTCCACAAGTGTATTCAAGGTTTTTTCTTTGGCGAAACGAGGATATTTGCTTTACTGGAATCAATTCCCAATGCTGATGACAGTAGTCTGACCACACTTTTGGTGTCTGGATTGTCAGTTTCTGAAATGAAAATAAACATGTGTAATTATTTATTTTTTTCATGAGTTTTGGAGATCATCAAATTATCTGGTGACAGTAGATTAGGGGCTGTTCAAATATTATGTAAGCAGATTTCTACATGTATTAACCCCCCCCTCCACCTTGTTACTCAGTATTTTCATTTGGGTCTAAACAAGCAAGCATATATCAATTTTTGGGGAATCACTGAAGATGCGTTTCACTTTCCAGCATAGACAAGCAGGGTTGCCATGTGTTCAAATCAAAATGGACCAAATCTTGTAGAAACCCGATAAAATTAAAAAATAAATATTGCTCATGTACTCATAATACTTGAATGCTCGCTTAGAGTAAGTAATTACTTTTTAATAAAAAAAAAAGCTTTGCGTTTTTTCAAAAAGCCGAGTTATGTAAGAAGAGAAAAAATGATGAGAGCAAAGTAATGACACTAATCTACTATAAATTTAGAATATTCTCGTACAATTTCAGATCTGTATTATTATTTTTTGACAAAAAATTGATAATGCTGTTTATTTGTCATTTATATACATACCTTGAAACAGAAAAAAGTATCAAGAATACTCCTTTAAACAGACTATTGAAAAAAGGATATGCGACTTTAACATGTTCACCCTTGTCTCTGGTACGAACACCCTTATTTATTTATTCCCAATATAGTCTTTTTCACGACTAATTATTACGTCAAACGTAATGGAAAACAACAGCTGATTATCTAGTAACATTTCAAAGCGCCCCACATCGACGACAAGTGACACACGATTCTGTCGAATTCGTCAACGCTAGATCAGAAGACGTATTTTGTTGTGGTCTTTGTGCGCTATACGTTCATGGTTCCTAACGACTCTTCTATTTAGAGAGGTACCTTCGCACACAAGAAAAACGCTTCAAGCAAAATAGCTGCTAATCATAACTATATTTCAAGTCACGTAGGAGTAAACCAAGGTAAACAGTTTTTGGCTATGTTCTGAGTATGGTCCTGAGTTTTACCAATTCATTATTATCAACACTACATGCTGTAACACAAAAATGTTGCTGGTCAACTGTTTACTTCAGTAGATGTCAACACGTAATGGATACTCGTGAAAAGGAGCATAATTTCATTCCAATAAGGATATTTATCCGTATTCCCACACCCGTGACAATAGAAACTATATTGTGATCTTACCGTCCGTGGTAATCTCCCTTTCCAACTTAAGCTTCTCTTTGTTCATCTCGAGCATGCCTTCCTCGATGGTGCCTTGCGACACGAATCTGTACACGGTGACAGGTCGACTTTGACCCATCCGATGACATCTGTCTTCCGCCTGCTTGTCATTGTACGGATTGAAGTCGATGTCATGGATGATAACTGTGTCAGCAGATGTTAGGTTGATGCCTAGACCACCGGCGCGAGTTGACAGCAAGAAGATGAAGTAGCTGGAATCCTCGGTGAACTCGTTGATCAGGTCTTGCCTATAATACATCTTAATAAGAATTGGGCTCATTCAACAAACGAAAGAATAGACAATTGATACCACTTTTTCATGAACGCCGTTTTAAAAACCCTAATCAACAGTGATGTGATGGCACTCATTCAAATGGTATATCAGGAAGTGATTTATTTATTTATACATAATTGCCCAATCCAATTACAGGGCAATTTAATAGTAACTTAACTAATGATATGCATTCAAGAACGACATAAAACAAACATAAAAAAATTAGCTAATAGGCCCTGAAGTTTGACAAGACATTACTGATACAATCAAAATTAACATCAGAACTGTGTGCTACTGTACTGCATATTGTACAATAAACTGGTTTGAAAATTATTTGTCAAAAAGAATGCAAGTTACTAATGTTAACAACACTTTCATCAAAAAAATAAACATACGTTAGGTGTTCCACAGGGCAGTATCTTGAGACTCCTTTTTTATTTTATACATAAATGATTTACCTGCCATAATAAAAAATGCAAAATTCAAATTTTCGCCGCTGACTCAGATTTATATAAATACCCAAAATATTCAGACTGGTATTACATAAATGAAGACTTAAAACTTTTTTCAAAAATGGTTAGCTTCTAACAAACTCAAATTAAATACAATTAAAACGAAAGCTATTTTACTTGGTAAAAACAATGCACAACTAAATAATGATGGTGAAGATATTTAAAACAGAAAATTTCAAATACGTTGGGGTTTTTGTTGACACAATTAAATTTTGATATTCATTATGAGAAAAATATAAACAAGACTAGTTGTAAAGTGGGACATCAAGAGTTTCTAATACTATCATTCTTCCAAATTCCGTGTACTGTACGACTATTCTACGTCTAGCTAATAGTTCAATTTCTGATAGACTGCAAATTTTACAAGTGTATGAGAATAATACTGAATAAAGATAAATATGCTCCAATTATACTGATGTTTAGCAAATGAAAATGGCTCAATATGAAAAAGTTTACCAAATATCGCTTATAAAGTAACCAAATATCTCTTATAAAGTAAAAAATTATATATCTCCACCATGTCTAACTAAATTACCATCATTTACATAATAACAGAAATAAAGATGACTTCCTTTCAATGTTCAAAAAGCATAATTTACGCTCCAAATCTGTAATGCATCAAAGGTTCATTGAATATAATAAATACAGAGATAAAATAGAATACAATGGCAAAAGTAAAATTGAGGAATCACTTGTTAAATCTATAATTATAGCTTGTCCAGCATGTGCATCATATGGCTTGAATTTACTTATTCTAAGTTGTTTATTATATTCTATTTATGTAGCCAAACGTGCTAAATAAGTCTTTCTACTACTACTATTACTAAACGGTTATGTTTGCGCAACAGTGCGACTAGAGAATATTTGACATAGGGGTGTCTCTGACCTAATTTAGAGAACAAGACTCCTTTAATTGGAACACTTTCCCGCGCCCGAAGTCGCATGTGTTCATGTTTCCAGTTCTGACGAGGAGGCCCTGTGCGAATCAATGGTCATATGTATACTGTGTTTACAAAGCACTTTGCTGACATGTCGCAAATCCAACTCACTTGTCCCATGCGTTGTGAGGTAAACTTGTAAAAGTTCGTCAATTTTGGCATAATAGACAATGTTACAAATCACATTTAAATATACTTATCTCAAAATACTATTCGGGGTATAATAAAGCAAGACTTAAACATAAATTTAGATAGTTCTTAAGCAGTGGATATACCCATTTTTATGGAGTTTCAGACATTAAATCGCTTATAACTCGAAAATAGACAACTTTAGAGAAAAGGCCTTTTTTGTTCAGAATGATCCACAAAATCCGGACAAAAAAACGTGATCCATTTAAGAAAAATTGTTTAAATTTGAACTGGGTATATTAAATGTTTAAAAACGGTTAAAACATGATTTCTGACCTTGCTTTATAAGACCTCGAAGAGTAGTAGTAGTAAGCTTTAGATTTTTGCATATTATACATCTCAAGGCGCACGCTGTAAATGGGCTGCCATTTCTTGGCACGTGTGGACGCATAGAACAAACATTATTATCTATTGCATCACGGCGTAAAAATAGTCAACAGGCTACACAGTCGAGTAAGTTAGGAAGCACATAAACCATGGCTTGGGCTGTACAAAATGAGGTCGCCGAATGACCATGTTTACATCATAACTACCCGAGTCACAGAGCACCAATAATTCGTGTTGTTTACGTACAATTATGCCATTCTGTGCTTATTTGCATGGTGTGTATTACAAGTGTTTGGCTAGACACGCAGTAAAGATAGTCACTGTTAGGTTCAATCAATCTAAATGACATACATCTCCTACCACTACACATGCTGGCAGGTTGAATCTGTACAAGATCGAATAGGTACATTGCATCATTGGAGCTGGTTTATCAAATTTTTAACTACCTAGTATGAGTTTATAAGCATGGGGGTTGGTATATACTCGGTCGGCAAAAAGGGTCAAAGGTGGCCTCATTACCAAGCTTCGCCTCCCCAATACTACTACTAGGTTCAATCAAACTTACCTCCAACACGCTGAATATCAGACATGATTCAAATTTATGAAAAATTCCCGTAAAACTTATTGTTTTGGAGTAACCGCTTTGTAACAAAATTAACGCTTACCTGATACTAACAGCTGTACTGCCATCTAACCTCATAAACTTATAACCTCTGATTGTTAAATATACTTCAACAATATTCAACATAATCACATACTGGCTAAAAATTAGCACTCTGTGCCCCTTTTCCTTTAATTCTGGTAACATCTTATCAAATTGTATAAATTTTCCTGAGTCTAATATAAGGCTGTCTGGGAGAGTGAAATGACTTAAACGCTGAAAAAAAATCTCTAGTCCATGAAAATTCAAGCAGAAGCAGATAGCTAGGTACAATTGGGAGCAAAAATAGAACAAAATCCTCATAATAACGCACTAGTGAGTACAGGTGCCTCATCAAGACGCTGAAAAGTCTGTCCTAGCTCAAGACGTATTTTGGTCAAACTTTCTTCAAGTAACTCTTATACCGGAAAAATATAACTTATGTTTTTGCTCCCAACTGTTGTGCATATGATCAAAACAAAAATACCTTAAAATCTTTACACAGTGTGTGAATTTCAAAATCTGACATCCACGTCAAATCGTCAATGATATATTGCTCCACAGTGTCTTTGTAACCTGGATCAATAGCCAATAGTTTGGCTATTTCTGTCATTTTATCCATGTCATAATGATAACGCATGAGCAACGGGTGATTACTGAGTTTTCTCAGATCAGACATTATGCTCATGCCACTGTATGAATTTTGCCCATCCTGCAAAAATAACTACTATGAAGTACATAAAAACATTTTCTGATACATTATTTTCCATTAAAGTATCATCAAATATATAGGGTTTTGCTGGATATTATGGCAATCTTTCATATTTATTTAGAACACAAAAATTATGCACTTTAAAAAAGCCCAGAAGGCTTCCCTATGGAGATAAGGAGTATTGTAATGACAAAAAATTGCAAAAATTTGATATTGTTGTTGTTTTTCCCGAAAATGATCAGGAGCCTCTGACGTTTCAGAGACTCCTTCCGACTCATTTCTGTTTTTTTTTTGAGGGCAAGCATTTGGAAGTAGGGGAGGGTATGTTAGTTTTTTGGCACGAGCATATTTATACGCTTCTAACCCCGGTAATAATACGCACACAGATTTCTCCCTATATTCGACTTTAAGAATATTTCGATATCCGCATCGAGTCTACGAAAATAGGAGATAAATCTGTAGCGATGAAGCCGCAACGTTGGCGTTGATTGTCAAATGTTTTGGATACTGTGGACCAACAAATTTATACTAGGTAGAAGGAGCCAGTCAAGGCTTTGTTTGTCTCCTAATTTTCATAGTCTGTCGCGACATGTTTCAATTTTTTACAGTTCTGGCATTGATTTCTTATTGCTATCGTTATTTTTATAAAAAAGCCGAGCGTGTGCAGACAATTGTGGTGTTAAGACGATTTCTTACATAATTTGCAAAAAGCGGCACTAGCCTAATAAAGGTAGATGTTTCCAGTAAGTATTATTATTAATATATTGATACATCTCTTGCCATTTTGGTAGGCATTGGTAGTCAAATGAGTATGCACTAAAACTACTCATTAATTTTGGCGATTACGTACGAAAATTCAGAGTAATTTTTAGAAAGTTTCCAATTTTAACAATCGTGCAACAACGCAATCTTAACATAGCATTTCCCATTCATAAATAAGTAGTGTAAACTCCTGATAAAATATCGCCGACGCAGGTTCGGATAATTAAACAGTTAATAGTGATGAATATTGAAAAAAACAGGTAAATTGTGGGAAATATCATTGGAATTAACCACAAAAAGATGTAAACATACAGTTCGATTGACTTTGAACGTTGCCAGTTGTTTCGAAAATTACCTGAAAACATCGAAAAATAAAGATGAATACCAGACAGCAGTCTAAATTGAAAAAACCTACCTCTGTGAAAATGAATAAAGCTAATAATAGCTATATTCACCTACAAGCTGATGATTTTGAAGACAAAACTGTTACAAAGGAAGAAATACTATCAGATGTTCGAAACAAACTAGCCAGTGAACAATCCAAGAATAATGATCTGTGTGAAATCATTGTAAAATTAAAAGAAAAAACAGGAAAACTATCTAATGAGCTTTTGAATAAGGAAAAAACCATTAACGATTTAAAAGATTTGACAGAAAAGTTAAAATATAAGCCAAAGATATTATCGGAGTGTGGAATGCAAACTGACACTGTGGACCAGACTCAAGCGCACACGCAAACACCTGATCCACCACCATATAGAAAACTAGCGTGCGGGAACAAACCAACTGATGGAAGCTCATCATATACTAACAGTCTTATTCAATGTTCAATCGACTTAACCGATACCAGTGGTCTGGAGAGTGAAGTCGAGTGTCCTACTGACGAGGTACTGTTGGAGCCTTGTACCCAAGAACCGGCTGCCCTGCCATCACCGGCAGCAACAAATAAAAACAACCCAAACGACCGTAGGAAGATACTTGTTTTTGGTGTCGAGTATGCCAGGAACTTCAGAAAAGTTCTAGAACTGTACATTGACAAATCCAGGTTTACCATTGAGTCCTATGTAAAGCCAAATATCGAGTTTGTAATGGCGACCAAGGATATATTCACGAAAACAATACCTTATGGAAAAGACGACTTTGTAATCTTCATGATTAAGACTCAAAATATCAATAGTTCCTATTGTTTAAACAAGGGTTGATGCAACCTTCCACCACTTGGCCGCACTACCAACTTAATATTTCTGTACGAATTAAGTTCACATGCTGATAATAGCCTTATAAATAGAATAAATTCCAAAGTTACCACTTATAGGAAATTTAACAGAAATACGTCAATATCGCTCACCTATGACAGTCGCATGAAAGGTTCAAAACAGAGCATTGCAGGATATGTTCATGATATCCTACTGAGCAACCCATATAAAAAGAATATCACGTTGAAGACAATTAATCCTGAATCAGTACTATGTCATAAGCGGCTTTTTCTTGAATGACAAAGATCATAGCTTCCTAAATGTTAGCGTTTCAAATAATGTATTGTATACAAATTTAGATATTAATAAGATAACACGAGCTAATAATAAATGCATGGTAAATTTGTTACATCTTAATATACAGAGCCTACGACAAAAGGTTAACGATATAGCGTTATTAGGACTTGTACACAGTTATGATGTAATTTGCTTAAATGAACACTGGTACTTAAATGACGAAATTAACTACGTTAACATAAACGGTTATAAATCCATTTCTAATTTTAGCAGAGTGAAAAAAATTCATGGTGGTGTTGTCATATATGTAAAAACGGACTCAAATGCTTCACCTTTACGCACTTAATGTCTGATAGAGGCCGAAGAATTGACTTTTGAGGTTGCAGGCATATATTTTGATAAACTTCAGATTCTCACTATATACAGATCTCCTGCAGGTGACTTCAATAGATTTATAAATAAGCTATGTATTACATTAGACCAGCTTGACTATGTGCGTGTAGTGGTAACTGGAGATTTCAATGTTAAATTTGGTAGCAATTATGAGCGGGCAAACCAAGTTATTGATGTGTTTAGCTGTTATGGAATGCAATATATGATCAGGGACAGTACAAGAGGGTCGCATTGCTTGGATAAGATTTTCACGAACATCCAAGGCAGCTGTTTTCTCAAAACGAATATCTTTGATACTTACTTGTCGGATCACCTGGGGATCGAGTTTTGTTGTTTCCAACCTGGTAAAAAAACAGCTTCAAAAGGGTAAGTTATCGGCCAATTACTGATACTGGTCTTTTTCTAATTTACAGCAGCTTGGAAAGTACTGGCTGGCAGTTTGTAAATGATGTAAATCTAAACGTGGAGTTGAAGTTTGAGCTGTTCGTACGTGTTGTGACCGATGCGGTGGGTAAATGTCTACCAGAGAAAACACGCGTTTTCCAAAATAAACAGAAACAAGTCCAATGGTTTGACAATGAGTTACGTGGCATGCGCGATCACTTAACTTTCTTGATAGAATTGCACAAAATCGATTCATCAACTGTGACTAAATCCGAAATAAATTGCCTGAAATCCAAGTACAGAGCTGAAATAGTAAAACGTAAGCAAGATGCACACGATGTGTATATAAACTCATCGAATAATAAACAGCAAGCGATGTGGAGTATTATAAAAGACAATGCAGCACCTGTCGATAAAAAAATTACCACAACACTAAACGCTAACCAGTTTAATTCATTTTTCACCACCGTTGTTACTAACCTCTTAGAAACCTTACCGTCACATGGCACTTCACCACTAAGCTACATGGATAATCATAGCAGAAAAAATCTATTTTCTTTTCGTGATGTTACATACAATGAAGTTAGGGATGCGATTAATTCTATCAAAAACTCTAAAAGCATCGACGTATATAAACTTAATAGTAAAATTGTGAAATCGATGTTAAACGTAATTATTTACCCGCTTACTAAGATAATCAATATGTGTTTGGAATCAAATATTTTCCCCGCAGCTCTAAAAATATTTAGGGTAATTCCTATATATAAAGACGGGTCTGTTGACGAAGTTTCGAACCACCGTCCTATATCATTGGTACCCTACTTCGGGAAAATCTTTGAAATCATACTCAAGGACCAACTGAGCAATTATCTCGAAACCAACAATTTAATAAATTCGCATCAATATGGCTTTAGAACAGGCTTATCAACGATTACTGCAATAAACAGTTTTATTGACATTGCACACGATGGATTTGAAAATAAGCAATATATAGAGAGAGAGATATCTTCGATCTGAGCAAGGCCTTCGATTGTGTACAGCATGATGTACTTCTTTCAAAGCTACCGTATTATTCAATCGATCCTTCTGCTGTAGTCCTCCTAAAATCCTATTTAGAGCAAAGGCAACAGCTCGTCGAATACAATGGCTGCACATCGTCAGTCAGCACAGTTTTACATGGCGTGCCGCAAGGATCTGTCATTGGCCCTTTGTTATTCTTACTGTATATAAACGACCTACCAAATTGTCTTCTTAATAGTATGAACAGTAAGCTCATTCTTTATGCTGATGACACCACTCTGATCTCAGCCCACGATTAATTTACAAACATCAACAGCGAAACGACGACCAGTATATCTAGCATTCAGAATTGGTTTATAGCTAACAAATTAACATTAAATTCAAACAAATCTCAATCCTTGACAATCACACTTCGAAATAACAATCAGAATGGTGACCACGCAAAGGTTGTGAAGTTTCTTGGTGTCTATATCGACTCCTCCTTGAACTGGTATGAACATATCAGTCATGTTACCAAACCTCTAACAAGCATAATTTATTTAATTCGCAATTTAAAACCCTCAGTTTCACTAAACGTCCTGTTGACCAGTTACCATGGGTACTTGCATAGCAAAATGACATACGCCCTTCTGGCGTGGGGCCACTCTCCCCACATGTACAGAGTTTTGCCCTACAGAGAAGATGTATCCGATATATAGCAAATCTAAGATATAGAGATCCCTGGAGATCTGAGTTTATCAAACTAAAGATCATGACTTTTCCTGGCGCATATATATTGAGCTGCCTCTTGCATGTCAAGTCAAATCATGACCTTTATACAAGCCACCATGAAACTCATTCATATAATACCCCGCACCGAGACAACTTGTACCCAAAACAACATAGACTTTCTAAAACAAGGAATGGAGTTAACTACCATGGCATAAAATTTTATAATATTTTACCTAAGGAACTAAGATCACTAGCATACAATGAATTCAGTAATGCTGTGAAAAAATTGCTCTTGTCGGCTGCTTTTTTCACCATTGACGAGTTCCTCAACCACAACTTCTCCACGGATACTCAATAGTTATATTTCAAGCTACATTTCCTTTTTTTGCTACTTATTCGAACCATGTATAAAATATTTATTTCAGTTCTATCTCTTATACTATTTATTTATTGATTTTAACGTAGTTTGTAATAATTTTATCTTTTATACTTTTATTGTCATCCTCTTAACCATATTTAAGTCTGTGTAATCTGTACTGTTTGTTATTCTATGTATTGTTTGTCATTTATTTTCTTCTTGGAACTGAGGGCTTCTATTATATTGACTTGTGTAACCACGTTCTGTGCAATAGCACCAATAAACCATTATTATTATTAGTTCTGCAGCGTTAAATATGTAAATTAATAAGATATTATTTGAAAGATGTTTGACAAGTATTCATTCAGGTATACCTCGTTTATGTTTTTATATGAAGCCACTAGCTGTTCATAATGTTCTTTTTGTGCAGAAGCTAAAGGAACGTGGATAATATGATCTGTCTTCCTAGGCAAATCCTGAAGTACATCACACTTCAGCCTCCGCAAAACAAAAGGTTTCATTATTCGCTTAGCCTGCTCAATTTGCTCCCTCTCAAAAACTGGAATGCTGTCATCTTGATCTTGCTGCTTTTTCTGAAATTTTGATTACGAGGATTTTATACATCCCGAAAAGTGTTTGAATTCATAACTTGAAAATGTTATATTATCGTGACAACACCTAAGAACTTACCGAATTCTTCTGAAAAAGGCTCTTGATGTCATCTGCTTTTTCGGCAAATATTTTAGGCATGACAAATATAAGAAGTGACATGAGTTCTAACAAATTATTTTGCAATGGCGTTCCAGTTAAGAGGATTCTATGTTTAGCCTGAAAAAGGAATTTGTATTATATATAGCATTATTGGTTTTTGCGTGAGACAAAGTACTAATTGTCATTTCTTGGTTCTACTCAGTCTCTTCAAAATTTATTCAAGTACCAGCAGTGTGGAATATCACAAGTAAGGTACGAACAGTTTCGTTTGATGTCAGTGTTGCTTTCATATCACTATTTGACCCAGTCTTAATTACTTACATTTATCCGGATTAAATTTTCGTAACGTTGGGTATTCATGTTTTTTAGCATGTGTGCTTCATCAAAAATTACATAATGAATTCGAGTCACTCTAAACATTTTTCTTTCTTCCGGGCTACTCCCTACCATGGTGTAGCTGAAACCTAAGTATTGTAATGCCAGTCCGAAAGCTGAAATTGCATGCTTACGTTGTTAAAATGACGTCAAAATCTGCAAGCATTCCTTTCACTAAGTCAATGCGAAACTGCCTTCGCTCTTCTGTGGATCCATAATACATGAAAACTCTCAGTTCAGGGCACCATCTTGCAAACTCATTTTTCCAATTATCTTGAAGAATATGCTATCTTAGTCATTTCTATTTAGATAAATGATAGACAGATACATGATGGATAAATGTGTTGATCAATTCATTGACCTAACCAAAAGTTATGTCTCATCATCTACAGAAAGTCCATGAATGAATGAATTAATAACTAAATTCTCTGCATACCGTCCACCATTAGTAGACGGAGCATATGTCGCATAAACGGGCCTTTATGCACCTGTACATTCCCTAAGCCTCAAGCTCCGCCCTTCTAGCAAAATTGAGTATAGCCCTGACTTCAAGCTCCTTAACCTTCTGGGGATCCAAAATATCAGATCCCAGTACAGTCTGCCTGTAGTAGCTCAGAGTGGCACACATCTGCCCCGCAGCGTTCACACATTGGATCCTCAGCCACCCCCATCACAGGCAGGTGGCGCTTCATCGTGTTATGGCCAGACAATAGTCCCACCAACAACCTGAGGTTGGATCTATACAAAGATAAGCAAAAGCGTCCATCTTTAACACTGGGCCCTACGATGAGATGTCTAGAGATGCTTCTCCATTTCTGAGAGTGTTGTCTAGCAATCCACTTCTCCATTTTCGTTCTGACTCTTTGCGCGGGCACCCTACGGCTAGCTCAAGACTAACAAGCTTGCTATCGCAAGGGAATCTGCAATATCATTCTCCTTTATCACAGCGTGCCCCGGTACCCACACTCACGATACCGGATGAAAGAGGCCATAGTGATGTGGCCATTATTTAATATATTTGTAAATAATCCAGAAAACTGAAACATTTATTTTAAATGAATGACAACACAAAGTAGAAAGAACTATGGAGTATGCTCTCGATGTCTTACATATGTATTTGGTGATTTGTTTCTTTTTTACACATTATCCATGAAAGTATGAGCAGTAGCTCCATACCAATATAAAGGGGAGTTTTTAGTATGTGCTCAGTCGATAAGTCCGTTGTGATGTCTAAAAAAGTTGATTACAAAAATTGTAGCCAATGGTTTACTCCTTATTTAGAAAATATGTTTATCTCTACAGGATGGTTCGTAACTATGTGGTGACTTAAACATTCATTTATTAAATGGAAAGTTCTACATTTTATTGGCAATTTGGATAGGCCCATTTCAACAAAGCAGTTTGATATAACATAATATGGGACAAACAATCGAATAAACACTCAACTTTGACAGTTGCGACTCCGGAACTGCTATAGCTAGACTACTAAATTTTTCGTGATTTTTTATGATCCCATATTTTGTTCCTATCTACTTTTTCAGTTTTTTTAACGATTTCTCAAAAGTTCTAAATGGAACAACCTGTTGGTGTATTTTTATTATAAATTAAATCTACCAAGCCTCACGCAATAAGGTCGAAAAGACAAGGTGTCCCTCTGTTTTTTGTAACTCATAAACTAGTCGCACAAGCTCACATAGCCTTTATATCAGAAAAATGCTTGTGAAAAGGGGAATAAAAGAATGTAAAAATATATAGGGTATTTTAATTGAAAAGGTTGAGAAATGTACTGAGTGACAAAAAAAAAGGTAAACTCCTATGTATGTTTATTAGAATTCATGAATTTTGTATATATCGATTTATCTTGCCATGAACAACAAGTTATAAAATGGTCAGGTTTTTATGTTAAGTTTTTGTGGTGGCTGCGTGTATTGTTTGGTGATAAAGGCGCATTCAGGTTTCCTACATTTACGGTATCAGTTAAATATTAAATTTCGTGTATCTTATTGAGAAGCCTTTTTGTGATTGTTCTATCGATAAGAGCAGTTGCTAAGAGGACCAACAGATTCTTACGCAGTATATTGCAGTGTGAACGAGCGTGGAGTCAGGAAGGCAGAGGACAGCGAGCAAGGGGTTCTGGCTCTGAGAGACTGATGCATTAGTTCTAGTAGTAGTAGTAGTATTTATTGGCCATGTTGATACATAAGTATATATGGCAGGTCATTACAAATAAAAAACAAATAAATAAGCAAATAAATAAACAAATAAAACATCACAGCAAAAACCTTATTGATAGAAAGTAGCTTTAACATGCTAAGACATGCACAAATATTAGGTAACTGATATTTAATTATATTATTTGTACTTGTATTCTAAAAATTTATCAATCGTATAAAACCCTTCACCTGATAAAAACAATTTCACTTCATATTTAAAATTTTTGTATGTTCTTATATTTTTAAGATGCTGAGGCAGTACTATAAAGTATTACACAGTTGTAATGAGGTGAGCGCTTGAAGCGACTGGTGTTGGGTTTGAGGACAGTTAATGTCGCACTATTTCTGGTATTATGTGTGGTACTGCCCTAGACTCTCGAACTGGTACATGTTTTTCCAAACGTATAAAAGACACTTAAAAATGTAAATACAGTACAACCTCGATAATCCGAATACATGCTAATCCGAAATCGCGATAGTCCGAAATAATTTCGTTCCTCGACAATCCGAAATCGTATTGCGTCATACCTTGATAATCCGAAAAATCGTGTCATAGCCTGTCGAACTTCTCAGTACATAGGCTGTTAGTTTCGAGTGCGGTGCGTTCTTAGTGCCTAGAGTTAATACGCGTTTGAAATATAGTTATAATTCGTGCACCATGTCTAAGAGGAAACACAAGACACTTAGCCTTGCGCAGAAATATGAGATAATTCAGAAATTAGACAACGGACGAAGTCCAGTGCAGCTCGTCGCAGAATATGGAGTTGGGAGGTCAACCATCACAGATATAAAGAAAAAGAAGACCCAAATTGCTGAATACATGAATTCTCATCAACAACAAACAACACATCTGACTTTGAAGACGGCCAAGCACCCCAATGTAGAGACGGCGTTGTACACGTGGTTTCTGCAGCAGAGGACCAAAAATGTGAACATTTCGGGCGAAATCCTGCAAGAAAAGGCGAAATTTTTTTACGAAGAAATTACGGGACGGGACGACTTTGCGGCAAGTTCTGGTTGGTTGGATAATTTTAAAAAGCGGTTTAAAATTCGTCAGTTAACCGTTACGGGAGAAAAACTTTCGAGCAATTTTGCAGCAGTTGATCCATTTCAAAAACTATTTCTAAATAAAGTGCGGGAAATGAATTTGGGTCCGGAACAAGTGTATAATGCCGATGAAAGTGGGCTATTTTGGCGGGCGCTACCCAATAAGACATTAGTACATAAAGACGAAGACTCAGCTCCGGGACGAAAGATAAGCAAGGATCGGCTTACTTTCATGCCATGTGCAAATGCATCCGGATCTCACAAATTAAAGCTGTTCACAATTGGAAAAGCTGCCAATCCTAGAGTATTTAAAAACTGTCGAAATAAGTTGCCCGTGATTTACAAAAATCAGAGATCTGCTTGGATGAATCAAGAACTTTTCAAGCAATGGTTCCATGAAGAGTTCGTTCCCTCAGTGCAAGCTCATTTAAAGCAAATCGGTTTACCTCCTCGTGCTCTTTTGCTGTTGGACAATGCACCTAGCCATCCCGAACAAAAAGAACTGCGGAGCAGAGATGGTCTAGTCTGTGTCTTATATTTGCCACCAAATTGTACCCCATTGTTGCAGCCGATGGATCAACATGTCATTCAAGCTATTAAAATGCACTACAGGAAGCAGCTTCTTCTTCATTTAATTGCTGATGATACCGAACCTGCAGAAGCATTAAAAAGTTTCAATTTAAAAAATGCAATTTTTAATCTCCACACGTCGTGGGCATGGAAAAAGCTTTGGCCTTTAAATATCCATGAAAATTTGGGCGATGAATACGATGACGAAGAAGACTTGATGCCATTAGCAGAACTAAGGAGAAGAGCGATATCAGATGAGCGAGAATTTGAAGAAATGACGGTTCTGATGAATGTCATCTCATCAGGACCGGATCTTGCAGCGAATAAAGTTAGAACATGGGCCTTGGGCGACGCAGCTGAAAATGAGCAAATAACATTTTCTGATGAAGATTTGGTAAACATTGCATTAAGCGGCAACAACGATGACACCCCTGAAGACGCTGAAGGTTATGAAAATTTAGCAGTTGTGAGTCACGGTGAAGCCGTGCGATGTTTTACTACTTGCATAGAGTGGGCGACAGAGAACAGTGTAAGCGGCCCAGAACTGCTAATTCTTCGCCAGTTACAGGAAAAAGCAGTGAATTTACGCTTTAAGGCGCATAAGCAAACTGTAATAACTGATTTCTTTACCCAATAGATTTATGTATACATATGTATGTACTGTACTCATATAAATACATATGAATGTTAATTTAAGTTTTTTTGAAGGAGAAAGTTTAATTTTGTTTTACGTGCAGTATTTAACCTGACCACTGTCCTTGGTTTGTTAAATTTATGTTTTGTTGAAAAGAATAAAGTTTATTTTTTAATACTTGTGTCTAAATTTATTATTTTCACTAGTTTCACGATAATCCGAAAATTTGATAATCCGAATGCTCGGTGGTCCGAATCTATTCGGATTAACGAGGTTGTACTGTACCAGGTACAGTTAAAATTTTCTTAGATTTATATGTGGTTCTACATGTATTTCCAGGTGGAATATTGAAAATTAGGCGTATTAGTCTGTCTTTGTCAACACTGTTGCCCCATGCCATGATATTATAGCTTCTGTGTGAGTATGATAATGCATAATATACCGTCATTAGTGCATTCTCGTCTAAGGTCTTTCAGTTGTAATAAGGCGAAGAATGCCTTATTCAGTTTTTGGCACACAGTTTCAATATGGTCAGAAGAAGATAGCTTTGTGTCAAAGTAAGTACCCAAGAGCTTTGCGCAGTTCGATGCCTTAGTACCAGGAAGTATAGAAAAGTCGTTAGGTAGATGTTTTTGAATGGCGTAGTTCATTATGACGGCTTTGCCTTCATTTAGTATCAGGCTGTTTCGTTGACACCAGCCACTAAATTCATCAACAACATGGGCCACTTTATGTTGAAGCTCTTGAGTGGTTTGAAGAGCATGGAAGGATTACTCTGGTGTAGAGAAGGAATCCCTAGGGACCGGGAATGGAATCAGGTGGTCTTTAGTGACGAATCCCGCGTCTGTCTGGGGATGCACTGTGGTCGGGCAAGAGTGAGAAGGCGACGTGGTGAAAGACGTGACCCACATTAATTTGATATAGAGCGTTAACCACACCAAGGGAGTTATAGTATGGGGTGCTATTGCTTATAGTAGCAGATCACCACTAATTTTCATCAGAGGCAATATGACAGCCCGACGCTATATTCAGGAAGTAGTGGAGCCTCATCTTATTCCATACCTAAACACCATCCACTACCCGATTTTTCAGCAAGACAATGACAGACCGCATGTTGCCAGCGCATCGTTAGACTTCATGGATCAGCATCGCATCAACCGTTTACCTTGGCCACCACGATCGCCTGACCTATCTCCAATTGAACATGTCTGGGACATGATAGGTCGCAGACTCTTGAATTTGCAACACCCTCAACAGACTTTAGCAGCTCTTACTCACGAAGTTGCAGTAGCCTGGAATGAAATACCCCAACAGGATATCGACCACCTTATCAGCACGATGCCCAGGCGTGCCAATGAGTGTATAAGTACTTGTGGATCCTCAACACTTTATTGAAGCAGCTTCTGCAGTCAGTTGACGAATCAAGCTGAACATTTAATCATTTTACTAGTAAAGGGCACTGAACATATATGCCAAAAATTATTAAAATCAGATAAACATACGTAGGTGTTTACCTTTTTTTTGTCACTCACTATAGTTCATTTTTCCTCATTGTGTATTTTTTATTTTATATGTTACATGAAATTGATTCGTTTGAAAAGTCCTATCCAAATCCGCAAAAAAAATGTAGGGCTGTAGCATTTAAAAAAAAGTATGTTTGGGTCACCATATAGTTATGAATCACGCTGTACAAATAAAAATATCTTCAAAGTCAGGAGCATACATTCTTGGCTATAATTTTTGCATTTACCTTTTTTAATATACCAAACTATACACTCACCTTGGAAGTAATTATTATAAATAAAAATATAAATTTTAGAATGGCCCTTGCAGAACTCAATTGATGAGGAGCGCTTACGTGTGACTCGTTTATAATGACAGATACCAATCGCAAGCGAGTGTTTCACTACTGTCACTGTGATTGTGCAGTTTTATATGCATAATTAAGCTATAGATTGATTCAAGCGAATGACAGGTAATTACCATGCAGAATTGGTCATTGCTGTTATTTACCAATATCGCTTAAGTAGATTTGGTCATTAATGTTTGAGGACATAAAGTAGCTCTTAAACATCACAGTTTGACAGTTCAAAAGACTGCGGTATTTACATAGCCCTAGAGTTGATTCTATCCTCTCCACATGCAACTTGTCATTTGTCATCACCTAAAACCTAAACAAACAAAGCTCTCTGGGGAGCCTACTTTTTTTACATGTTTTTCTATTATGAATCGAAAATTTTTGAATCCTCTGATGTATTTTTCTGGACGTGGAGTAAACATTGTTTAAATCTGTGAGCCATTCTACTAATTTTAGGAGTCACTGAACATTTTTGCATAACTATTCTCTATTGTGATCTTCGATGTAAATATATTTGGATGGTCCATATTGTGGTAGGCCAAACCTCACTGGTTAAAAGCCGTCTTGTCAGCATTAGCAGCTCGCTTTTTCTCATTTTGTTTTTTTATAAGGGTATCCTAACAATAAAAACATATTCCTGCAAACCTATAACCTTAAAAGAAACAGATTTTGATAGCAATGACGTTTCGACCAACCAATTTTAAGCGCTCCGTTTTGGTCATATGTTGACGTAAATTCTTAGGGATGCAAATTCTGTTGCATTTGTTGTAGTTTTTTAAAAGTATGTAATTGTAGCAATCATGATAAATGAATCTTAAACAAACAAACCGCGGAATTTACATCGTTCGCTTGAATCAACTTTATAAATGTACGTACCTAACGTTGACGAAGGCACAATCACAAGATGAGGATGGGTCGCAGCTCCAATTTCCTTTAAATGAGCTAGGAATGAAATTATTTGTACTGTTTTACCTAATCCCATTTCATCAGCCAATATTCCATTCACTCCCTGAGAATACAATACTACCAACCAGTTGAGCCCTACCATTTGATAACTGGTTAATTTTAACCTAAAAAGCAAACATGAGTAGAACTAGGAATAAAAGTGAAAAGAGCATTTTGATGCCAACTGCCCACACCAATAGCAATAAGAGATGAGAGATATGAGTTCCTATCAATTTTGAAAAAGACATGCTTTGGAAGAGACTGTTTTTTGTTCGATACTGGGAACCTATTAGACGAACTATTCGGAGAAAATATATTAGTACATCGGTAGGAACACGCAACCTTGTCTCCGTCTGTCGATCAAAAAGTGGTTAATACAAAAAACACATGAAAGTGCGTGGGTTTCTATACAATTCAAGCGTTCCAGAGAGCTGGTAGTGTTGCGAAAGGGTATATACCGTGTTGGACTTTTGCTTTGATAGCTGAGAGGTAGTTTCGATTTATTTCCACTTGATTTTTGGCAACAACATTTTAAACCTAACACAACACCAAAAAATTCAAAATGATGAAAAAACAAAATTTGTCATGAATACTGAAAAGGGCAAACTGGAATCTTAGCTTTGGGTCTCATCTACATTAACTTAGGATCTAAACATTCTTAGGAAAGTTCTTTACTTTTGGGTTATAAATAGTAATTTTGCGTTTTCTGTTTTTAAGCGCCATGAAATTCTGTTAAGAAACCTTAGCCTCAAAAAGTATATTGATATAATTAAATGAATCACTTCTAAATCAAGATAGTGACACTGGCATCTGCTCGAATCAAACAACATAGACAGCTATTTAGAATAACCAAGGGTAGTTTAAGCGAAGTACCTTAATATTTCTAATATCACGTATTCCGCCATTGCTACTATTTGATGAAGACAATTTCCTTCCGAAATTACGAATTCGTACGCTTATCATTGTTAGAATAACCGAAATTTACAAACCAACGCATTGGATTAAATCAAATTTTACATTGTAAAAGCCAATTTTCGAGGCGAGTTATACATATTTATAAAATTGCGACAGCTCATAAAACTTGTAGTTCACCTGTATTCCTCTACAAAATCCAACCCGTACATCCTCGAGTTCGTTCTGCGGGGCGGCCTTGGGCCGTGTGCGACCGTGTAGGGGGGGCAACGGGGTGCCGGTCGTGCGGTGGACCGCCTCGATCAGTTTTTGAGGAGACCCGCCGGAAAGCCGGTAGCCCGGCCAATCGAATGTATATCTGAGACGCCTGCAGCTCAACGGTCATCATGGGCAATGGTACTTTACCCAACCCAAGGTGTTAAGCGATTCCGTGCCGAGGGGTGCGTGGCGGTGGGGATGCACCGTCTTAAACGGAGCCTCTCGGACACCGGGCGACCTTCCAGAGTATCCAGCCTTGCGTCCGTGTAGGGGCACCGCGGACGTCGACCACCATACACCTATACTCGTGGGAACAATATGGAACACGAAGAAAATAATAAAAACCCCAAGATCCCCCCTACGGGGGACCCCGAACATCCAGGCGGCCCCTCACCAGGGGACCCTGATCGTACTCTGACAGAGGAATCTGTCAGAAACTTAGCGAGAGAGCTAGCGGAAAGGGTGGGCTCTCTAAAAATTAAGTCTCGGCCAGGTTCCGAAAGGAAAAGGGCTCGGAGCGGAGAGAGGCGCAGATGACGGAGGGCGCGGAAGGTCGGGGCACCACTTCTGGGGCTCCGGCTGGACGGACCCAACCGCCATCTGGGCTAGACGGTGCGCAATCCGGCGTGTCAGCAGAGGCTCTAAAGCGGCCTGGCGACGGGAAGCGGCAGAGGTCTGCCGGTGGGACACCGGAGGGCGCATCCTCGCGGAAGAAGCCTCGTACTGCGACGCATGCTCATATTAGCTATGCACGTGCGTCCCAAGTGGGTCTCAGGGTGGCTGTCGTGTCCGACGGTTATCCTGGGACTCAATTTACTGAAATGCGGGTACAGCAGGTCCAAGAGGCGGTCAGTGAGCTGATAGATGGGCTCGCAGATGAGGCGGCCCGTCCCAGGTACATTGACTGCTACCTCTCTCGAGGGGCAGCCATCTTTGTCTGCGAGGGCGAATCCTCTAGGGCATGGTTGAAGGCCCACGTGGGGGATCTGCGGCCGTGGGAAGGCGCAAGGCTCATTACGATAAGCTTTGGAGACCTTCCCATATACCACCGCGTGATGGCCTGGTTCCCGGGTCCCAACCTGGGAAACGTGGTCATCATGAGGAGACTCAGCAGGTACAATCCTGGGACTTTTCCCAGCGCATTGAGGCTACTTGAGAGGAAGGAGGAACAGAAAGGTGACCGACTTGTCCTCTCAGTTGATTCCATAAGCTCGAAGGTCATTGAAGGTTACGGCAACAGGCTGTGTTGCGGTGGAAGTTCGGGGGTGTTTACACTCCTGAGCTCTCGCTGGAACCACCGGAGGTTACGGACGTGGAGGCGGCAGGTCCCAGCGGGATATCCGCAGAAAACATCGCGGCGGGCCCTGCGATGGATCTGGCCCCAGAGGGCAATGATAGCGACTCGGACGAGGACGGAATCCTGAACCGAGTCCGAGAACTCCTCCGTGGAAGCGGAGATGAAGGCGGCTGCGACAGTGAAGACTGCGGCGGCGACGGCGGTACGCCCGAATAGGGGGACACATACCGTCATTCGGGAAGGTGTAGGAGGGGCCTCTCAACACCCATGGTAAGTCTTAATTTCATTCAAATTAACTTACAACACTAAATAGCGGCTTCGAGGGCCCTCACTCAGGAGATCACTCGAGGCCGACATGACGTGGCTCTTATCCAGGAACCCTGGCTGAGAAACGGTTCAGTAAACAGACTTAGTATACCGGGCTATACGCTTTTTAGCGATACTCCGGACACTAAGCCCAGAGCTTGCGTAATGACTTCCGTTAACACATGGAAACTTAAAGAATTTACCTTTAGAGACTTAGTTGCAGTCAGAATTAGATATAAAAAAGAAGGCAGTGACAGGGACTTGGTCGTATGTTCGGCTTACCTTCCTTACGATTCAAGAGAGCCTACTCCGTCCAAGGAAATGGGGGAAACATTGCAGACTAACAAAAAATGCCACTTGCTGATCAGAAGTTCATCTCGGTAGACGTCAAAGCGTGATGGATACTCGTGAAATAGATACAAACACCTTTATCTGTTTATAACCTTAGACATGACCACCAACCTAACTAGCGCCAGCTACTTCTGGCTCTCCAGATTACCTCCTATTGATATCTATTGAATTTGGACGGAAAATTATACTTACGAAGAAGACAAGCTAGGAGGCTGTTCTTTAACTCCTGCACCTGCAGCTACAGCACGTTCTAGTTGCTGAGCTAATGCAGTACATTTTTTCATTAAATGCTTTATATTATTTCTAGTCAGCAACACTTGTTGTGCTGCATTCAACAGATCTGGGCTTAGATTCTTATTTGTTTGGAGCTTTTGTACCTACAAGATTGCAGTGTATATATAGTGCTATTCTTTAATGTCTCCCTCCCCTTTGATTTTTTGAACGGATCAATTCAAAAAATTAAAACTTAAAATTGACAGATGAAAATGTCAAGATGTCTTGGAAAAAAAAATTATATAAAAACGGGGGTCTTGTGGCACATCATTTTGAAGCTCCTGACGAGTACTTTATAACCCTAGAATATAAAGTCAATACCTTTACCTACTTCAAAATGGTGGGGGATTTACTATGATCTCACCAATTATTTCAACTTGCTTTTCTTCCGGGATGGTCGGATGATCTGGGGGCTTTATGCTGTTATGTTGCTTACACTACCAGTAGCTGTAAATTTAGATACAAGTTCCCTTAAATATTTTCTACAGATAGGATGATTCGGGAAACGATCATTAAAAATCCTTTCGGTTCCAATGGACGAGAATTAACCATTTTAAAAATAGGTCAAACAGTATCGAGCACTAAAACCAAAAACTAAATAAGAATATTTTAACTGTACAATGATGTTTGTTTTCGTACTCATATTCTTGTCACTGTCAACAAAAAATATCAAAACAAGTTTTTATCGCTGTTGCTGTGGGAATTATAATTATTTGTAGATATATGCATGTTAGTGGGTTTGTGTTCAAGTAATTATTAAATGTACCACCATTTTGTAGTAGGTAAAGGTATGGACTTTATAATCTAGGGTTATAAAGTACTCGTCAGGAGCTTCAAAATGATGTGCCACAAGACCCCCGTTTTCATATAGTTTTTTTTCCAAGACATCTTGAAATCTTCGTCTGTCAAATTTACTCTAAAATATGGTATCCACGCATCAATTCCATTACCCCAAGTTTTAATTTTTTGAATTGATCCGTTCAAAAAATCAAAGGGGAGGGGAAAATTAAAGATAAGCACTGTATATAAATATATTTAATGAATCATAGGCAATTTTATTATTTGTCAGTGTTGCTAGGTGAAAATAATGAGGACCAGTAGATTCCTTACATGTATGTTCTTTAATGTTTATGCTGCCTTGACAAATGTAAAGATGCTGAGCTGATATACCCTATCCATAACACTACATACTGCAAAAAATTCGCAATATAGTAAAATATATAGATAGAAATATTAATTAATCCTTAGACGACTCTGTCACATTTATTAGAAGATTTACACATTTCAACTAAATGTTTAATAAGGTTAAATAAATAAATTTACCAGGTCAACCCATCCAGTGAAAGGACGTGCTTCTATAATGGCTTCACCCTTTTTCTTTGAACAGCTGTTCATCAACTGCAATTCATTAACTGTAGCTGATTGGAAAAACTCTAATACTCTCTTTTTATCGCCTGTCAATTCATCACTTATTTCTACATCAGAATCTTCGTCACTGAAATATGTAATATACAAGTTTAATTGAAAAACCTTAATACAGGGTGTCCCAGAAGTCGACGTCAAGCCGGAAACGAGGATAGGCCAAGTCATAATAGTTATCAGGAATATATAAAAAAAATAAGTCGTGTACTTTTCAGGTCATAGTTCCCAATACAACAAATTTCATTATTTTCTTAGACGGATTGACGGAAGTGACAACAAGACATATAGTAACGCCATCTTTATTAATTCGTGAATGTATTTATTAAATTCACAATAAATATTCAAACTGCCTTCATTCAGCAGCAATGCAAGCTTGACATCTTAAAAATGATCTTTCATATTAACAAATTCAGCTGTTTCCGTTATTCTGTCCCATAGCACAGCTAAATTTTAGATTGGCTTTGAGTAAGCTTTTTCTTTCACCGCTCCCCAGTAAAAAAATCGACTGGATTTAAGTCAGGGGAACAGCCTGGCCACGAAATTTTACCAGACCGCCCTATACATTTGCTCGGGTATTCCGCATCAAGATACTCCCTAACTAAACGGACATAGTGCGCCGCAGGAGAATTATGTAAAAAGCCTAAAAAATAATCTTCATCATTCAAGAACTCTGGCAGCTCAAAGGGTACAATGATTCTTCCATTTAGAATCCCGGTCCTCGTGTGGTGTCTCTGTAACGTTGACAAAACTCAACTCTTGGAAGACAATCCTGGGGTTGTACAGATTGTACTAGCTGTACGTGGTATGGGTGGAGCTCGTTCTTTCGCAAGATTCGGTGGGCTGTGATTTTGGGTACTCCCGCGCTTGATCCTATTTGATATACTAAGTACTCCGGGTCTTCTTCGACTGCTTGTAATACGACGTCCTTGTAAGGAAAGGAAATTATTCCTTCACCATGTGCTTGATTTGGAAATCGCCTCACTGCGAGTAAACTGTGCACATTCACAAAAGCAATGCATCTACTTTCTCCATAAATGACGTGCAGCTTGGAAATACAGAATTTCCAAAGTCTAAAGACATTTAAAAATCTCTTAAAAGGCTATTTAATTGAAAATAGCTTTTATTGTGATATATGCCGTTAAATCTTATTTTTTACTATTTGAACGTTTTTTGTTAGATGTTTGAAAATGTATGACAATTCCTATACAATGTTTTTTGTCGAGAGGAAATAAATAAATAAATGTTGGTGTATTCCTGTATGGTGTATGTGGACATGGTGACACTACACAATCATAAATTAGTAAAAGTGGCATTACTATCAGTCTTGCTGTCACTATGTAGAATAACACTGTCTGTCGATGTGTCTAAGAAAAAATTGAAGTTTGTAGTAATGGAAACTAAAAGATCATCACAGGTTTTTTCGTTTTTTTTCTAAGCCTATAATCTGAAAAGCACATGACTTGGATTTTTTTATATTTTACTGAAAACTATTATGACTTTGCCTATCCCCCGTTTCCGGCTTGACGTCGACTTCTGGGACACCCTGTATATAATTCATGTTACCTGTCAAATACTCGTTTGTCTTTATAACCTGCACTACCAGTACTGTCATCACTGTCACATGAAGCTCTCCTTCTTTTTACTGTAAGAAAATAATCTATCAATGATAGATGTACGTTGTATATTTCATCTCTTATTGAAGGGATAAATTCATCCAAACAGAATTCATCAGCTACACTATTTTCCATGATACTTTGACATGTCAAAATACCCAATACAATCAAGTAACAGAGGCATACTTCATTTAGCTTCTTACTTCCTGGTGATGCATAAACCTTTGTACAAGTTTCGAGTATATTGCATAAAGTAACTATGCAAGTTTTCATCATCATGACCACATTTCAATTCAAACAATAATTAAATAAATTTTAACCAATATTTGTTGGAAATAGTTCTGATATACCACAGAATGTCAACAGATTCACTTTTTGCTAATAGAATAAAACTTAAAAATTGGCATCAGGATATCAGTCAAAACTTATTTACCATACATACTTAACATTAGAGAGTTATTTTATTTACCAACAAAATTTAAAATACATTGTCGCTTTAGGTCGTCTGCATGATACATGTCTGCTTTTTTGCTTAAGTCAGTTTTCATTGGGCTCTCCAAAAGAGAGTAATATTAATTTATTTGTACCAGATATCTGGCACAAGTAATCTTAAGTATTTGTGTGAACAACTGATTTGTCATAAGGCAGCTGCCATCAGATCTGCCCTACCCACATGGCTTTATATATTCTGCTTGACAGAAGGGGAGAGGTGCTAAGGCAAGATAAATTCAACGTCTGGTCTTTGTGAAGGGTTGCAAGACATTGTGTTGTCCTCTGCTTAGATATCCTGGCTGCTGATGGGCTAAGTGGATAGGTAGGTGTGTGCTTGGGTGTTCTTGTAGTTTCACTAGCATTTTCTGTTGCAAAATTGTTAACCTGATATGGTAGGCAGAACATTTCCCAATATTGTTTCGTACTAGCCTCCCTGCACCCATATAGGATTTCCTCCAGTAGACCTCTAGTGAATTCAATCCTATCAGACTTATCCTTGCACCTTCACATCAACATTTGATTTCCATACAATTATGGGGTGCAACATTGTAAGTGCTACATTAGCTTTATGTAGGTGAGTGTTGATGTGAGATCTTGGAGACAGTCTCTTGTTAAGTGCAACTCTAAGGTGTCACATTTTTCCAAGTATTGGTACTGACTCACTTCCAACTGTAATCACACTAAGTAAGTAAGTAGTACGTAACAAGAGCATATATCCATGTCACAATTTAGTCCCCACTTACCATAATTTAATAATTTGCATGTGGCCCATTCAGTATGGATAATGACATGATCTAGATTTGAGGAACAATTTAATACTGAGGTAGTTCTCTAAAAGATGGCTGATGAAGGCTGGGGTATAATGTTGTTGCATTTTGTACTCTAGCCCCTTGTGGTGTATGCTTCCAAAGGCTTAAGTAAGGTCAGTTGACAGCATAAGGATATAAAGAAGTATATATATATATATAAATAGTGTAGTTAAAGAAATGTAGGGATTTATATAAAATTGACTTTCTCAGTGGTTCCTGACTGTGACTAACTAAACAGTTTAGTTACCTCTTCTTTTTTTTACTTGTGGTTCATCATTGCTGCTTTGTCTTTTAAAACTCTGCTTTTGTTCATTCAGTACATTCATAGCTATTTGAGATTGCTTGGTCTCTGCCTGACGTTGTTCATAGTCTTGTCTCCACTGATTATACTGTTGGAAACCACTTTGCGGAGGTGGCTTGTTGTATGTTTTAGACAGTTCTGCAGCTGCAGCATCAGTATTAAAGCTGTGCTTGGACAAACAATCGTGGATTTTCTATAAAATGAAATAGTAAACAATCGTAGAGGTTAGGTATTACATTGAGTATTGAAACATAGAACATACCATAGCTTCAAGGTTTGGGAAAATTTCAAGAAGGAATTTCATTTGCTTCTCTTTTTCTAGAATTGAAGGGTTCTTAGAGCACCTTGCATTATTATATTTATTATTCAAGGTACTGTTAGTTGTAATCACGACAGGACGTGGTGTGCCTTGTGTTTCAAGTTCTGAGTCAGAATCAACTTGAGGCGAAATTATCCTCTTTCTGACCATACCATCTCCAGATTCAGAGGAAACTTTCGGCGCTGGAAAGACGACCACAATAAGAAAATATACTCCAATTATGCCGTAATGACTACTTACAAGTATCAAGTTGACTATCATCTAGATTACGTGAAAGTTGTGGTTTCTTCTGATATCTAAAGCCTCTTAATTTTTGTAAATTGGGTGCTCCTTCCTCAGACATAACGATTTAAAATAATTTTTTGTGTAACAAAATCACAATTTCAACAAAAAACGGCAGTAACAGGAGTAACAGAATGCTGAACAAGGAGAGCACAACGAACAACGAGGAACGAGCACAAGTTGGCAATCCAATCGGCGTTTGTCGATTTGATTGTACATCAATTTTGACATGGAACGCAAAATCTGAGTTGAGGGAAATTTTTTTCTAGGGATGTGTACATAAGTACGATATCGAACGTCGTGCCCTGCGAATTGAAGGGCTTGAGGCAGTAAGGGACCTAAGTCACATTGGCTTTATTTTGAGAAAACTGCATTTATTTTTTGCTACAATAGATCTACATTTTGAGGAATAAAGATTTGCTGTCGACAAAATCGAAAAAAATATAACGCATTTTGTAAAATAAATTTAATTATGAAAATACTATGGCTTAATGCCTTATCGAAAAAATGTACTTCTATGGTAATTTTGAAATGGCTTGTTTTATAAACAAACAATTTGGGTGTCCACTGTTGAAACGGTAGCGCATTTAATTGAATTTGACAGACTACACTGCTCGAAACATTTTTTGAAGTCTTCCTTAGAAATGTCTGACAGCTCCTCCCTCGTTTTTTTCTTGACCTCTTCAATGTCGTCCTTTCATGCCCCTTTTCATCCGTGGAAATAAGGAAAAGTCGCACAAAGCCAGGTCAGGCGAAAGAGGTGCGTGAGGCAGCGGACCCATGCCATTCTTAACCAGAAACTGTCGAACAGAGATGGCTATGTGCATTAATCGTGGTGGAAGAACCCAGTCTCCTGACTGCCACAAATCGGGTCTTTTTTGCCGAACACTGTTTCGAAATCGTCTCCAAATAGCACAAGCTCTCGAATTTTTTCAACACTTTCGTCGATTCGGGCAGTTGATGGACGACCAGAGCGAGGTTTGTCATCAATCGACATGTATATCAATACAAGTATATTCAACTGTATGTTTTCTTTTTTAAACAAATTTCAATTTCGTTCGTAGAAAAAATTTATTTCTTTTGTTTTTGTCTATGTTGCAATAGAAATATGTATTTATGTAATATTTACCAATTATTAAATTAGTTTTTTTCGCTGCCATGGCTAATAATTCAAGAATTCATTTAAATTCGCAGTACATTTCCTATCATGTGACAAATTCTTTAGTTAGATTTTATTAAAAAATGGCATAATTTATCGATATTCACTATGAGTACCTTTTTTATGTAGAAAACCCTAAACTTCCAAATTCTAGAATTGAATTTCAAAAATAGGATCACACAAAAATGTTGGGGCTAAAATAACCTGAGTCCGTCCCTGTTACATACGCTTCCAAACAAAACTGTCTAAAATTGTTAATATTTTTAAATCCAGCATAAAAAACTAGGCTGGAATACCAAATTTTATGTCTTTATCTCAACACGTTTCGGAAATATTAAGGAAAAACCATCTTCAGGGGACCCCTTTAAAAGACCGTAGCGCCCTTAGGGGACGTTTGTCGACCTATGTTTATATAAACTTCTCTTCCTATTTGAAGCTCTAGAAACCGCTGGTAGAATATTGCACACTTTTTTCGGGACACCCTGTATATACAGGGTGGGCCATCATGTGTGGACGGAATATTACTCATAAACAAATACATTTTGGGAAAATATATTTATGACATATTATTTATGACATTTGAGGGCACATTTCTAAAATATTGGCAATTATACAGGGTGTCCCAATTTTGACCTACGTATCAAAGTTGTGATTTTTTAAATGGAATGCTTCAAATTTTATGGCATATTTTAATAAACCAATTCAAAAGAAGAAAATTTATATAACATACTATGGGGTTTTAGTAATTAGCTACTGAGATGTGAGGTGTTTTGACAGAAAAACCGCCCACTTTGGCAACCCCTCAATCCGCCATTTTGAAATTTGGAGTGCTGAATTTGGTATAAAAAAAACTTACATACCTCAGCTTTTATCTGATTTGTCAATTTGTTACTTTTTTGAATTTCCATTTTTGCTCATATAGGGTGGTCAAAAACGCGAATTGTACTTTTTCTCAAACATTTCAAATGCATCACCCTATATATATATATATATATATATGTGCAAGTGTGGATTAAATTTTTTATAAGCTTTTTTTCTGGTATAAGGTTTGATTCAGATAAAATCAATAGATTTTGAGTTATTAAGCTTTTAATAGAACAACACACCAAAATTAAGGAAAAAAAATCACATCATCCATGGAAACAAAAGACAAACAGTGGGCTAGTTCCATATTGCCACTAAGGCCGGTATCGTCAGTCGTCCCTACAATTGTAGGGCGCGTTTAAGGCCTCCTTGATTGTCGTACTCCTTTCTCTCCTTCAAACATTTCTAGATTACACTTGTCCCGTGTCAGCGTCAGCGCTCTCCTATTGTGAAGATATGTTTTCTTTTTAAATTGTAGGAAATTTCAGGCTGATAAAACATGATATAACTCAAAAGCAAGCACAATTTGATGCAAATAGATGTTTGTGACATAACCTCAAAATAGGGCGCTGACACGGAGAAGTAGAAAACTATGACAATCAAGGAGGCCATAAAGGCTACAATTGTAGGGCGCCTTTATGGCCTCCTTGATTGTCATAGTTTTCTACTTCTCCGTATCAACGCTCTATTTTGAGGTTATGTCACAAACATCTATTTGCATCAACTTGTGCTTGCTTTTGAGTTATATCATGTTTTATCAGCCTGACATTTCCTACAATTTAAAAAGAAATCATATCTTCACAATAGGAAAGCGCTGACGCTGACACGCGACAAGTGTAATCTAGAAATTTTTGAAGGAGAGAAAGGAGTATGAGAATCAAGGAGGCCATAAACGCGCCCTACAATTGTAGGGACGACTGACAATACGGGCCTTAGAGTACAGATTTGACGTCAAAACTAATAACAATCAGAACAGTATAAATCAGCGTCAAGCGTAATAGAGAAATACAACTATATCAACAACATAAACAAACAACTATCACTACTCAAGACCTAATCTACAAAACCTGCTCGAAAATATCTCCACCATGTTGAATACACAGCTGTAGTCTTTGGATAAACGACCGTTGCACATCCCTAAGCATGTGTTTCCTCATGTTCAGAAAAGCATCCTTAATCCTTTCCTTCATATTTTCCGGGTTAGATGGTGGATATCTATAAACCTCTTGCTTAACGTAGCCCCACAGAAAGAAGTCCATCGGTGTCATATCTGGTGATCTAGGAGGCCAAGATATAGACCCATCACGACCGATCCAAGGATTGTTACTCCAGGTGTCCAAATAGTTACGCACACGATTATGATAATGCGCAGGTGCGCCGTCATGTTAGTAGAGTACAGGTTGACATCCTCCAAAAGCAAAGGCAAATGCTCGATCAAAAAATTCAAGTATTCTGTACCTTCTGTTGTCGAAAAAGAAAGGCCCGATAATGCCAATAACTCCTCCCCAAACATTCAAACTCCATTTATTTTGGTAAAGGTTTTCCGTCGCATAATAGTGCATGTTATGCGTGTTGACAACACCTATGCTGCTAAAAGTTGCCTCATCGCTGAAAAGAACCTTATCCAATAAAGTAGTGTCTTCATTCACTTTATTTAGAATTATTCTACTAAACTCCATTCGAGCTGCGAAATCCTGAGGACGAAGGCCTTGATGCAAGGATAGGTGATATGAATGGTACCTATGCTTGTGAATAATCCTTTGGACACCTGCATATATCAGTTTCTGCTCCAATTTGCCGTGCACTTAAATGGGGATTTTCCTGCAACTTTAATAGAACCTCCAACTGATTCGCCTCATTGGTGACACTTGGATTATTTATACATTTTTTACTATATTCCACTGCTCCACTTGATTCAAAACGTTCTCGTGGTGTGGAAAATGTTTCCGGCCTTGGATGTCGCATATTAGGGTACCGTTGCTTATAAATGCGAGATGCTAGGAAACTATTTCTTTGGGTTTCACCCAAAACGAACACCATATTCACCATTTCTTCTTTTGTTGTTCAGTTTGTAACTTATCAACAATTTATTTGTTTCCAAGGATGATGCGATATTTTAGGAAATTAAGCCGTTCCATAAAAGACGTACTAATAACCGAAAAACAGCCGTAAAAACGCTTGTGTTTAGTATCAAAAAAGCTTGTAAAAAAATTAAATCCAAACTTGCACAAATATACAAGGTGATGCATTTCAAATTTTTGAAAAAACTACAATTTTCCACCCTGTATGAGCAAAAATTAAAATTCGAAAAAATAACAAATAAGATAAAAGCTGAGGTGTGTAAGTTTTTTTTGATACAAAATTCAGCACCCCAGATTTCAAAATGGCGGACTGAGGGGTTGCCGGAATGGAGGGTTTTTTCTAGACAAAACACCTTATATCTTAGTAGTTAATTACCAAAACCTCATAGTATGTTATATCAATTTTCTTCTTTTGAATTGGTTTATCCATATCCAATAAAATTTGAGGAATTCCATTTGAAAAATCACAAGTTTGATATGAAGGTCGAAATTGGGACATACTGTATAATGGCCAATATTTTAGAAATGTGCTCTCAAATGTCATGTATAACATCCTATGAATATATATATATATATCAAGGGGGGTGAGGTATGACATTGTAGAGGGTGGATTTATCGATAAAAATAGCTGAAAAATATCCCCCTCAAATATCGGTATGTCGTGACCAAACACATTGTATATATATATTGGTCACGACATACCGATATTTGAGGGGGATATTTTTCAGCTATTTTTATCGATAAATCCACCCTCTACAATGTCATACCTCACCCCCCTTGACATGGATCCATACCGCTGCGAACGAAATTAGGGCTGACACGGATATGGTCTGCCGCTCAACACGGCACATTGTTTTAAGAACAACAATGTGCATAACCAATAATGGAAGACATTTTGAACAGCTTCTGTAACATTAAACATGTCCAAACTCTCTATAAGAAACATTGATTTGTCATTTCTATGCATATAAAGTTTGAAAACAATTTGCATTTTATTACACCCATTTTGACCCATGTTAGATAGCATTTATTGCTTAACGTAGAATACTTAGGATAACAAAAAGCTGTAGAATTAGCACAAAAAAGGTACAACTTCACAGGATAGTTTTTGAATGGTGTGCAGAAATGCACAAAATAATCAATTTTCTTCCACAATTTTTTTCTGTTTTTGTCTGTTTTTAAGTATGTTTGACGGTTTGTATCAAAACAAGTTTTTCAATAATCGCTTAGTCAGCATGTCATCGTTCAAATGACACTAAATTTATCATTGTGTGATAATTACGTACTCAGTTATTACAATTTTCATACATGCACTACCGTAAGCGTAACGTAAAAATAAAAATGGCTGCCAGCTCAAGGGGAAAAGGTACGAATTGTAGGGGGATGGATTTGTCGATAAAAATAGCTGAAAAATACCCTTCTTAAATATCGGTATGTCGTGACCAAACACATTGTATATATATAGAATATATATATATATATATATATATATAATATATGCATTCTCTCATACCTTAATAAGTACAAAGTTCTGAGTTAAAATACATTTGTTTAATAAAATTGCGTATGTTTGCCACCTTAGGCCGGATAGTTGAGAGTCTACTGTGTAAGACGTCATAAGAAGTGTAAACTTAGTGCTACCTAGTAAAGATCCGAATGCTGCTAACACACGTCGTTTTTCTTCGTTAGGCAGGCATCACCATGACAGTGTTGCTATTTATACTACCTCTATGATGACTGGCTATGTAATACTGGCATAACATACTTTATGTCATTTGAAATAGTATTTTTAAGTGAATAGTACCTACTAACTCAATATATCTACATTATAAAATGAACGATTTCACAATAAAAAGAAAAACCTGTCGACAAAGGGTTAACTAATAAAGCCTGAATTATTATTATCATCTCCAATACCGAGGCCATTATGTGGGATCCTGAGTCAGCAGGCGTAGACATATTGAGGCATTTTCAGATTGCAGATAATCGTTATCAGATTTCACTCTCGGCGAGTATATCTTTTCTGTAGCTCTACCTAGTCTAATCATATTAGCAAATTTTCACGAAATAATTGTATGTATAAAGTCTGGTATTATTGAAGCAAGTTGTTCAAGGGGGTATTCAAAACATGGACGCATAAAATGGGTACACCAATTTTTGTGGGAAAACTTCTTATTCGGCAACAAATAATGAGAAAACGTGTTTTTTGGGATTCGATCGAAAGTATTGGCAGGAACCAAAAAACTCTTCAAATAAGAATTTTATGCATTTATGAGACCTACAGAATGAGACCGCACGTAATAAGATCCCACTAATAGTTATGGCCGAAAACACAGGCAAAATGCAGGTCTTGGCAATTGCTGCCAATGCGACGATAATTTCACGCGACTACAAGAAGTCTTTGAGAATCTCTAATTGTTTATCCCAAAACACCTGTCATCCGTCATCACTACTAGTTTACTGAGCGATATACAAGGGGCATTTTATAGCAAAATACACGAGTTTACCTTGCCGACATAAATCACAAACCATTCCGAAAGATAATTGTTGTTTTTACGCGAAAAACGAAGGGTTACGTTTTTTTTTTGTAAACAAATTAAAACATTTCGTATTTGTCAGTAATTGAACAAATTCACTACGATGTTCGAAAAACATACCTTATTATACACATTTTAAAACAAAGCGGATGTGTCCATCACCTTTTGTTGCGAATAAAATAATTTTTTTCAAGATTTCTTCATGTGTATACATAGTTAGAGCTGAATTTTCACACGGTTACAAATGAGCCCGAAAGTTTATAAATAAAGTCGTTTTAATCGTATGAGATTTCGAAAACAGACGTATACTATATTAATACTTTTAGGAAAAAGGCCCAGGGAATTATATTTCTTCGTGAAGAAACTGGATTTCGTGACCTACTTATTTGACAAAGTCATGCAGTCATCAATAATGAAGCCATTTAGCACATGCTACATACTAACTAGTCTAAGACTGTTTGAAAATTGTGTCTTCAGTTTGCGTGCTAACTTTATAAACAGTTCAGCGCATTTGAGTATGAACTATTTTTTTTATAAACTTTAGGGCTCTTCTGAGACCGTGTAAAAATTTACGCTCTAAATATATATACACAAGAGTATATATAAATCTTGAAAGAAAATTATTCACTTCGCAACAAAAGGTGATGGACACATCCACTTTGTTTTAAAATGTGTATAATAACGTATGTTTTTCGAATATCGTATGAGTATTACTCACAAATACAAAATGTTTAAATTTGTTTAGAAGAAAAAACGTAACCCTTCGTTGTTCGCATAAAAACAACAATTATCTTTCGGAATTGTTTGTGATTTATGTCGTCACTGTAAATTTTGCTATGAAATGCCCCTTGAACGAACCCTGTATATTGCTCAATAAAATAGCAGTGATGGCCGGTTTTTTGGGATAAACAATTATAAATTCTCTAGGACTACTTGACCAATCGACTCCAATTTTGTTGTGGTTACTTAGAAGTATGAAGCCTACGGATTTGAAGAATTTCAAGTAGGTGTGTGAAATTATTGTCGCATTAGCAGGAAGTGCAAAAACCTGCATTCTGCCTCGGTTTTCGGCCATCACTTTTTTACTATTAGTCGTATCTTTTTTCATGTGTTCTCATTCTGTAGGTCTCATGAATACTTGAAAATCTTTTTTGAAGAGTTTTTTAGTTCCTGCCAACACTAACGATTGAATTCCAAAAAACACGTTTTCTCAATCTTTGTTGTCGAAAAAAACTTCCCACAAAAATTGGTGTACCCATTTTATGCGTCCATGTTTTCAATACCCCCTTAAACAACTTACATCAATAGAGATAGACTTTATAATTATTTCGTAAGCCAGGGCTATTATAGTCTAATGTGATTAGACTAACCCTGCCGTTCCCCGGGGTGCGCAAATTTTGCTCATTAATTACTGACGAGATTATAAGGCACTCCCTGTATATTTGATTTGTGTGGCTAGTCAGACTATAGACTGTCATGTCAATAATTTTAAAGATCATTATACATTTTTATAATACATTAGCATAAACAGTAACTGCAAAAATGGATGTTATGCTACAGAGGCATAGTGCTAAATACATATACGTCGTACCAGAAGGACTGAAGGAGCTCATGAGCGACATATCCAGAGAAGTAAGTCCAAAATAATATTCTCCATAGGTCCATTCGTATGTTTTAGAGAAATATTTCCTTGTACTAGATAGAGTAACATGTTGAACCAGTTGTTTCAGTACAGTCACCTTAACAGCTAGCTGTGTTGTTCAACAAAGATCTGAAAATGACTGAACATGTTATAAGGCGCACTATTGATAAGGTAAATAAAAAGTCGTGCATCTCTGATAAGGCTAAATCCATCTGATGCTCGACTCGATTATGCTGTACGGAACTCCTATCTACTCGTATAAGGATTAAGAAATAGTGACAGCTAATGTTCACAGGCCAGCGAAAGGTGACGCTGCGCATGACCTGTGTTTACAAGAACGGATGCAATGCAAATGGTAGCTGGTATCCCGCCAATTGATTTACTGTGTGAAGAGAGATGTGAGTTCTATCAAAAGGGTGCCGAAGCTAGAGATGAAAGAGGGATCTTTTGTCAGGTGGCAGGAGAGATGGAATGCAACTGGTTATGATCCATGGACTAGGAAGCTGATCCCTGATATTTGACCTTGGATGAACAAAGAAGCGGTGTAAAAAGATTACTATATTACGTTACAGAGTTTCTCACAGGGCATCTACCTCAAAAGGATATGAAAGACAGGGTACGCGAACTGCTTGTATTGCAACAAAGATAAAGATATTTCTGACCATAGCAATTAACAATAGGTTTCTGCATACTAGGCTGATATGAATATACGTACATATATACCATATACAGGGTGACTTTGAAGTTGAGTCATTAATTTTCAGATAATGATTGTAGAAGGAAGATAAACCAAAATATGTGTAAAAATAAAAAAAAAAATTAAAAAAAAATGTTTACCTTGTTTTATAAAGTATCCTCCCGACAAGTATTTCAGTGCGGACCTGTATTTGATCGTGAGGTCCCCTGTGAGGTCTTAAGTCACCTGATTCACGAGCCCGTTGTACTACATTAACAAAGGCACGAGGGGTTGGTTGCACTCGATTGGGAAACCGATCCGCATAAACATGTGCCATTTTTTATTTCGTTTGAGCCACGCAACAGACACTATTCAAACGCGACTGACACTGACTGTATCTATAACTGAACTGAATAAAATAATAAATTGAACAAACATCGTTCCAAATTCTTTCGCTTTTTTGTTTCCGATGCGATGAACCGGTAAGGCGGATTATATCCGTTGTTGCCAAACACGAGCACATGATATTGAGACAGGGCGGTACTCAAACTTCCAAAGGGCTATAACTTTGTTACTTTAATTTTACCAGAAAAATGGTAAAGGAAAAAAACATTTCTTTTGATCAGATCTACTCACTGTTAAAATAAATGACTCAACTTCGAAGTCACCCTGTATATATATATATATATGAGCAGTAGTCATTGCCAAAGCCAACGGCCAGTTGGGCACAAAATACAATTAATTGCTAATTGGGAAATTGGGAAATTTTTAAGCTTCAGTTGACTCTTTTGACAATAAAATCAAGCTTTCGGCATTCTCTATGGAGCCTTCCTCAGGATTCTGAAAACACAATTGTGAAGCTAGCAAAGAAAACAGGACAGATTTAAATTGTCAGACAACTTACTCGTCGGTGAGGTTGCAGCCACAAGGTGTTTCAAAACGAACGTAGAGAAGATAGAACTTGTAATCAGTATAAAAACAAAATGACGGGGACATTGGGCTTGTTGAAAACGACATATACCTTCGTTACTAACAATACGTGTTTTACTAGCTCCGTTATAGCTTCTAAGATCGGTAGTGAGACCCAATTGAAAATTTGTTTGCGAGTATCATAGTTACGCTCACGTAATTACTGAGCATTGGGCAAGTTTTCTAGTTCATCTTTAATAGTTTAACACAGTTTTTTTTTGATAATAAAAGAAAGCTAACCTCTACAATCTCTGGTGGAATTTCTGGAATTTTCATTGAAACAAAGTGGAAATAGTTTCCAGTGGCGTACTTGTGTTGATTTAGAAAACAAACATTTGCACACAAAATTCAGAATTATGCCAGCTAGAGTCCCTTGCAGCTGCTGTAATTAACAGTGTGAGCCTCATCAAATTGTTACGTGCTGTGTTTGTAAGCAGAAATACAAGCATTCCTGTGTGGAAATCAGCGCAAATGGGGTTCGTACTTTAAATTCGAGCAAGGGGTACGATTGGACCTGTAAGGACTGCAGATCCATAGGTAAAGACATTAATGACTTGAAGGCACTAATCATCGATTTGCGAAATCAAATCAAGGATTTGAAAGCTGATAACACCAAAAATCAGATTCAAGTTTTTCCATGGAAGACATCATATCTGAGATTTCAGAGCGTGAAAGACGTAGAAACAACGTAATAGTCTTTAATGTCACTGAGCTTGATCAAAAAGCCAGAAGTGAGCAAAATGAATCTGATAAAACAGTTGTCGTCAACTTGTTACGTGAAGCTGTCCCTGACGTGAGGCTAACCAACATAAAAGTGATGAGATTAGGAATGTTTTGCGGCACAAAAGTTAGACCCATCAAGGTAATACTTGACAGCTATGACTCAGCATTGCAAGTTCTGGTGAATGCGAAAAAGCTTAAATCAAGTAATACCTTCAAGCATGTAAACATTGTACAGGATCGCACCAACAGGCAAATGGAGCATTATAAAAGTATCAGAACTGAGTTAGCCAGGCGTCATGAAGCAGGAGATAATAACTGTAGGATCAAGTTCATCAACCAAGGATTGTTCCTTTAAACTAGGTCGGCCCAATAGTGGATGTAGTGATTTTTTGACCGTGTACTATCAGAATGTTAGAGGGCTAAACAGCAAAATTAACAAATTCTATCCTGCTGTGAGTGACTGTGAGTATAATGTATTTGCTTTAAGCAAAACGTGGCTAAAGCCCGAAGTAAACTCTCTTGAATTAGTTCCCAATTCTTTTGACGTTCATCGTAAGGACAGAAAACATAATCAATTGAACCTGTCAATGGGTGGAGGTGTACTACTGGCATTTGAATCGGCTCTTAACTCTGTTGTGGTAGATACTACGCAGTTTGATACAAGTTTCCCAGAAATAGATTTTTTGGTGTGCAAATGCATTGTATCTCATCAGAATCTTTATTTCGCTGTCATATATGCTGCACCACATGTTTCTGTTGATATATTTGAAGCTTTTTTTGAAATGTTAGAAAACTGGGAAATCATGAATTCCAAACGTGTTGTCTTTCTGGGTGATTTCAATTCTCCAAACTTTGTGGAAAATAATTTAAATGACGCAAAGACCCGCTACATTGTTAATTGGCTCAACTTCTGGAACATGAAACATTCATAACCAATATGATATAATCCTGGACTTATTAATAAGTAACATTGATTGTATTGTTTATAGAGATTTAGCTCCATTAGTGGATGAAGATGTGTATCATCCTTCTTTGTGCGTAACATTAAAAACTGTCTGCAAAAAGAGTGAATACGTCACAGTCAGTACTGACCAAAAAAGATATAATTTTAGACGTGCTAACTTTTTTTCGCTGTACAATTCTTTGTTATTGGTTAATTGGGATTTCTTGGATAACACTAGTGACACAAATGATGCAATGAATGCATTTTAGACCAAACTTTACGAATTATTTGATGCACACGTTCCACAATATAAAAATTTCAGGCATAAATATCCTTCTTGGTACACCAGTGAAATTATAAAACTAGTAAAACAAAAAGACAAAGCGCACAAAAAATTTAAAAGGTCTGGTGCTAACGAAGATTACCAAGAATTCGGCAGAATCAGGAAAATATTTAAGCTTAAAACCAAAGAGGCATATAATATCTATCTTCAAACCATTCAAAATCAGCTAAATGATGACCCTAAGTCTTTCTGGTCTTTTGTACATAGTAAAAACAACACTTCTAGGATTCCCAATAGAATGTTGCATGGAAACGAGTCATTTGGTGATCCGCAAAGTATAGTCAACGCCTTCGCTGATTTTTTCTCCAGCGTTTACTCAACTGCTAATGTCGATACTGAGTTGAACTTTGATTTCAGTCATAGTGGACTCATCGACATTAGTTGTGAGCCAATATCAGATGAGGAAATTTTAGTGGTCTGTAGAAAGCTTAAAAGTAAAAGTGACTGCTGGACCTGATCAAATCCCATCTTTTATTGTTAGAGATTGTATCAGGAAATTAGTTCATCCTTTACGGGTTATCTTCAATTTAATCCTAACAACGACTATTTTCCCCGATAAATGGAAAATTGCCAAAGTTTGCACAATTCCAAAGTCAAAAAATTATCACTGTATCAGTGAATATAGGGCTATATCTATACTCAATAATTTTGCAAAACTCTTGGAGATCGTACTGTACAACCGCATTTAATTGAAGTGCAAATTGCGTGCTCACTTTTGATTTATCTTACGTTTCTTATTTTTAAGCTGTAGCTATATTTATTTTTTGTTATTGATACATGAATTATTATTGTATTTTTTCTTCACAAGCTACCTCATGGTGATTTTGTTTTTTTTTATAGTAGTTTGCTCTGTAAATGGTGTTAAACTGTTGGGCAATAAACGCTTATTATTATTATAAACGCTTATTATTATTGCTACATGTTAAAAATATCAATCCACCCGAACAAATTAAAAAGTATTACACGTGAAAAGACATTTTAGTGAAACAATCGGAATGCAGTCTCTAACCTCCTACTTCCGCTACACGTGGAGAGGGGGCGGCACAGAAAGATAAAGTGTCGACAGATGACAAGTGATTGACCCGACGGACCGTGGAACTGTAAACCCCCTTGTCCAAATTTGGGTATGAAGTATACGAGGGACGCTCGGTAAACCTCCACCCAAAATTACTAAAATGCTGAATTAATTTGTTTTGGAAAAAAGTGTGTAGTTCGTATGAGTGTAAGAAGGTGTGATATTGATACAACCTTGAATAGATGGGTTATGTGAGTTTATATTAAGAAATGTGAGTGAGAAAATGTATTCTAATTTAGTGAAGATGTTGGTTCAATTTGGATATGTAGCCGTTCTAGCTTTTTGCAATTCAACAGGTACGAATAAATGACAAATGTGGGACATTTCTAAAAATGAACGTTTTGAGAGTCTTTTTTCTTTATCAAGAACCTCAATACTGCCATAATTCATAGAGTGACCTGTGTTGTTAACATGAGATGCCAAAGCATATCTCTCTGGATGTAATCTGGCGTCACTTTTGTGTGAAGTTATCCTGCCTTCCAGCGACCTAGAAGTTTGGCCTATATAAACTAAATTACAGTTGTTGCAATTAATGCGATAGACAGTGTTGGTTGAATCAAGTAACTGAACCTTTTCCTTCATTTTGGACAACAAACTGTTGACTGTGAGCACTGATTTACAAGCAAAACAACAATTAAAGGAATTATACAGCCTGATCAATTTTGGTGTTAGTTCTTTGATGTATGGCAAGACAGCATAATTAACTCTGGAAATAGGAGCAACCACTGTAGTGCTGTTATTCTCATTGGTTGAAGAATTCATGGGTATCTGGTTGGACTGAACAGTGTTGTCATTTTCACTATTGTTATTCGTCATTGGCAAAATATTCGGAGGAGAGCTGAACAAGATTCTGTTAACCAAATACTTAGGATAGCCATTGTTGATAAATAAGACTGAAAGCTTCCTTAAATTGTAAAGATGGAAAGTACTGTCAGAGATTTTTATAACCCTGTTCTTCATTTGTTTCACCAGGTTTATTTTTATTTTAAGTTCGTGGTAAGACCTGAAGTTCAGGAACCTTCCGGAAGAAATTGGTTTCCTGTACCAGTCTACCAGTAATATATTGTTATTGGTACGAATCAATCTTGAATCCAAAAAGGGAACAGATTGATTGTCATCTTCTTTTTCGATGGTGAACTGGATGTAGGGATCATAACTGTTAAAAACCTCAACAATATCATCCACCCTATCATAAGGAAGTCAAACGATAATATCGTCCACATACTTTTTAGGAAAATTAGATTGTATGGTAATACTTGAATAACAACATCAAGCAGGTCATCCATTACATATTCTGCCAAAATTGGAGATAACATGTGTTTGTGAAAACACTTTGTTATTAAAGGTAAAATAATTGTTCTGGAAAAGGTACTCTATGATATTGATGAAAGAATCCAGAGTTAGGTTGCTGTGTTGGCAAATTTGATCCCAATGTTTGTTGATGGATCTGATGCAAGCTGAAATTACCGTGGTCGGATGTGTAGCAAATGCCTGAGGAGTTTTAGTGAGTGGTTCGCATTTCTGGAGTGTCTCACATGCTAGGATAAGGAGTGGCCGATAGGACAATACTGTTCAGCTTTTCTACCTGAGAGTGGCTATAAAAGCTTCCGCCTTTCAAAAAAGTACAGACACAAGTATGACGTGCATGGTGTGTGACTATGTCCACATGCACTATATCTCCGATTTGGGGATTAGATATTTACATATGCTCCAAACTTGATCTCCTTGCGATAAAGCTACATCCAATTTGTTTTATTTTTCTACTAAATACCTTTTAACATCAATGCCGTTATTTAGACGATGCTCGAGCAGTTCAATAGCCTCCAGGGAAAAAGTTTGCCCCTGATGGAAAACACTGCTCTACCGCAGATACCACCTATTGCTTACATAAAATTTCTTCTCTCGTAAACGTTGATTTAATTTTGGAAATATGACATTATTAAGGACCAAGGCTGGAGAATGCGGTTGCTAATCTTCCTGTACTTAATCTGCTGTTTATCTCAATTTTTTAGTAAAGTTCTAAATATTCAGGTACTACGTGCGCAGCCTGAAGACATATACACCTTTGTAGCGGACTACTTGGATGCGCTCATGATCACAAGAGAAAATGCAAGAGGTATATTTGCTCCGAAACGATCAAGCATCGTAATAAATTTCATTTTATTGGTCCTAAGTTGCAGCACGTCTAGTACAGAGCATCACCGAAATAACAACAACCACTTGTGAGTTCTTGGAGGAAGCTGGCATGGAACGAATGGAAGCGGAAAGAGTTATGCAAGTGGTACGTGCTACATTCCAGAAACAATTGCAGTCAGATACACTTGGAGCTCCACCACCAGGTACTTTAATAATGATTCATTTTAATTTAACACTTGAAAATTATCTCGTGGTTTTCATGTTGATAGGACTCGATTGTCTGACCCCTAAATCAAATCACATATGCTTGAAATAATGTTACTAATTCACCGTTTTTACTTTACATTCTAATTTATTACTTTTACGCCAATTTATAACAACACTTGCAACTAACCATATCGACTAGACTATTACGTTCCACTCTGTCGAATACTCCATTCATATTCTGTCGTCCTAGTGCCTATTTATCTTCAAAAATGGGCCTTAAAGCGCTTCATCGAAATTCTAGACGATTTCGATTAACACTTTTTGGACGCTCCCAATAAGGCACGGTGGCGTGTCTTTGGTTACCTAAGCGTCGATATTGCAAGGGCTCAAAAGATCCCAGTTATGAGGGCTTGACAATACTTTCTAATACGACGTTTCGGTCACCACAGTGGATTTTTTAAAGAACATATATTTTGTCCTATGCTTTGTTTTGCAGCATCGTCGAGATTTTATCTTAATGGGTCCATTCACATATTGATATGTCCGACGGCAAAGCTGTCGACTGATCTCGTAGACCGTGGCCGTTTACATGAGATGCGCAAGGCGCCTGTATCTCCAGTTCAAATAATCAAAATTCAGGTATTTACGTAAACATACAACTCTAGATTACATGTTAATCAAATGAGATCGTTGTTTCCGTTGTTGCAGTTCAGAATCATATTTGATAGTGTAACGCTCAGGGTTCACGAGATGATGAAAAACCTAATACCGTTCAGTGCTCGAGTTACGAGAAGGTAGTCGCAGGCTTATTGCCTAATTTGCGACTTCAAAAATGGCACGTAATAATTGCTGTCAACGTTCCACAGCATAGTAAACGCATCTATCATGCATTCTTAACGCGTCAGAAGTTGCCTGAAATCAAAATAATAATTGGCTTCAAGACGTTATCATATAAATACCTGAATATTACTTAGCTTAGTTAGATTTGGTTGAAATCGACTGAGTAGCATATAACTTACATGTTCATTCATTACATGGATTCCATTAGAGATTGAAGAAGCTAATATGGTACTGCACATCCTTGATGAAGCTCAAATAGGTCCAGAAAAAGGAGAAGCCTCAGCGATAATTATACAAAGAGCATATAGGAACTTTAAGCAACGCAGAGATATGGTATATTTATTTTCGTTTATCTTAGAACGTTGAATATGTCTTCATAAAAATGTAGTGAGAATGAGTTCTTCCAACTGGATGCCAATTATTTATACTTTGGTTAATAAAGGAAAGAGAATTGCTAAGCGGCATGATCGATTGGAGAGTGGCAGCAAGAAGTGCTATATATTTATACAGAAAAACGGGAGTTACCAACGAGGAAGCCAATAGAGCTGCTACGTTGATAAAGGTACGTAGGGTTCTGTTCGATGAGGGTATTTCAAAAAACGTGAAAATATTTCTGGAGCAGTGAGTACACCCAAAAATAACAAAAAAGTACCTATAAACATGCAGTGTTCGGAAAATAATGTAATTTTTTCGTTTTCTGAAAAAAATATTTATTTATGCGTCTAGATTAATGTAATTGCCTTCAAAAGAGTTTCCATTAGATATTATTCAGGGTTTCTTCCAATCCTCGAAACATCTATCAAACTCGACCTTTTTTATAACGTTTATAGCTCTTTCAGCGATGCGCTTTTAATGTCATTTATGCTTGTAAAACGACGGTTCTTTGAGCTTTATTTTTGGAATGAGGAAAAGTCATACGGAGCCATGTCTGGCGCATATGGAGCCTGGAGCATGGTTGCAGTATTGTTTTTGACCAAAAATTCATGAACAAGCAATTAAGTGTGAGCAGGTGTACGAATTGTTTTTCCATAAATCTGGACATTTTTTCGGATTGCTTCACATAAACGGCGTTGAACTTGTAGGTAGTACTCCTTATTGATCTTTTGGCAAGGAATCATGTTGCACTATTATGCCATTAAAATCGAAGAACAAAGTGAGCCTAACCTCCACATTTGACTGCACTTGTCCAGCATTCTTCGGTCTTGGTGATCTAGAATGCCTCCAGTGGGACGATTGAGCCTTAGTTTCGACGTCATATATGTAAACGTATGTTTCGAAACCTGATATAACATGATCTTATCTGAACATTTTGTTTGATTTTTAATCTACCCAGAAATATTAACACGTTTTTTGAACACACTGTACACAGGAAATTGTAAGAAATTTTCCTCATCTAGCTGTCGAGTTCAAGTACAATTACAGTAGAGTCAACAAAATTTGCATTTTGAATTGAATTTACTCTTTCCGAATCCCGCAAATTTGACTATAATCCTTGAAAAACTTCTGTCAATGTGTGATATTACTTGAGAGTCGTCTGTTTCTAGGCTGCATATAAAGGTTACTATACAAGACGCTTCATGCGGCGTTTATCAGAAAAAGTCAAAATGGGTGGCAAGGAAGAAGGGGAAGAGGTGGCTATCCCCGATGATAAATCGGAAGGAAGCTTCACAGATGAAGAAAAACAATCTAGGTACGAGTATAACCAGTCTAGAATCGCTGTTTTATCATAGTGTACAATGTCTCAAAATTAAACATCAGGCTGGGAAATCAGCTGGGCTAATAAGGGCACTGTAACTGTGACAGACCTTTTCATGGTATTTGGCGGGTCCGGCACAATGTTTAATCGAAGTGAGTAAACAGATTGATTAACTATACCATGTGCGGAGCTTAACTATACCCTAAGGGGAATTGCATGCTGTGCAAGCCTTAACGCAGCTGCAACTCGCTCTTGCACGCACATATGAATTGGGCGATAAAGGACCATTACTATAATTCACCATACTCCAATAAATTTAACACACTGTCAACATTGTAGTTGTAACTTCAGGCGTCCTTATGTTTTCTGTCGAAAATCAACAAAAAGGTAAACTCAAATGGCCCGCCCATGACAATCAAGTTGTCATACTGACAGTGACTAGCATAAATGTGGAAGACATGGAGAGTAAATTTTCCAGGTGGTGTGACAAAACTAAAAAAATACGTCAAGTAAGTTGACTCTATACTTCCCACGCAACCCTGTCATCAGTTCGTAAATGATTTTGTTCGGTACAACTTAGCTCTTCTGAGAAAAAAGTTAGGTTATGGTTGCTATGACTATCTCGCGTGGATGAATATATTGTTTTTTACAGCATACAGCCCACATCAGCACGGAAGCGACTGCCCACTGCGACGCACGTCCATCAGCAGGACCATGTCGCACGTATCGACATGTGACTGATGGAGATATGTATTTCTAAGTTACATGGCTAAATGAACGGGGACATTAATGATGAGTGAAATATGTCTAATAGGTGCGACCCCTAACCCCGAATGTTTAACCCCTACAAACATTTTTCCGGAATGATCAGGAGGCTCAGAAACGTAAAAAAATGACGCATGAACGATTTGTATTTTCTTCGTTTTTGGACTCTTTCTCCGCCTCCACTGCACCGATTTTCAAAAACTTTTCGTCTTTAGCTTAGTAGTGACCTTGAGTTAAAATTCCATTCAAATCGAAGCGGTAGATACAAGTTGAAGACGGGCCAAGGATTAACGCACAGGCAGACAGATCAACAAAAATGAGTGACGTGTTTTTTCGTGATGTACCGAGCGACCCAATAATAAAGGATGCCAGCTATATCTCAGCAACGGCTCAACCTAGTGCCACCCGTTAAAAGATTTCATGACAAAAGTGGCCAAAAGAAATTGCTTGGAAACTATTTTCAGCTTTCTAAAATGGCCGCTAGGGGGCGAATTTTCAATTTAAAAAATTCAAACGCCATTATTTTACAAACATGCCCAATTAACGTACTAATTTAATAATTCTATTCGAACTTTTTCGTTGCACCGATTTTCACTCGCTCCTCAAGGCTAAATCTTGTCGAATTAGTTCACTTTGTGCCCACTAGATAGCGTTCTTTGGATGTCAGTTTTTTTAATTCTTCCTAAAATTTCAAATATAACGGTATACACACGTTTTTAATATTGCTCGGAAAGCATATAAAGTCCTATAAAATGACGGAAACAGCAGATCAATATCTTTATTCAACGCAGATATAATGAAAAATAGGCTTAAATTACAATTTTCAAGTACTACTGGATAAAAAAAATTCAATCTATGAATAGTTATGTAAAATGTATCAATACGATAGGATTTCAAGATGTTTTACTTGGAAAGTATTTTTTGCGCTTTTATAACCTGTAGGGGTCGTAAGTATCGCCTGATATATGAAAAAAGGCATACTTTAATTATACCTCATATTTAAACGCAGTTGGCTTTCAAATACGAATAATTCAGGAAATACCAAGTTTTTAACGCTTTCAGTAGTTATATCTTGTAAGTGTGCAAATTATGAATTAAAGAGACAAGTGGATAAAGGTAACAAAAAGGTAACAAGATCATTGTATGGAGAAAATTCACGTACATTTTTTGGGACTTTATTGACATTTTAAATATTAGTTTAATTAGTTTATTAACTTGTTTTTGCAACAAAGTAATCACAGAATGAAATAATCACTCCTTTAAGGTTAGTTTAATGCAAAGAAGCAATTTAGAAAAAAATGTTACATGACACCTTTATCCACTTGTGTCTTCAATTGATTTATATCCATTGTAATATTATACAGGGTGATTCACAAGTCGTGACCAAAAATCATACACAGGACCGCATTTTAAGGGTGGTCTTCTATGTAACATTTTTCCTCTAGGGCTTCATTAAGAAGATTAAAATATTTTTTTTTAATATCTTCAAAACCGTCAACTGGAATGAACTAAAATTTGGTATGTGGATTTACCTAAGTATTGTCCACACTCAATACTTAAAATTAACGTGCACCAGTGGCGGAGATACAGGGAATTAGTGGCATTATTTTTCCAAATAAAAATAGCACGCCACTGTTTTTTTTCGAATCGCGCAATTTTACGAATTTTATCTTCAATTTGCTACACATACTTACTCTTGTGTTTTTTCCTAGCATGCACAGTTTTCGTAAAAATAATAGCAAAACAAATTAGATCATTCATGAAGAGCCGAGATACAATTAGTTTCAAAATAAAATAGTAGCCCTTGATGCCAACTCGACGTTTCTTGGGAGATAGTTTGTCAAGGTTATGTGTTATATTGCGTGGAGAATTTTAAATTGGGAAGTTTTACATGCTTACCATCGGCAAAATGTGCAATGTCTGCAACCCGGCAACGAAGCGCAACGGAAAAATTTTTGTTAGTGGTTACTGCAAACGCATAATCAAAATGCAGATTTTTTTTATTTGGTTTTGTGCTCAGATGAATTGCTTTTTACTAGGAGTGGAACATTTAATTCTCATAATGAAGATATTTGGTCGTTAGAAAATCTCCGATCTGAAAGAATCCACTCGTTTCAACCCAGATTTTCTAGAAATGTCTGGCGCGGCATTTTCAATGGCCAACTGTTTACACACGTATTGCCTCAACGTTTAAATGCAAACTCATACTTAGCTTTTCTAGAGAATTACATAAAAAATGTGTTAGATATAATGTTCCGTTAGCAACGAGAGTACGAATGTGACATAACCGCATGGTTAAATAATCATTTTAGTCGATGGATTGGCAGAAACGGATCCGTACATTGGCTTGCGAGGTCTCCTGATTTGAGCCCCCTGGATTTCTTTTTGTGGGGCACTTTTAAACAACTGTTGATCAGTTACAAGAAAGAATAGATAACGCGCCGACGGCCGCGAACTCCGCAGCGGAGTGAACCTGACCTGGATGGAGTTTGCGGCACCTTAATAGTGAGAGTCGCTAATCTCTTCTTCTCTGAGTAAAACCGCAAGGAGTTTCATCAAATTCAAGCCACAGCAAATTTTGCGGAAATACGTTTTTCTTTATTAAAAAGATGCCGCACTTGTATCCTTCAGAATGGTGGTCTTTTTGAGCATTTATTGAAATAAAGCTTTGATTATCTGATTTGTTTTTTTTTATTTTTACGAAAACAACGCACTCTAGGAAAAAACACAAGAGTAATTATTTGGACAATATGATCGATATTCAAATTGAACCTAGTACATGTTATATAACATGCAAGAAATATAATCTCATTTGCGGAATTTTTCGTGATTAAAGTACTTCCTAGCCAGTAGGCGTGGGAAGTAAAACGTATGTCGGTGAGCTTACATAAACAACGGTCCATGCATAGAGGCCAATGGCATATATGCTTGTCTGGGTAATCAAATGAAAGTAATTTCATAGTTTCACTATGATCCGTCAAACACCGTGAAACGGCATACATCAGATGTATAAAATGTTAAAAATAATTTCCAAAATTTTGTGGTTTACTTTAACTACATGTAATGGCCTAAGGAAGTCTGCTTAAAAGACAAAACATAAGTAAAGGATAGGCTCCCCGATGGTTTCTTCTTTAAATTGGTATTAAAACTACACTCTTCAATAATATGTAACATTCGATTCTTTATCTAAAAGAATACACCTTCCGATTATTTACGAAAAACAATTTCAGTTCAATGGCTGCAGCTTCTGGCCTGGCAGTAGTCCATCCTCTTAAGCAAATTTTGAAGCATAATTATTTTCGATAGTTTGTGGGTCTATTTCACCAATAGCTCGATGGATATTTTCCTTAAGAACATTAATTGTTTGAGGATCGTTAGTGCAACAGCGGTTCTTAACAGTACCCCATAGGAAGTAATCCATGGGCGTCAAATCATAGCTGCGAGCTGGCTAAAGAACGTCTCCAAAACAGCTGATAACGCGATGACCGAACTTAGTGTGTAAAAGATGGATTGTTTCACGGCTGGTGTGGCATGTTGAGCCATCCTGCTGGAACCAGAGATTGTGTCCACAAAACACTCCTCAACATGTCTCTATAGCGTTCCCCGTTTACCGCCACGCTGTTACCATCTTCATCTTGAAAAAAGTAGGGACCAATAATCCCACCACTCCAAAAGCTACACCAAATAGTTACTCTTTTTGGATGCATTGGTTTTTCTATAACATGTGGATTTTCAGAATCCCAAATCCTACAGTTCTGCTTGTTAACGTAACCTCCCAGATGGAAATGGGCTTCGTCCGAAAAGATGATTTGGTGACCAAAATTGACGTCCGTTTCCAATTGATTTAGAGCCCAAACAGAGCAACGATATCGAAGTGGATGGTCATTTTGTTTCAACTCTTGCACAAGTTGCATATTGTAAGGAAATAATCCCAGGCCGTTATGCAATATTCTCCGCACAGAAGTGCGACTGATGCCCACTTGTTGAGCTCTGTGAGGAGTTGCCATTCTTGCGTTTTCACGCACACTCTGGGTAACAGCAGCAATGTTTTCGGCTGTACGCACGGGTCGAACACGCTCATACCTTCTGTTATCTACAAGCAGGCCAGTTTCACGAACCTTCTTTTCAAATTTTCGTATAACATTCGCGGTCGGAGCTTCATTCCTACCAAATAGTCTTCTTAATTTTCGCAAAGTTTCTACAACACAGCACTCGCTTTGAAAATAGTTTTTCAATATTTCCCACCTTTGTTCAAGATTTGAACGATCCATTGCTTACAGTGGAAGTTAGACACAATTATATTTGCCAATATGTTGAGCTGATGTTGGGCATGGAAGTGTTACCAACTGTCAAAACAATACCAACTTAAAAAAAACAACTGATGTCCCACCCTTTAGTAATTTCTTAGTTTAACTGTGATCCGCCAAAAACCGTTATATCAGATATAAGAAAAGGCAAAAATAATTACCAAAATTGTATTGCAATACTAAAAAAATACATCTTGTGAGTTACTGCAACTACAGGTAATGGCTTAAGGAAGTCTGCTTAAAAGACAAAACATAACTGTGTCCTTACCGTCTGTTGTCACTCTAATTTAAGGGCAGTGAAGATAAACTACGATACTGTCGTACCCCACGTAGATTTTGGTGGAGCAGAGAATATTCCTGGACATTACCCTGGTGGGGGAGGTTCCTCAGCATCCTTGGTTGGGGCTCATGTATACAATGCAATACTGCATAAGACATTCGAGATATTACCCCTTGAAGGTAATGGCAAAATAAGTGGAGGCTTTCTCATCTTTAGTCGAACATCAGAGCTAGATTTCTGCATTTCTGATAATGTGAGGGAACCGTTTTCACCGCAAGCAACTGGCGACCGCAAATAGACGGCAACCCGACTCGGCACATGTTTTCAAATATAAGCGTTTCCACCAAGCCGACGCTAACCGGCCAATTGCTCATTGGTAACTGGCATTGGGCATTGCAGTCGCTAGTCAGGTTGATAAAACATGTGGATGCCATTGTGACACTTTGACGTCTACTGAGGTGAACAGCTGATGAGCAAGTGACAGTTTTGTGTTGGTCTGCAACGCTGGCAATAATGAATCGGCTAAAAATCTAGTAAAATTTGTTTGTGGAGTTTTGTTTTTTGTATGCAAATGAACTTTTCTAAATAAAAAAGCTGTAAGCAAATACAAAATGAATCTGCAGCGTATAAAAAACCAAAGCAAAATACAGCTTTGTCTACCTGGCTTTGACGGATCCGTCAGAATTATGTGTCCTGTGCCGATATGGGGAATTTTGAGATATTACTGGATAATCGGCTGTCATTCTATTGTGACGGATACTCGTGAAATAGAGTATACCTCGTATTGCCAGCGGATTGCATACAGCGCGTCACCCGGTTCAGTTGTGCAAAACATAAATGCGTTCCAAAACAGATTTGTACTATAAACTTATTGGCCTGATCCCGTAATCAGACATTATGATATAGCCTAGATATTCTATATCAATGGCCACTGGTAGCCAAGCACTTAGATAGCCTCAGTGCCTCATAGTTCTGAGCTTGGCTACCTACGCTATCGACATCTCCAATATTCATTGCACATACTTGTATGTATTGAGAAATTTTGGTAAATAAAAAATACCACATATAGAGTTTATTTGTGAAATAAGTCACATCTACGATTTTCAATGAGTCAAGATTTTTAAGAATAAAAATAGTCCAATTATACTCTATATTCCTGCTAGCAAATACATACTTAGTAATTTTTTCTACAACAACTCAACGAGGAAAATGAGGCTGGCAGTTGCTCAGAAGTTCGATGAGATTCAAAAGCAACGCTATTGAAGTCGAAATCTGGTAGAAGTCTAGTTTTCGTCAGGTTGCTTTTGGTGAGAATATTGCTTTGACAGTATTCTATATTCACACGCCCAGCATACTCTATTCAGATTTCAGTAGTATCAAATCAAAATAAAAAATAACGCGCATACCTGAAATTATTTATTTACTACTGGCCAGCAAGTCGTAAATGCATGGATACGCAGCTAGGGGAACAAGTGGCAATCGTATGTATGCGAGTTTGTTTTGACGTGGTGTAGATGAGGATGAATAGAGCAACCTTAGAACGGATGTCCTATACGACAAGTACTAATGAAAATGATTTGGTTGGTTAGAGGATGTACCCGCACCACCAGTATCCGAAAGTGAGCATCCACCTCCGCCCCCACCTACAGCAGAGGAAGGCGCTGAAAGAGATCAAGGTCATGAAGAAGTAGCACCGGTTGAACCAGAAGCGTCTGCAGATCCGGAGCATTCAACAGTTACGACAGAGGGTAGATATTCATAACGTCTTTCAGTGAAGATTTTTTGCACCTATAAAAATTCTGCAATTTTGTAAAGAATGATGGAATAAATTTCAGATGGCTGTGACCCCGAACTACAGAAGGGTTAAAATAACTTTACTACATATTTACCAAAATACTTCAAAACATTTTGAGTTCTGTTCAAGTCTCCTTATATCCATTTTGTACTATTTACAATAGTGAATCTGTTGACATTCAGTAGTATATCAGAGCTATTTTCACCAAAGAATGATTAAAAATCATTGAATTCTTGTGTTCTTCTGTAGCCACGAACATTAGTAGCTATATCGATTAGTCCATTCTGATTGTATACTTTCTTAATTACTTTATGCTAGAAAGGATGAAGCGGTACGCCTCTATCACTTGACGATATGGAGCCTATATACCAGAAGAACCGATGGCAATACTGTTCGTGCTATGAAAACAACCTCGAAATTTGACGCCTGGAGTACCAGTTGTGCTTTGACAGGGTTGGCAAGTTGAGGCCTTTTTTTGGGATATAATGTTCTGGCGGATATCACATTTTTCGCGGATTGAAAACATCCCTCCCACTGTTTGAACCAAACCCAGCCCTTTCCATTAACGACCTGTGATTCGTGGAATTTTTTTGAAAAATTAGCGATTCTGAGGGATTTTTGTGCTTGTTCTGGGAAAATTCTGTCCGATCCATCTGCCAACGCTGTGCTTTGATAGATCTGCCGTTTGAACACCAACAAATGAATTGCCATTTTGCTCACTGTAAATTAGGTCTAATATTTTTTTTCTTATTTCTTGTAAATCCTTGGTGTCAATAGTCGGAAATCTGTTGGAAATTGTTACTGTTATTTAGCTATTTATGAAGAACAGTTGAAAATCCTACTTTTGTGCGCCGATGAATTATTTAGCAAGGGGGAACAGTAACATGTTTATTATTTGGAATTCATGCTATTTTTCAAAATGCTGGTGGAAAACTCTTGTCCAAAGACCGACCAGATTTATGGATTAAGTCATTGAAAAAGAATAGCCAAAATATTCAAGTATTTATTCCAATTGTTTTATAAACGGTAACCTATTGAGAAACAAAATTGGTGCAACTAAACTTGTATTTTATAGGAGTTCCAGCAGATTTAACAGAGAAGAATGATCCTGATTGAATTTCTACTTAAATTATGGAATACTACAATCCTATTATCTTTTGATACAACTTACAGATTTTACGAATAACTTTTGTTTTCATAAAGTAAAAAAAATCACCTGCGAAAAGTGTGATTTATAACTATGAAAACAGAAGTTATTAGAAAAACCTGTAAGTTTGCACCTAGCTGATTAACTTACTCTACGCGGGAAGTTAAATGAATTAGTTTAGTATCAAACTGTTTTATCAGCACAAATTGTCAGTTTCAAATTAAAATCTTTCCAAACCTCAGATTCCCTGCACAGGCGTCAAGTTTCGGAGTAGTTTTTTCGCCGGTTTTTTATCATGGGGAATAGTAAAGTATGTAACACATTCGAATCATTTGTCCACTTGATTGGTCAAATCGAATCAGAACGAAGTCATTCCACAAAAATACATGAGGTAAAAAGTTCATTGTTTTAATCATAATTTTTAATTCTAGAATCTCATTCTCAAGAAGTACACTTCGAGGCACCAGCTGAATGAAAGCGGGTTAAATATAAAAATAGCATGTAGTCTGAGATAATAAAATATATTTTATAAGACCCAGCATTTTATGAAACTAGCCCTTTTAAGAATAAGTTTTCTTGTGAATCTAATTCAGATTTAATTGTTTTAAGTATATTTTCATCGTCGTCGTTATTTTCACTATTCAGAGTTTTCAGCTTGTTCATGACATTTTTTATCACAGCATCAGCTTCCTGAAAGAAGAGGGCATATTTCAGAATGAAAAATGTTTCATATTTCACGCAATCGTCTACCTTAACCAATTTGCGTTTGATCGGCTGTTCAAAGTTGTTTATGTGCTTCATTCCTTCAAGATCCTCCAGTTTTGTTTGATAATTCACAGATTCCTGAAAAGAAACATGCATGAGATTATGGGATGTGTCTTCAAATAGGATTAGAGGATGCTCCCTCAATGCTGCCTCCAATGCATCTATAAACGGGTATCCTTTAACTCTCGATAATCATTTCGTAGCCACGTAGTTCAACTTCACTTAGCCCCAACCAAGTGTCAGACTTTTACTTGAATGACTCTCGTCTGACAATCTTAAGAATGAAGTGTGTTGAACAGTGTTAACAGTGACAAGATTATAGCGTTTGAAGATTCTTCTGATCAGTTTTTTTAAACCGAAGCAGCCACGTAGGCAAAGCCTAAATGCCAGGTCACCGTGGCTGCTATGAGGGGCTTAAAAAACTTTGTTAATCCGATTTTTGAACTGTCTAAGGTTAGTACAAGTGGGAAAACCCTCCTCATGTAGATTGTTCCACAATCTCGATACCGTAGGGACGAAGGAGTGTTTGTATCCGCCAGTTCTGGACGTACACATTTCGATACAGTTAGGATGGGAGGCCGAAGTCAGGCGGGTCTGTCTGGCAGCCACATCGCGTGGCGGAATCATGGAGGAGAGCTCCGAGGAGCAAAGCCCATTGGCTTAGTGGTAGACGAGAGCTAGATCGCCGACAGTCCGCCGGTGTGAAAGGGTCCCGAGACTGTCCGTCTCTGCCCTCCTCTGAACAGCATGGGGCATGGATAATGTCTGGGTTGCAGAAGCCCAAACATGTGAGCAATACTTGAGGTTAGGCCTTACCTGGGCCTTGTATAGAGTGAAAAGTGTAAAATCAACAGCGTAAATTGACCTTAGCGCGGCCGATCTTAAGAAGCATTCGCAGCGTAGCATAGTAAATAGGTAAGTTACCTTACATTTTTTTCTCAAAACGCTACCCCTATGATAAATTAACGGTTTCCGTTACTCAACTCCAACCTCACCAAATTTTTGATAACATGAACATTGAGCTATTGCTTGGTGACAATACTGACTGGAATCGTAATTAACGAATTTTATCGTGACCGTCTTAGCTGATTAATAAATGTATTTGACTAGTTACTTAATTACGGTTTACTAATTAATGCAATAATGGCCAACCTGTCCGCTAACTTTGGCTTGGAAGACAAGGTTTAAATCGCTTTAAAAAATCTCAAAATACTATTCAATGTCTGGTAGAGCAAGGCTTTAACTTAATTTAAGTACTTAGCGTACTCAGAAATTATAATTTATATAACCGAATTTTCAAGTATTGAATACACCAGCACGCTAACCCAGATCTTGTTTAAGCATTTTTTTTCTTAAATTACAATCTTTTGCCCGGACAAGTTTTCTTTCGTTTTTTTTATCTCTCCGAACGAAAAAGGCGTCGATTAACTTTTCTCTAAAGCTGTTCATCTTCGAGTTATAAGCGATTTAATGTCTATAAAGTTCTAGAAATTGGTATATTCAATGCTTAAACACTCAGTTAAAAAATATAATTTTTAAGATTGCCAAGTAGCTAAATTAAAGTCCTTGCTTTACAAGACCCCGATGGATATTTTGAGATCAATTTGTTTTAAAGCGATTTTTAATCTTGTAAATCCAAAACTGGCGAACTTTTGGTTTTCACAACCTGTAAAATGTACATGCATATCTTAATTTTTTAAGTTACACGGCGTTTGAACTTATCGGATGGACTATATGTAGGCTTGAGCTTTTATTAACGTTTCGATCACCTAAATGTGTGGTTTCAATTAACGACCAGAGAACATGGATCATCAACTTACCTGAATAACATCATCTGGAAAACCGACCATTCTTGCACAATAAATGCCGTAACTTTTGTCACACTCTCCTTTTCTTACTTGATAAAGAGGCGTTATGGTATTTTCTGTAACAACGGCTGTTACATGCAAATTTTCTACGTTGGTATTTTCCTCCGCTAACCTGCTTAGCTCGTGGAAATGTGTGGCAAATAATGAGAAACTTTTAAGATTCTGTGCAAGATGCCTAAAAATCGAGTTAATTTTAATCTGTTTAGGTATGTGCTTTAGTGAATAAAGGCAATAGAAAACATGATAATTTTTGAAATGCGGGTGCAAAATAATACTCATGAGTTGTTCTGGTTGTTGTAGATACTTTCTGTTATTGATGAGCAAGCAGACAGCCGACGGATCCGGGTCAGCGAAACAAACAAACAAGGAAAGGTGAAAAAAGGTCTCTGAGCCCTTCCCACTCGGTATATCCGTAATGCAAAATTTGCGGCCTGGGCGCCTTTCTGGTGCCACTGCCGGTTCTGACCGAAATCTAACCTACACAAGACCGGGGTTACTGAAATACCCGAGGGAGACAGTACTCGGGAAAAAAGTAGGGCTCGTCATATGTTATATAACATCCAAAAAAAATAATATCTCATATTCTAAATTTTTCGCGATTTCAATACATTCCCGCCAGTAAGCGTTGGAAGTTAAAAAAGACGCACTACTTGGTGGTTGGTTTCATTCACCCTGCTGCTGGATGGGTACCTGGCCCGCTCAGTTATTAAGTAAAAACCCTATATATATATAGTTCATTCCGCGCTTGCTACAAGTGAGCATGAAGTGAACGACGGCTAGTTCCAAGTTGACGTCTTGTTGGAAAACTTACATGCTGTCATAAAAACCTATATAATGTCAAAAGCCGACATGTTACTTTCCAGCAATACACCCCGCCGTACTCGTTTTAGCATGAAAACAATATTTGGCTGTTTCATGTTATATGCGACCGACTCAATGGTTAAATTCTATTTTTCTAGGCACACGAATATTGTACTAGTGATTAAGGTACGAGGGATAATGTGAGAAATGCCTGGTTTCACATTTTTGAGCACGCAAGGCGCTCTGAAGTAAACAGTAATCTCAGAAATGTTCAAAAAGGGAGTTTATGGAGATCGGAGATATTCTGCGATTTTTAGTCTTTCGCTCACAACTCCGCAGTCGCTGGATATATTTAAAAAAAAAATGACTAAAAACGAGTTATCTAAAAAATGAGTATTAATGAAAAAAATGAGTCCGTGGCCACCCTGATACATTAGCTCAGCTCATTCAATTTTACGTTTTTTTTATATATGGTCTAGCGCCGCCAATGACTATATCCACTTTGAATTACAGTGCTTGAGAACTCTATGATTGTAATACTACATAGAAACTTACTCTGCAATCGCCCATGCAATTCCACAACCATCATACGTAGACGTCCCTCTTCCCAACTCGTCAATAATTACTAGAGACTTGTCAGTTGCTGTCTAAAACAAAACAGCAATAAGTTATCTTTTTCATAAACCGAACCTAGCTAAAATATAATCTTACTCTAATTATAGAAGACGTTTCTATCATTTCCAACATAAACGTCGATATTCCTTTTAGTTGACAATCATCTGCTCCGACTCTAACATGAATCCCGTCAACTAATGATATATTTGCCTCTTCGCAGGGCACTAAGCTACCGATTTGGGCCATTAGTACACAAGTACCCACGCTCCTTATATATGTACTTTTTCCGCACATATTCGGACCAGTAATGATATACATTATCTAAAAATAAAAAGTGAATGATAATGTCATAGAAGTGTACAGGTATAGCGCTCGTAGCATGTTAGGAAAAATTACCTTGCAGTTTTTATCAAATTCAACATCGTTGGGAATATAAGAGATGTGCGAGTTATCCTCTATACACGGATGTCTTAATTTTTTCAGGTTAAGAATACCAGATCCTTCCTTGTGAATTTTTGGCCTGACGTAAGGAACACGGGCATTTACTGCTGCTACGGCAAATGATGTTAAGACATCCAGTTTTGCTACATACATGTTTATAGTTTTCAGTGAATTCGCGTATCCAGCTGAAATATAAAAAATGCTGTTAGACAATTACACATACCTAAATTTGCAATGCTTACAACTTTTTCATGGATACCTACGAGTAGGGATGTACCGAGTACCCGATTTTGCTGAGTATTACTCGGCCTTAACACAAGAAACTCAACCTATGTAAATCAAAGAATATGTTCACCAAAAATAGTCTTAGCAAAGGTTACAGAAAATTTTACCGGAATCGGGGAACTGATTTGGATGATTTTTTAGCCCTTGGAGCAGATACCATATTAGTTCAATCTGAGACCACCTCATGGTATTGCCCTTTTGGATTATTTATTTGTTTCTCTTTTTCATTTGAAAACTTCAAAAAAATACAAAGAATATCAAATAAAATGCAAGTGAATAACGACTATCCCTAGTCTGTCCAAAGAAAATCTTGATAATTTAGTTTTAGTTTTTCCCAAATCTGAATTAGTTCTGCTATGACATCCAGCAGTTTTAATTTGTATTTTTTGTACCCTCCTCCCGAAGACAGTTAATACTCCTAGTCAAAACAAATTTATTGAAACTGTTGCTGTGATGCCTGTATAGTTACTTTGCTTTTTATTCATTTTTTCTCTCGCTTTTCATCGATGCCGAATGTTAATAATATTATATGTATTACAAGAAGATACCAGTTATCAATAGTTATTTACCTAATAAGTGCGGAAAGTGATACTCTTTCGCACGCGACGGCAGTCGCACGAACGACACGTAAGTAGCACTTTCTTAACTTGAAACTGAGTACTTTCCCCACGCTGGTAGAAAAAATCTTATACCTAACACTTGCGGAAAGTGTATCACCATTCTCACTTGTTAGGTAAATAACTATTATCTACCAGCGTGCAGTAAGTAAAAAGTGAGTACTTTCCGCGCGCTGGTAGAAAAAAATCTTAATCTTGTATATTGTGAAACGGTTTCAGTCGAACTGTTTTTAAGTGTGTGAACTATTTTACAGTGCAATACCGGAGTGATTCTTATTTTACGAAAATTAGTGACGGACTGGAAATTAAAACAAAAATACGCCTTATCTATATATATACACATATATATATATATTTAATCTATAGCAGATTAAGTTTCTTTGCGAATTGTACAAGCCCAAGCACAAACTTGCTTGTGGATTTCCTATTTATTTACCATTTTTGATATGTATACGCTTTCATACGCATAATTCCGTCTTAACAGTATTTTTGATAAATAAACTTTACTTTAGTATATATACCTTTTCAATGTCTTACAAATGTGCTTCTTTCGTAATAGAAATCATAGAAAAGTAAATAAAAAACAAATGTTCCAAAAATATCATGTCAAGATATGGTTTCAATTTTAACTTAATATTGCAGCTAATTAACTGCACAGTGAAAAAAGTATACCTGGACAAAACAGAATCAACGGCGTCTAGCGACAATAGTGGTAACCTGGCTGACAATTCGAACTGGCATACAGTTCCAACAGACAGCCTGCTGTTATCACTTTCGCCGTAGTTGATTCTCGTGATAGATGGTACTTTGCGCGTCTTATTATAGACATTATACTTTGAATAGAGTAGTGTTGCTCAGCTTTCGTTCGTTGTCCACCGAGACAAAACCTACACCATGCTGAAGAGTTGCCAAATAGCACGAAACAGCGGTCCATGGTTGGCCGTCTGTGGGGACGAACGAAAGCTATATTATTAGTTTACTTCAAAGGTGTTTCAAATTTCCAAACATTCAAACTCCGACCTCTTCGATGATGCGATACGAGTAGTACTTTTAGTTAAGGTGCTAATTTACTCCCATATAAAATCCATTAATCACGAATAAATTATTCAGAATGTTTCAGACACATAAATGTTGCTTCGTCAAAGGGTGCAATCAGAATTTTAAAATACTAAATCTAAGAACATCATTCGATACAACCCAATTATGGGTAGCAGCGAGACACGCAATCACAAAGTTAACAACTTGACAAATGAATCTAAGATTATGTTTGCGAAAGATATTTTTCGACATATGAGGTAGAGCTACTGAAACGTGAGGATAAAAAATACACTTTTGATAAGCAATTAAAACACGTTATTTACTTGATCAGTTATTTTGTAAATAAAATCAGAACTTGTACACTCAACGATATCGCTCTATATACTTACATACACCTCAAAAGAGATGGCGCCGATATATTGGCCTTCCATTTATAAGAGTTGTTCACTGACTTTCAATCAAAAGTCCCCATGACATTTGAAATGAAAAGTTCAAAAAGCCGGAACGCATTAAAAATGAAGTGACAGAATCTTGGATACTTACATGCTATTTCGAATATCTCCTGAGTTATATATTTCTGCTGCTCTATGTACCTATTATTAATTTTTCGGTATTCATCATTGAGACTAGATAACTGATCATTAGTGAATCGTACTCCGCCTTTAATAGTAGCTATGATAGTATAATTTTTCCTTTTTCTTAGGGCTGGCTCTTCTTTCAAAGTGACCCTTAGAAAGTAGCCGTGTTGCTCTGTATAATCCAGCTTGATAGTTTTTCCCACCTCTAATTCAAGATCATCGGCAACTTTACGCTGGATTTTCTGCATTTTTAATAACAATTTCTCTTTTTCTTCATGCAGTTCTAAAAGAATAACATTATTAAAGTTAGCGACTTATTTATGAAAAATAATTCAGCCATTGTCCTATGCTCACCACTTAAATCCTCATCATAGGAAGGTTTCACCAGAAATTCGCCTCTATCCACCAAGTCCAGATCCAAAGTTTGCTCTATCATAGCCAAATAGTTCTGCATGTCCATTGCAATATCTTTCAAGGGGTCGGCTATGCTAGATTTTATGCACTCATGTTCCATGTCTGTCAGAGTTTTGATAAGTTTGGGTAAGTTTCTGACTGTCTGGTATACACGGTAACAATCCTAAAAAGTAAATTTTGCATTTCAAATTATATATATCAAAAAGTAGGAAAATAATGGGCAAAATCCGCAAAAAGGAGTAAAGTGGATTCGAGCAGAAAATAGGATAGGTAACCCGAGCGATACGTATTTCTACTGGTTGGCTTCATCAGGCCCGAAATGAATGCACATATGCAACTACAAAAGTAGAAACACATGCCCACATATCCGGATACGGGTGTAACCTGAGGAAACGAAGATGGAGAGGGAAAAAAATCGGCACACGAAGTCCACAACAAGAGCCAACCTACACATTGTAGTATAAAATGGCTAGAAGACCTCGAATTTTCAAGGAGACATCTAACCACAACCACGCGGCCGGTTATAGCCACTTGCTGTGGTACTTCATGCCCAAAGAATCTACAAAGAGAAAATGATCATGCGGAGAAAGGTATATAACAAAAAGTAGGAAAATAATGGGCAACATCCGCAAACAGAAGTAAAGTGGATTCGAGCAAAAAATATAATAGGTAACGTATTTCTACTGGTTGGCTTCATCAGGCCCGAAATGAATGCACATATGCAACAACAAAAGTAGAAACACATGGCCACACATCCGGATACGGGTGTAACCTGAGGAAACGAAGATGGAGAGGGAAAAAAATCGACACACGAAGTCCACAACAAGAGCCAAACTACACATTGTAGTATAAAATGGCTAGAAGACCTCGAATTTTCAAGGAGACATCTAACCACAACCACGCGGCCGTTTATAGCCACTTGCTGTGGTACTTCAAGCCCAAAGGATCTACAAAGAGAAAATGATCATGCGGAGAAAGGTATATAACAAAAAGTGGGAAAATAATGGGCAACATCCGCAAACAGGAGTAAAGTGGATTCGAGCAAAAAATAGGATAGGAAACCCGAGCGATACGTATTTCTGCTGGTTGGCTTCATCAGGCCCGAAATGAATGCACATATGCAACTACAAAAGTAGAAACACATGCCCACACATCCGGATACGGGTGTAACCTGAGGAAACGAAGATGGAGAGGGAATATATATATATATATATATATACAGGGTGGCCCATCCATGTGTGGACGGAATATTACTCATAAATAAATACATTTTGGGAAAATCTATTTATGGGATGTTATACATGATATTTTAGGGTACATTTCTAAAATCAGCACACCCGTGATGGCTTAGCAGACAGAGCAACCCTCTGGCAGTGAATATCGCGTAGAAGACCACCGAGGTTCGAGACCACGAAATGGTACAACCTTTTTTCTCCACCACATACGGAAAAGTCATATATTATGGCTCATTTTCAATAGTTCACCGCGGCATAGTCAACCATGCTGAACTCACCATAAAAAGGGCGTATGGAGGGATAGAAGAGTAGAGTATTTGCAAATATTTACTAAGCTACTAATTTGCGGAGTAGATAAGCTTTTACAAAACTATCCTTATTTTTATTGCTCAAGATGATGATATAAAAACATTTGAAAAAATTGGCTTTTGTCATTTTTTCAATTTAATTTTTAACCGATTCTGAATATCCAATAAACTCCATTAAAGTAGACTCCCTTCTGTAAGGTTAAGTTAATACACGAAAAATTCATAGGTTTTTATTGAACTGTATTTCTGATTTTTTACATAAAATTTGACATTTATCAAAAAGGGTTAGAGTTAAGTACAGGATAAATGAAATGTATTTAGAATCGTGCGCAGATTTCAAAAATTGAATAATATACAGGATGTTCCACTTAAAATAAGCAAGTTGGTATCTACTTCCCGTAAAATCGGTCACAATTATGAAAATATTTAAGACGAATGCCCCACATGAGTTATACCATAACCTCAAGTTTTCATAATTAACTTTTCGAGTAAGCGATCGCTGCAGTTTTACGTGGGACACCCTGTATTATACCACATTTCTGCTGGAGAGTTGAGAGGTATGTAAGTAGATAAGAAAATAGGTTGAATGAGAAAATTTCACTAGTTTGCAAAGCAAAAATTCACCTGTAAATTTGCTCGCTTGCTCAACAACTTGCGTGCCAATGGCATCAAATCCGACATCCTAGGTAGTACGTCTTTGACGATAACAGATCTGGTAGTCGAATCCTTCACCAGGCTTACCACAACGTCTAATCTCTCGTTGATGATATTGTAATCCCTGAGCGGTTGCTTTATCCATTGCTCTAACAGTCTTCGCCCTTGCGTTGTGATGCAATTGTCCAAAAGGCCTTTGAGACTGGAACTTTTGGATACAGCAGCACCGCCAGATGTAATTTTCGTTCCTGGTTTTGGTAAAACATTCAATGCTTGCAATGCTGCGAGATCCAAACGGACAAATCTATGCGTTTCAATAGTTGACATTTTGAACTGGTTGAAGTGCTGATCGTCTTTGATGAGCTCGAGGAAGTTGATCAGCGCATTAACACATCCCATAGCTTCCTTCAGGTTAGTTTCTGGAAATACGGCGGCATTTCGCTGTTGGTCTTCATGAAAGAAGAGCAGACGTTTCAAATCTTGCAAAACATCGTTCGATGAGAAATCAGACTTCTTAAGTTTTGCTAAAAGGATGCCATTTCGATCGAAAAGTGATTTGATAGTATTCAGTTCAACGGAATCTCCAAGTGGCATGATCGCCTCTTTAGGGGTAACTTGCGCTATCATGCCTTCTAGCTCTGAAAATGACTCGTTATCTTGTATTTCACATACCGAGAACTTGCCTTCTGGAATATTGACGCACGCTACCGCTATGTCCTGTAAATTGAAAAATGGAACCAAATACATAGTGTCCCAGAAGATACAGAAAAGTTCCTCGGGGTTATGAAATATGAAAATAGCTTCTATAAAAGATGTCCTACAATGTTCTCGTACATAGATAAAAGACTCAAACCCTTAAGGTCGCATATCCCTTTTTTTCAACTGCCTGTTTGGATCAGTATTCTAAATCCTTTTCATCTAATCATTTCATAGTGTGTATAGATGACCAAAAACAATGTTATCAAATTTTTTTTTGTAAAAAATGCATTTTTTCTTCAATCAGAACTTGTTAGTACAGCTCCGAAATTGAATATCAAAACTCCACTTTTATAGTTGAATTGAGCGGGTAATTACTTTTATTCTCATCACTTTTTTATTTTAGCAAACCCTTGATTTTCTTGAAACCTCATTTTTCAGTAAATTGAGTTTTCAAGGAAAGCAAAGATTTTCTGAAAAGAGAAAGTGATAAGAAAAATGTAATCACTCACATAAAAACGGAATATTCACATACAAGTTACGATTGAAGAAAAAATGCATAAAAAATGCATTTTTTGACAAAAAGACACTGATGACATTGTTTTTCAGCCGTCTCTATACACACCATGAAACAACCAGACGAAAAGTATTAAGAGTACTCCTCCAGACAGGCTGTTGGAAAAAAGGGACATGTGACGTTAAATAACTACAATACGTTGACTACGATATAGTACCTTACAGTACAAACGTAATATTTCCGGAGCATTGATAATTTGAATAAAAAACGAATTAAACAGCTATTTTTTTCAGCTAAAGTACAAGTATAGTTTAATATTAACCAAATATTTTCTACCGGCGTTCTTTAGAGCAATATTTCTTCGAAAGGGAGGCTTGTGGGACATTCTTCATAGATACTTTACTGGCCGCTCTGTGATTTTGAATGGAGATATTGGTAATTTGGTAAACGAAAGCACAGCTCATCAGTTATACAGGGTGCGGCAGAGAGGATGGACGGTTTTAAAAAAAATCATAAAATAGTTAATTTTTACTCGAAAACAAATTTATTGATGGAATCAGGTTCACAAGGAAATAGCATTTGAGACAGTCAAGTGTGGAAAATCACATCAGGCATGTGGTGGCCGAAATCGTTGATGCAGTGGTGGAGGCGTTCTTGGAAGTTCGCTTAGACTCTCTCCAACATCGCTCTCTCAACTTGGGCGACTTCCACGCGAATTTCGCCCTTCAATTCGTCCAGAGTTCGGGGCTTGTTCGCGTATACTCTAGCCTTGAGGTGTCCCCATAAGAAAAAATCGCATATGGATAAATCTGGGGACCGAGAAGGCCAATGAACATCGCCATACCTGGAAATAAGGCGACCAGGGAAGAGAGGGCGAATAACGTCCATGGATGCTCGGGCTGCGTGGGCGGTCGCCCCATCCTGCTGGAACCACACACGTCGGATTGGAACACGTCGCCGTCGTAATTCAGGGAGAAAGAAGTTGGTGATCATGTCGACGTGGTGCTCTGAGTTCACGACCATTACCGTCTTCGAAGAAGTAAGGGCCAATGATGCAAGTTTGCGATACAGCGCACCAAACCGTTACTTTTCGGCTGTGCAGCGGTCTTTCGTGTAACTGTTGCGGATTTTCATTAGCCCAATAACGACAATTCTGCTGGTTAACCATTCTGTTTAGGTGAAAGGTGTTTCGAGAGGGAACAGCTCTATTCCGATGAATGTTGAAGTGGCGACGAAACTCATACTGTACGGCGATGATTGACTCATTATTTCGGACAAAAAAATCATAGGCGAAATCGCGGTGCTGCACCGTCCAAGGCTCCATAACGACAACTGGTAAAATAATGCTAGGATCTCACGAGTAGACGGCACCCTCCCCACCTCTCTCGTAGACGGAGGCGGAGAGTACTACCCATCCCAAAAACGTCCGTCCTCTCTGCCGCACCCTGTATATGAATCTATTCAATCAAATGTTTTGTCATTTGGGAAGCATGAGAATAATCTTGCAGATTTCATAATTTTAATCAATAATACTATTATTCCTTATACATCTATTGTAGAAATTTAGGTATAGTCCTGGATAATGATTTGATATTTACAAACCATGTTGACATGTGCAGGGTCAAGCTTATGGTCTTCTTAAAATCCTGTTTCTATTCCGTCATATTTTTTCCATAGATCTAAACTGTTTCCTATAAGTTATCTGAAAGAGAATGGCAAAATATGCAGGCAAGGAGAAACTTACACTCTGCAGTGATCCACAATATTATTTTACATAAAACTACACCTTACTTATACAACAAAATTAGGTTCCGAAGTTTCGATGTTCGGTTCATTCGGTTCAGATCGCCACATCGTACTGCAATGTTCAGTAGATATTTTTCACATTTTGTTTATCGCTTATACAACCACGTCCCCACGGACCTAAAGTCCTTACCATTGTCAGGTTCAAAAAAATATATAGAAACTCTATTTAAGAATAATAATTATTCGGGTTTTTGTTTGTTGTAGGTTTGATTCTATTCTCTTTATTTTCATGTTGCTTTTTTGCCATATGGTAATGTTTTACTTATATTTCTTATACGAGTATGTTGTTGTTATGCTATCATTAAATAACTTAATGTGTGTTGCCTTTGTTTTGTTTTATCCCTGTGTCAGTACTTTGATCAGTATCAGACTGTCTACTGGTCCATGAGTTGTATTTACTTTCTTTTCGTATTTTTTTTTTGTTTATTTTTTATTATTTATTAATTTACATGATACATGTCTGGGTGTTTCGCCTTTACAATTAGCTTACCCTGTTCTGTACAACCTTCACAGCCATCACCCAATTCGAAAAATCGATGGTACTAGTTTCGAAGAGCACCTCCTCGAATTGTGTTAAATTCCCAGGAGATCCTTTGTACTCGCACTTCCAGTCGTTGGTGCTCTTGCCTTGGTTGCTCCTGGTGTATACCTCCACTCTGTACTGTCTGAACAGCAGCAGTTCCCGCAGAAGCGACTCAAAAGCAGCCTTGTTCAGGCACACGTAGCTCAACTGTGGTTTGGTGCCCATGCATTTAATTTGCAGAGTTCTGCAAGAGCTTGCGAGTGTAGCATCGTCACCGTGGAGAGTGTAAAACTCACCGCGGTTGAAGAAGCGAACGGTTGACGGTGCTTTCTGAAAAAAGAATGACACACTTAAATATGGTTAAGAGGATGACAATAAAAGTATAAAAGATAAAATTATTACAAACTACGTTAAAATCAATAAATAAATAGCATAAGAGATAGAACTGAAATAAATATTTACACATGGTTCGAATAAGTAGCAAAAAAAGGAAATGTAGCTTGAAATATAACTATTGAGTATCCATGGAGAAGTTGTGGTTGAGGAACTTGTCAATGGTGAAAAAAGCAGCCGACCAGAGCAATTTTTTCACAGCACTACTGAATTCATTGTATTAACTCCATTCCTTGTTTTCGCAAGTCTATGTTGTTTTGGGTACAAGTTGTCTCGGTGCCGGGTATTATATGAATAAGTTTCATGGTGGCTTGTATAAAGGTCAGGATTTGACTTGACATGCAAGAGGCAGCTCAATATATGTGCCAGGCAAAGTCATGATCTTTAGTTTGATAAACTCAGATCTGCACGGATCTCTATATCTTAGATTTGCTATATCGGATACATCTTCTCTGTAGGGCAAATACTCTGTACATGTGGGGAGAGTGGCCCCACGCCAGAAGGGCGTATGTCATTTTGCTATGGAAGTACCCATGGTAACTGGTCAACAGGACGTTTAGTGAAACTGAGTGTTTTAAATTGCGAATTAAATAAATTGTGCTTGTTAGAGATTTGGTAACATGACTGATATGTTCATCCCAGTTCAAGGAGGAGTCGATATAGACACCAAGAAACTTCACAACCTTTGCGTGGTCACCATTCTGATTCTTATTTAGAAGTGTGATTGTCAAGGATTGAGATTTGTTTGAATTTAATGTTAATTTGTTAGCTATAAACCAATTCTGAATGCTAGATATACTGGCCGTCGTTTCGCTGTTGATGTTTGTAAATGAATCGTGGGCTGAGATCAGAGTGGTGTCATCAGCATAAAGAATGAGCTTACTGTTCATACTATTAAGAAGACAATTTGGTAGGTCGTTTATATACAGTAAGAATAACAAAGGGCCAAGGACAGATCCTTGTGGCACGCCATGTAAAACTGTGCTGACTGACGATGTGCAGCCATTGTATTCGACGACATGTTGCCTTTGCTCTAAATAGGATTTTAGGAGGACTACAGCAGAAGGATCGATTGAGTAATACGGTAGCTTTGAAAGAAGTACATCATGCTGTACACAATCGAAGGCCTTGCTCAGATCGAAGAAATTTGCCTCTATATATTGCTTATTTTCAAATCCATCGTGTGCAATGTCAATAAAACTGTTTATTGCAGTAATGGTTGATAAGCCTGTTCTTAGTTCATAAACACAACTCTGTAATTTTATTGCATAAACTTTACATGATATTGTCGATTCTTTAGATCTGATATCCCAGCTGAAACTTTTAGTTCCAAAGACACATTCTAGAAACAATACGCTCGCAACCCTGCATCGTGTGGTGAGGTATATGGGAGGGGCGACGTTGCCAGATGGACGGTACTACCAGTAAGGCAGGAACAGGCTGCCTATAGACTAATTGTACGGAAATCTTTGACTGACTGGCTCCATTTAATTTCTCTGTTATACATGTTCGTAACTAATTTTTCGATGAAACCGATGAAGGCGTACAGACTCATTTTCGTAGTATATCATCTTGAGAATAGTCGTACTGCAAAAGAACCTACTGTGAACCCATCTCATATAATAATAGACAGTCGTGTTCTGAGATATTTAAATGCAAACATTTCATAGATGCGATCAACTCAGAATATGAGTTGTTTTCAAGACCGAAGATCTGCCTTATAGACCTTGATCTTTTTTTCTAATGAAAGTGGTCTTAATGAGCTAAATAGCGACAAGTGATGTATTTAGCAAGTGTTTTTATCGGAGACATATTTTCATATGAGCGAAGTTCAAAAATAGATAGCGATTACATTTTCGGAGAAAAATATTGTTCGCGCTAATACTGTCAAAAATTATTTATCTAGTTTCCTGTTATTACTTTAAAAATTGTAATTTTTGTTTTCGGAAATATTGTGAAATGCATCAGCATCATTCTCATTAGATAATTTTTGGGCTTTGATGTAATTAGTGTTTTTACTAGCTATTAAATGACCATTGAACCTTACATCTAGTCAAAATTAATGTGGATATTTCTATTTTCGGATAAAAATTCTATATACATAACAGCACAAAGAATAACATTTCCAAGTAACGCGCGACATATCAGCAACATATGAGAATCAAAACATTTCAATATAGTATTAATTGCGTTCTTGACATAATAAACATGTGAGATAATCTACTAATCTAGTTTTTATAAATGACCAGATTTAAAAAGGAGGATTAAGGCCAACACGTTATAGCTTGCAGCCTCCATGTAAAATTCAGATTCACTGGAATTACGAATAGGTAACAAGAGTATTCACAGTCTGATCTATTTCGGAGACAGATCTCACTCTACGGAAACAAGTTCAAGTAGGGCGGGCAATTACGCAAAAGCGTCTGATAAGGCTGATATTTGAAATCAACCCCAAGGGAGTGTTTATCATAGGACAAAATGGGCCATTTCGAATTTAGAATGACGTTATTGGGTTATCGTATTCCCCTCATTATGCTCCTTCATTCAATATCCATATTATAGCCATTCAGTGGCGGGCATCATACTGGATCTAGAATGATGTCACTTTGCTTATTATGATTCCCTCATCAACCTCTTTCATTTGATAGTCATAGTATAGGGGTGAATTATAAATCGCGTTTTGCGGTGGCAGCCGTATTCAGAATGGCATTGCATTGGTTGTTATATTTCTCTCACAAAGCCCTTTAATTTCATATCTATATCATACTATGATAATTGTAAACTTTTCTAATTGCGTTTCTCTCAAGCCCTTTTACTTGATACTTATATCATAGAGGTGACAATGGAAATGATAAATTGCCATTTTGTAGCATAAGCCATATTGGATTCAAAATGGCAGTTAATTCATTTTGTATTGTCACGCAGACCAAACGTTTGTACAAAATTTCAGCTCAAATGGTCAAGGTTGAATAGTTCAAAATTCAGTTCCAAGATTTGTTCCACACTAACATACATGCCGGTCAAGTTAAATAAAAGCTTGTAAAATAAGGTATCACATTCATTAAAAAAAATCCAATATGATGCTCAGGCGTAATGTTGAAATTTTCAACTGCCACTCTTAAGCAAATTCATTACCCCCAATTTCAGCTTGATAGGCTAAAAAAATAAGTAGGTTAGACACCTTTTTGAACAGCACTTTATATAGCCGGTCCATATTCTGTAAAATGGTCATCATGGCAGGGCAATAGTTGCGATTTAGGCATTTGTATTATTTTGACACATTAAACAGTCTTAACCAAATGCGACGCGAACGTCTTGAAATACACAAACTCCAATTTCAAGACGTTACATACATTTTGGATTGAATATCTACATTGCTGGATCCTCCTCTCGAGTAGCCAAGGAGCTTTTCAAGCTGTCAGTTTTTATGTGTGTCCAGTTTCAAAATGGATTCATATTTAGTACGAAATCTCCAGTTTAACAAACAAAATAGGCTATCGTAAAAGTGCAACGTGTAAAACCAATCAATCCATGATTTTCGGACTCATAGAGGAGTTTTGTCAGATTAGTAGGAATACGACTTTGAAATCTTCTCTACCGTACGTAGTTTCCACATTAGCAAGAACTATTCTGTCATACATTATTTTCAGTACGATCGGCTGGAAATTGGTACAGTAAACTGAATTAATGGTTTTAAGAAACAAGATATAAGGGGGGTCAAATGTGATAACTCGAAATATATATACGATTATATCAATATTATTGGCCAGTCGGTCTTGCAGATTCATGTGCGTCAAGTGCAAATAACAAGAGACAAGTAAGTATGATACTTGTTAATTTATTTATATTGTTGTTGACATTAAAGGGCGACTATACAGGGAGTTTCCTATTTAAAGTAATACAATAAATCTCAAGCTGATATGTGGGTTTAAAGTTTTTTAAACAGGTTGACTACATGATGTAGCTTTAAACTAGATACTGCCAGCTTTTATCTCCCTTATTTTGTATGACGGTCAAAAAAGTAATTCGTTTTTACAGTATCTCTTAATATTTTAAAAATGAGATATTTATTTATTTTCCAGTAGGCAAGGCACAAGTGCGTAAAAGCATGCTTTTTTATAAAATGACCACTTGTCTAATAATTGTGTTAAAAATATTTTAAATGTAGCTCAAAACAATTGGCTGAAAATGCAGTTAAATTGGTCAGCATCATCAGCTTTATTAAAGTTGTATTAATAAAAAACAATTATTTGTCAGATATTACAACCTGATATTAAGTAGTCTAGTTTTAGAGCATTTTCTCTAACCAATACAGTGTTTTCACCTGCATCATAACAAATAAAGAAATTATTACATATATTTGGAGCGTACCAATGTCATTATGAATTTTTGTTTTAATTATTTTTGTTTGGAATAAAGTGCTGTACAGCCAGTGCTGCATGTAATTTAATATGCAGTATCCTTAAATACATTATCGCCATGTTGCTCAATTTTTATGGAGTAATATAATAAAATTCTATTGATGCTACATCGATAACCTCATGAACCATACCATCGAATCAGCACGTGGATATAATAAATAATAATACGTTATTACGATCGTTTGATTTATACAGGGTGACTTCGAAGTTGAGTCATTTATTTTAACAGTGAGTAGATCTGATCAAAAGAAATGTTTTTTTCCTTTACCATTTTTCTGGTAAAATTAAAGTAACAAAGTTATAGCCCTTTGGAAGTTTGAGTACCGCCCTGTCTCAATAATGATATTATGTTCTCGTGTTTGGCGACAACAGATATAATCCGCCTTATCCGTTCATCGCATCGGAAACAAAAAAGCGAAAGAATTTGGAACGATCTTTTTACAATTATTTTCTTCAGTTGTATACAGTCAGTATCAGTCGGTAGTCGGTAACGCGTAAGTGAATAATCGTGTCTGTTGCGAGGCTCAAATCAAAAATGGCACATGTTTACGAAAATGCTGAACTTGTGGACATGGTTCTTATTTACGGGGAGTCTTTACAAAATGCTGCCGCGGGATCACGGATCTATGCGGATCGGTTTCCCAATCGAGTGCAACCAACCCCTCGTGCCTTTGTTAATGTAGTGCAAAGAGCTCGTGAATCAGGTGACTTAAGACCTCACAGAGGAGATCATGCCGGTGCTCCAAGATCACACGATCAAATAGAACTAGAAGAACAAATTTTAGAATTAGTAAGTGATGATCCAACAGTAAGCACCCGACAAATTTCAACTCAATTGGCGATTAGTCAGTATAAAACTTGGAAAACTCTACGTGAAAATCAGTTCTATCCGTTTCACATACAAAAAGTGCAGGCCTTACAACCGGAAGATCATGAACAAAGGGTTGACTTTTGCAATTGGCTTTTAAATAAACATCAAAATGATGACAATTTTTTAAATCAAATTTTAGTGAGTGATGAAGCCCTCTTTACTAGAAACGGAATTATTAATTCACGTAATTCTCACGTTTGGGCTATTGAAAATCCCCATGAAATAAGGGAAACCAATTTTCAACAGCGATTTGAACCAATCAACCTGTGGGCGGGAATTGTTAATGGAATTTTAGTGGGGCCTTTTGAATTACCAAATCGCTTAACTGGTGAAAATTATTTTGATTTCTTGCAACACAATTTGCCTGGTTTACTGGAAGATGTGCCTTTAAATATTAGACAAAACATGTGGTTTTTACAAGATGGGGCACCACCCCATTATGCAAGAAATGTGCGTGAATTTTTAAATAGACAATTTAATAATCGTTGGATCGGCCGTGGCGGTTTTGTACCCTGGCCGCCAAGGTCTCCGGACTTAAATCCTTTAGACTTTTGTTTGTGGGGTTGACTAAAAACTCTAGTGTATAAAACACCGGTTAATACACGCGAAGAATTACGTGCTCGAATTGAGGAAATGAGTACAGTGATCAGAAATCAACCAGTGATTTTATTGCGTGCTTGTAAAGAGACATGGCTAAGACGCGCCCAGCTGTGCGTCGAGCAAAACGGAAATCATTTCGAACAGTTTTTGTGACATGCTTTTGGGCGCACAGGTCCGCACTGAAATACTTGTCGGGAGGATACTTTATAAAACAAGGTAACATTTTTTTTTTATTTTTTTTTAATTTTTACACACATATTTTGGTTTATCTTCCTTCTACAATCATTATCTGAAAATTAATGACTCAACTTCAAAGTCACCCTGTATAACTACGAATGTTATATGAAAGAAAATGTATTTGGTAAACAGAATCCAGTAATCAATAGTTCCAGGAACTACGAAACTAATGGACCTATAAGATGTGCGTAAAATGGTACTTGCACCAAGATGTACCTGTGGAAAATATTAGCACAATTGTATCAATCATCCAACGATGTTTTCAGTATTTTTGATATATTCCAGAAAATCTGAATGAAGGCATTCCCAAAAAACATCTTTTATAATAAGACAGCGCAAAGCGCCATCTACAGCTGTCCATGGTTGGCTGTGTTTGGACGGACAGCCGAAAGCAGACCATGTTTATTATTTTACATCTTTTTGTCTCTGTAGTTCCTCAAATTAAGAATGATTGAAGCAATTATCTAAACTGAGGAAAAACTCCAATTTTATTTTCGACTAGTTTTATACAGCTATCACAGCTTTGTTTACAAGGTCAACGTATTGGACTTTGATCTATTTATCTTCAGGTGAATTAATGTATGGACATAATTGCTTGATGTTTCACAACAATTGAATTCTGAGTTACAGTGTTTTTTTAAAAACTCAGATTCTAGCCTTACTGGGGTGCTTAATTTAATGCCTTCAGCTCCAAGAACTGACTGCCGGACTTATAAGATGTTTCTAAAACGGCAAATCTATCAGAAAAGCAACGTTCATTTTTATATACTGGAAAATCTGAACGATAGCTTTTCGTAATAACTGAATCTGGACAAAACAATCTTGTACAGTTCAATGCTTCCAAAACACAATACTGTACTTTGACTAACAATAAGCGTCATAACGCTCATCCGGTTTCGATGGATGGCCGAGTTCTACCGAAGAGCAGATCATCTCGTCAATAGCGTTAGCTGCCGGGAAAAAGCTGTGCTATTTGTTTAAGGCTAAGTAGTACTTTTCACCACATAACCTTCTCACTCAGTACAAGGCCCAGATAAAACCTAGCCTCGAGTACTGGTCACATGTTTGGGTGTTGCCGCCCCGACTACATTATCTATGCGCGTTGCTGTTCAGAGGAGGGCTGTCCGACTGATCGTTGACTTTTCGCTAACTGATAATCTTGAAACTCTTTCGCGCCGACGGGCCTTCGGCGATCTAACTCTCTTCTCCTCCATGATGAATCTACATGAGGAGGCGTTTCCCAGTTTTACTAACCTTAGGCATTTCAAAAATCGGATTAACAAAGTTTCTTTAAGTTCCTCATAGCAGGCGCGGAGAACTGAGATTTAGGCTTCTGCCTGCGCGGCTGCTTCGATATAAAAAACTTTTTGTCTTTCTAGTCCCTCAAATTACGCACGATTGGAACCATTTTTCATATATATGGCGAATAGCATCAATTTTGCTTCCGACTAGTTTTAGACCTTCAGTCAAATCACAAGTACAAGCAGGTCTGTTAATGAGTCAATAGGTATGTCTGAATTCAACTGTATTCCGTTTATCAAAAAAAGAACCGTCTATTGCATTTGTTTTTCAAAATTATTAATTTCAAATAATCAACTGTTGGCCTGCTCTGCTGGTAACAAGGTCCATTTTGAAATTGTAATTTTCGATGACGATGGTGGTACTTGCAAATAAAGCGAGTGATGCTGATTTTTTATTCCTCAAAAATACTCCCTTACCCTTATCCATGTAGTTGAAGCATTAAGGCGGCTCCGACGCAGTGAGTTTCAGGCCATTTACACGGGTTTAGCTGTTTCGGAATTGACGCTCCATTTTTCTATATATTTGAATAAAATTTATACAGTATGTTCAGAAGACAATTGTCCAGGTTGCTATAGAGCCACTTTTCTAAAAAAAAATTGTTCAAGAGTTATGGTGGGTGGAAGTGCAGATAACACTGGACAACAAATTTTAGTTTTTTAATTGTATCTTGTGGGAAAAGTGCACTTCTTTGTTAATTTTGGGGCGCTGAATCCAAAAATGACAATGAAATAAAAAAATTAGTTGCGGTTTAGAAAAAAACTTTTTATTTTTAAGGATATATTAAAAAAAGTAACAAGATTCATATACTTATAAGAATCACTATATGCGCTGTCTTTTTGCTGTTCTTTTATGGATCGTTTCTGGAGCATCTCTACCAAGAGTCCAACAGTAGTCTGCAAGCATGGAAGGATTCCACTTTCCCTGGTACCTTTTTTCCATTGTTGAAATATCCTGATGAAAACGTTCGCCGTGCTCATCACTTACGGCTCCGCAATTGTCAGGAAAAAAGTCCAGGTGTGAGTGTAGGAAATGTATCTTAAAAGACATATTACAGCCCATCTTTTGATACGATGACAGCATATTTTTGACAAGGGTTTTATAGTTGTCAGCTTTTCTATTTCCCAAGAAATTAGTGACCACCAGACGGAAATCATTCCAAGCAGTTTTTTCAATACCTGTTAAAGTGTTTTCAAACTGTATCTTTCAAAATATTTCGAATCTGTGGCCCAACAAAAATACCTTCTTTAACCTTTGCCTCACATAGTCTTGGAAATTTCTGACGCAGGTATTGAAAAGCTGACCCATCTCTATCTAATGCCTTGACAAAGTTTTTCATTAGGCCTAACTTGATATGCAGTGGTGGTAATAAAATGTTTTTCGAATCTACTAATGGCATATGCTGTACATTTTTTTGACCTGGCTCTAGGAATTGACGAACAGGCCAGTTTTGTCTGGTGTAATGAAGTGCCTTTGCCCGACTGTCCCATTCACACAAAAAACAGCAAAACTTTGTGTAACCTAGCTGCAGCCCAAGTAAAAGTGCAACAACTTTCAAATCGCCACAAATATGCCATTGGTGCTCATCGTATTTTATGCATGTCAATAGGTACTTCATATTGTCATATGCTTCTTTCATGTGAACTGCATACCCTACAGGAAGAGATGGTAAAATATTTCCAATATGCAATAACACTGCCTTTAAACTCAATGTTGAACTGTCTATAAACAATCTCCATTCTTCTGGGTTATAGTTTATATTTAAAGCCGCCACTAAGCCGTTAATGTTACTGTAGAAAACCAAGTTATTCTCGATATTGAAAAATGGTTCTAAGTCTTTGTGGCGTTTACGAAAAACACATACCGAAACATCGTCTTCTAACAAGTTCCACTGCTGCAGTCTTGATCCAAGTAACTCTGCCTTACATTTTGGAAGTTCTAAATCTCTTACAAGATCATTTAATTCTGACTGTGTTATTTTGTGCGGTTGGTGGCATGACGTGCTAGGTATAAAATCAGGATCTCTTGACGTTGATGGCATATCTTCTTCCTGACGAATCACTCGATCGCCATGATCTGATTCGTTTTCTGATTCGCAAGTGTAGGATTCTGGGGGTTTTGGAATAGGATTTTCGTCACTGTGAGGCACAGGTCTCATCGCAGATGGTATGTTTGGGTAGTTAATAACAGATTTTTTTTTCGTGGACATACCTGTGGCTTGTCCAACACAAGGTACCATGCAAAAGTAACAATCATTAATATGATTTGTAGGCTCTCTCCAAACCATTGAGACAGCAAAGCGCATAGACCGTTTTTTGCCATTTAACCAGCTCCTCAGACTTGAAGCACAATGTATTACAGCAGATGTGGGGTGCCCACTGTTTGTCTTGATCACCTAGTTTACAACTGAAATAAAGCTGATATGCCTTTGTTCTTAGTGCAGTAATAGACCGTCTCTGAGACGCAAAAGTCACATCACCACACACGTAACAAAACTGATCTGGATTGTTTACACACTTTCGAGACATCTTGCATGAACGCTGTCATCCAACTCAGGAAAAAATGGCTAATACAAAACAATATAATGTACACGTATGTATAACGTAACACAATCATGCCGATTACATCATGTTTCCTTGCCGAATATAAAAATGTAGCACGTGCACTCTTGTGCATTACAGTATATTAACACTGTCACAGCAGGAACACATAATTACCGTATCTCTAAAACTTGAACTAATATTGAAAAAATAAGTTTCATTCCGGTTTTAGCACATTAAAAATAGTAATATTTTGTTGATTTTATTTAGGATATTTTTTGGCTGTTGATCAGTGTAATTGTTGTTCGACTTCTCGATTTTTTTAAAAATAACCCAGAGGAAAAAACGAAAAAGTGGGTCTATAGCACCCTGTGGAGTCTTGTTTTTAGTGCACTGTGAAAATTTCATTGAAAAATATTGAAAAATGAAGCGTCAATTTTGAAGCGCGAAAACCTCTGCAAATAGGCTTTTACACGAATTTTATCCACTATCTCGTGCTGCCAGTCGAAGCAACGCGGCGGTGTGTACGGACTAAGAAAGGACGTATTCAGATAATTTGTTGTCCCAAGTTAAACAGTAGGGAAAAGTCCATAGGAGGAATATCACATGCCAAGGTTTTATGAGCTGCACTGCGCCCTCTTGTTGGAACCAAACGTTTTGAAACTTGAATTTGAGCCAAGTACCACAAGAAATTCTCTAACGCGCCATCGAAAATTGGAATTTCAGAATGGTCCACAATGACCGCATCAAATAGCAGACATTTAAAGGAAACGATGCTTAAAAACTAAAAGCTTCTTTTTTTTTTGATAATACATATAACTAGAAAAGTTTATTCTTTCAATATATTTTTTTTTCTTGGATATAAGTACTTTTAAATGCATGACCCGATACATATCAAACAGACATCAACATTTCTTTAAACAAATGTGCAATTCAAATCGTCGTCCGTGTAGAATACAAGATCAATCATCACATACGCTAAAACAACTCTTTAAGCACCTTGACAAAACCTGTATGGCCTAAAACATCCTGTAATTCAATCACCACACTGTTGCGTAGCAGAATAAAAATTCTCAGAACTTCTAAGTGTTTACATCATCAGGATTTTCCATAATATATTCCAAATTTCGACTTATGAAAAATATATAATAGCATAAGTATAAATTTAGCTATTCGTTAATTGTTTAATCCTTTTTTGTTCAGTGAACCCACGCGTGAAATATTAGAAGCACTCATAAATATATTAATGGAATTAGCAAGTCAAACATTCTTATTCATCACGTTTTCTTTAGACCATTCTTGCTTTAGGTGTAGACCATGAAAGTCCTCTTCTGCCTAGCTGTGCTAGGCTACTCGGCAGTAGCTACCCCCAGTGGCTACTACCACCAAGAGTACAACTATAAGACTTCTAGCTCGAGTTGGAAGAACAATGAACTGCAACACAAGACTGATGATCAGGTACGGTTATATTTTATGTCTAAATACAAAGTATTCCAGCATTTCAGCATAAGCCAAAAAATGCAAAAGGTTCCATCAACGAATTAGAATAGATTAAAAGGAGCTTAGCCTATGTGTAAACATTGTATTGTTTCTCGCCATAATTGCGTACTTTTGACTCATTTGACTACCAATATCGATCAAAGTGACAATGTTATACAGACATAATAATCCTAACCTTACAGACAATAATAATATACTTACTGGTGGAAATATCTACATTCATTAGGCTTGTGCTGCATACACTTGCACTTAGAAAAATAACACCAAACTTATGAATTTGATGAGAGAAATATCAAAATAATTAACTTATGGCAAGTGCACTTGTATGCTCGTTGATAATCATTATTTATCATTCGTTGGGTTCCACGAAGAACTGTGGAGATCAATTACCCGGAATGTATTCGTGTAGGTTTTAGACAGTCACAAAAATTTGGGGGTTTCGATCAAATCGATGAGAGCAGTTAGTCTAAAATATTTTCAAAATGGTAGCAATTCAGGTTGTATTAGAAATAGATGTCATCTTGCTTGTATATTACTATTTTTTTTATTCTGCGCAGGATTCTAAAAAACTTTCTCTTGCGTCATCCTAAATACCCGTCTCCCCGTTTTTGAGATATCTCAAATTTATTGTGAAAAATTAAAAATACAGATTGGTAAACAGTAATACATTTTTCCTGTATTTGTGTCTGGCTTACGATTTGTAAGTTTCCTTATGTGAAGAAACTTACTTTAGTAGACTTTGTGCGATATTCAGATAAGTAAAAACGCGGAGTGGTAAAAAAAGAGAATAAAACTTAGGTTCTAAGAAACCCCAAAAACCAATTTTTTCAAATATCAAGCAGAATCACTTCATTGGGAACGTAGTACGATCATTCCCTGGACCTTGTTCTGAAACCGCTGTAGGATAGCAATATTGTAGTTGCTCGCTGTGCCCCATAACTGGATGCCATACGTCTGGATGCCATACGTCCAAATTGGTTTCAACAAAGCATTATAGAGTAATAGCTTGGACAATGACAGTTTAGATTTCCTACCAATAATCCAATACACCTCTTCAAGTTTGATGCCCTGTTTGTCTAAATGGATTCCGAGATATTTCGCACGGTTTGACCGAGGAATTTGTAAATTATTAAAATTGTCTGGTTTCTGGGTTGCCAGACCTGACAGACTTACAAACTGACACTGTGACTCAAGAGCTAAGGTCCCACGGACCGCTCTGACAACCAACGATGACTTGACTTGACTTGTAAATTATTGATATTTACTGGTGGCCACACAGCTTGTAAAGCGGGTATAGAATACGTAAAATGTTTTTAGAATATTGCATAGAATCCAAAAACTGTATAATATACAGAGTATTCCATTTAAAATAGGCAAGATGGTACCTACTTCCGATATAACCCATATAAGTGCAACCAATTTGAAAATTTTTAATTGACTGGCTTCTATCTCTTTACTAGAATCCCTCAATCCTCTCAATTATCTAATGTCTATTTACCGAGAAATAGCTAGCTGCATTTCTTCGTCGGACCCCGTATGCATGCGACACTTTATTGTATCATTTCCACCTACCTGTCAAAATTAATGCTTGTCATAACTTTTGTCACTATGTAACCGCAGTAACCACTGTGCTGGATTTGTAGTTGGAATCTGGTACATATAGACGTAAGGTTATTGGTAAAACCAAGAATTCCGACAAATTATTTCAAAAAATTGTTTCGATACTTACATCATTTTAGATAAAGATATTCATTATATTGTTTCCTTCTTTGGTTTAGGATATTAATCAGACTATTATAAAAGGTGGCATTCATGATTATTATTTCAGCTAAGACTTTCACCATTTTTTAGCTCCTCAGAGGCCCCATATCAAAATTTGTAGGGGGCCCCACCAAACTGAATCTCAAATGGAGGGTAAAATTTGAAGTCTGGTTTTAAAAAAAGAAGCATAAGTATTAAGAAATATGAATTGTCAAGCACTGACCTTGGGCGCCAATGGGAAGTTTTCTCAGTCAGAGAGGGTGGATCATCGGCAAGAGATAACTTTATATAAAAGTGTTCCTACTCTCAAAACTTTTTGAAGAGCGAGGAATAGCAGTTTTTCTAGGCGAAAGGGGGAGTACTGTGAATGCGAAAATTTTATAAATTCCGATAAATGTTTTCTGTTTTGCCATGTCTACAACACCTAAACGCATGTGGGGTCATAGGTAATGCTAATTCATTTTAGAAAATCGTTTAAATGCCCGAGGTGTTGTTTAGAGTAGAAATTAAAATAGCTTTCTCCCAAAGATTGTTTTTGTATGCTTTACAACTTTCTAAACATTTTTAAGGGTAATCGAACGTCTTTGTGGAGAGGTGACATTTTTTAAACATTTCGAAAATTTGCTTTCATAGTTTTTGGTTGCTTCAGGTTTAGGGCATATTTAAAAACATAATGGAGCTCAAACATTTTGTTTCTTCAGTAAGTCTTATCTTGACTCATTGAAAATTTGAAAATAGGCATAGGCTTGAGAAGTACCGAGTCAATCTACTTGCCACTATTTTTTCCGATCTTTTTTATTATACCATCCATGTAGCGGAAGACGATTTTAGAGTTTCGGAATTTTCAGCCGCTAAAGACAGTACCATGCTTGATAGTCAAAGCAGCCTCATAAAAGTATGTCTTAAAATATGTTAATTACTTTTAATTTCGAATAGCTTAATTCAGCTGTTGCAGTTGTAATCTAGAGGGCTAAAAATAGGAAACATGCTACTTGCTATCACTAACCCGTACAAAGGTACAAAGTAAAAAGGAGAGAATTTTTAATTTAGCGTACGGCCTAAAAACCTGCGTGAGATTATGAAAAACACTTGACGCATTTTTTTTTTCGTATGTGGGGGTCATTGTAAGCTGGGGCCCCGTATTATTGATACGGCTGTCATGGCGGTAACTACGCCCCTGGCTGGTAGACAGAAATAACTAAGTAAAACCGAATAATAATGATTTTGCAGGGTTATTACAAAAAAGATGGCGACCTGGAAGGCAGATCAAAGCCCAGGATAGACGCAAACAGTGAACATTCCGAATACGTGAACCCGAACCTAAAGAGCAGCCAGTATGGGTACTCCGGTGCTGCTGGTACCGACATGAACTCCTATGGGCACATGAAAGCACTTCACGACTATGGTACTCACGGTAGTAACACTCTCACAGAGGGAGTTGCTACCAGCGACAGGCTGATGGGTACTGCAGCTGGATACAGTGCAGGTAAGTCGCATTTCATCAATATTTTTCAGTTCACAAAAAAAAACGGGTGTTCCATAGGCATTGGTTTTAGTAATAATAATAATGATTATTATGATAATAATATTTATTATCCATCTGATATGAAAATAGATTTATTGGATTTTACAAAAATAAATTTTTACAAGCAAATAGGTCACTGATCGCGTAATAAAATTGATCAAGTGAATAGTCCTTTAATCCTTTTTTAAAGCGGTTGACAGACTGACTACAGAGGTGATTCCTTGCATTATTCTAAGAAAAAAGTTCATTATACTTATGTCCGAAAATCAATCGTTTTCGAGGAAAGTGAGTCGTAGATAATTGAATTTTCTCAAACATTTGGCAACGCTGCAACGCAACCACGATACGAGCGCACGACGACCGCAACTGATTCATCGAATTGTTTACGTTTGTATGATATTTTTGTTGAAAATATGCCTAGAATTATTGAATTTTTTTCGGAATTTTTTTTAAATTTAATAACGCTTTCAGTACAGTACATTTACTTAAAAAAAATGACAGATACACACCAGCAATTCCTATGATTATCAGTCACTTATTTGAAACGATGCGATGCACGAAACAAGAAAAAACCAACATCCGTAAATCACATAAAGTTACAGTTAAATGTATTAGTGATCACAACAACACGCGATGATAAATGCAGTGCATGCGGAGTACGACGTTGCCAGTTGTGTGAGGGATTTTGTTTTGTCTGTTTTTCTTCGGAAAATTGTACTAAATAAGCAAGAAAGTTATTTTGTTAGAGTCAGTTAATTAATAAATAGATGTGTTGATACATTTTACGCTATTTGAATTATTAAGGTGCAAAATTAATTTATTAAGGTGCAAAATTAATTTATTTCATGACTAAAAAGAAATAAGTTTAGCATTTTTTTTTGCTCCGAAACAGTTGATTTTCGGACATAGGTTATAATGAACTGTTTTGTTTAGAATAATGCAAGGAATCACCTCTTAAAGTTCCGAATATTATTTCCCTAACACCCTGTATATGGCGAAAGTTCTATGTAGATGGGTGTCTTGCCTTGTACCGACTCCATGGATTTGCTTATTTTATAAAAAAATATGTTGGTTCGAGAAGGTGTATGGCCATCTCGAAAATAAATAATGGAGGCAAGGTGAGTATATGGTATTTTTTAAACCAACTCCTAAAACTAGAGTCCACACCTGCCATGCATCTTAAAACTTTTTTTGACACGTAAAGACATGTTTGGCATATGATGAGCAGCTCCAGAAGCACAGTCGGTATATCATTCGAGATTTCACTTGAGAATGAAATATTGTTATTAATTGCTGCTTTGTTAGAACCGTTCTCAAATTTTTCATAATGAATGTCCGTGAATTTAGTTTTGCAACTACAAAGCTACAGTGCGATCTAAAGCTAATATCGTCATCAAAATGAATTACTCCAATATCGCGTTAGACAATTCTTCATGTTTTCTAGTCGTTAAATGAAACCGCATATTATATAGGCTTGAGATTTTGCTAACGTTTCGACCTTTTAAGTTACCGATCAAAAAATATCTTCAAGTAGTTGGACTCTGCACTTCCTACGCAACGCCGTCATCAGTTCATAAAGGATTAAGTCCAAGTAAAGTCAGTTACGAATATGTACTACAGAGAATTTAGCGGATCAAGCCAGTCAAACAGGTCTAGACAATTAGTCCATAGACATTCTTTCCCTACTGTAAAAGGAGTTACCGTCCATCTCGCAACGTCGTCCCTTTCCACACCTGCGCGGCACCGCTACAGCGAGTTATTATTAATTTGTTTTCGCGCTGCAGTACGGATAGATTAGTCAGCCTAATCGTTACGCCGGGCGGTGAGCATAGATAGCAGGAGTATAGGGTTCGAAAAATGTGTGAATTACCGGGGCTGGGAGCGTATAAATATATTCACATCCAAAAATTTTATATACCCCACCCCTAAAACCCTAGCTCCCGATTTTCAACCGCTATAAAAATGCTTCTGTAACGTCGAAAAACGAAGTCATGTTTTTGCACCTAGATCCGTCGCCATTGAACGGATTTTCGAAAACTAGCTTTTTCGTCCTTACCATAGTAGTGATCTTGTGTGAAAATTTCATTCAAATCCGAGCGGTACTTAACAAGTTATAGGCGGTCCAAGGATCAGCGGACAAACAGACCGACGGAAATGAGTGACATGGTTTTTCGTGATGTACATGTCACATAACATCCAAAAACATATCCCATTTTCGTAATTTTTTGCGATGACAATACATGGCGTAGGAAGTAAAAGTGATATTGATAGTATGTTTTATATTCATCTGCATTCCAGGTGATAGTTTATACAACACGGATGGTCCTGTACCATACCGAGATCCCGCGGATCCATCCTTACAATTAGTTCAAAATGGCACCTCGAAAACACAGCACAGTTCAGGACCGCCCTCCGAGACATCCATCAGTGACAAGAGAACATAAGGTTACCTGCTGTTTTGGATGTACCAGACATTATGGGATCGTTTTCAGCACGACTTGTCGGACTTTACGGATATCATTTCAATTGCGGGCATTAACTGTGCTATTACATCCTGCAACTCTTTTAAGACTCAATACTGTGTCCTACCAGTACAAGCTTCTAGAGAAAACACTATATGGAAAACCTCTGTGTGGTAAAACTGTAGAGGATCAAGGCAAGGCGCAATGCTACGATAGCAAGCACTGATGCTTTGGAACAGATCTGCTTGCGTCACAGCTATATGTATAGCCCGATCAATGCTAATTTAATCTGCTACTTATCATAAAGAGTATTGTTAAAAAATTGACTTCATTCCAGGATCTCAATATGGATCAAGTTCATATGGAAGTAGCAGCTCGTATGGCGTTTCTTCTAACCTACACACTATCACATCCAGACTACAGCAAGACCTGGAGCGTGAATTACAGAGCTACGTCCGCGACCAGACTCTTTCCAGATCACTGGACGAGCTTGAGGCAGAGATCAGACATCGGGTAAACGACAGACTGCAGAATGAGCTGCTCAACAGGTATGGTTTGGCATAGATCATTGTTACTGTACTGTTTGTAAAAATAGAATTGGTTGTCCAAGTGGACCATTGGTCATCACATGGAACGTTTAAGCGTAATATGCAAAAAAATCTCGTTTTCACATGATTATGGCAGTCACGGTCGCGATACAGTTGAAACCAACGAATTCGGACTCGGGAAGGAGCAAGTGTACGATTTGTTTGTCGCCAAAATTATGCAGCCAGTAGTTAGAATACCACAATTCGGTCGTCAGTTTGCCAGTTTGTAGCTGGCTCATTTCACATTAAATTCATACTTTTCTGCGAAACCAAATAAAAGTGCGTGGGTTCTTTACAATCATAATGGTTCAGACAGTTGCCGAAAATGGTGGAAGTTTCTGTGGATTGCAAAAAGCAGCTTAAACTAAATAAGAACAACTCTTTCTATCGATAATTACATATTATAATCATCGGCGTGGCGAAAGGGCATCTGCCTCATCATTGTTTCTTTACCTGCGCCGTTGTGTGGTAATTTTGATTTATTTCATTCTACATCTTGCTTGACTATTTTCAACTAGGTATTTGCTTTTAGCCAAGAATTTGCTCGGATCACTACACCTATTTCAAAAATGGCGTCAAGTAGGTTGATTCTGCAATGCCCTTATCAGTACTTAAACGAATATGTTCAGCCCAATCTACACCTCTGAGAAAAAAGTCAATCAAACAGGTCCATACAATTAGTGCATAGACATTCTTTCGCTGCCCTACCGATAGTGCATCTGGAAACGTTCCATAACAGAACAGTCATCACGGTCGCCCACGCACAAGTTTTTTGCCTTTTTTCAAAAATGGTCAGGATCCTCTGAAACGTCAAAAAACGAAATGAAGCGATTTTTATTGATTTCGATTTAGGCTTTTTTCTCTGCTGCCCCTGGACCGATTTTTAAAAACTACAAAGCTTTTGCGTCCTTGACATAGTAGTAACATTGTGTAGAGCATTTCATCGAAATCCAAGCGGCACTTCTCAAGTTATAGACGGTTACAAGATTAGCGGACAGATCGACAGAAATGAGTGGTTTTTCATTATGTACATGTCATATAACGTTCAAAAAACAAATCTCAATTTCGAAATTTTTTGCGATTACAATACTTCTTCGCCAGTAGGCGTGGTAAGTAAAAACCTAGGGAGTCCCATTATTTGCAATATCAGGTCTTTCGCAATTATTGTTGTTTGATGGAGAGAACGTTCCGTATTGTTCATCTTTCTAAATCACGAACTAAGCAGAACTGTTCATAATGCGGTATCGTTAATAAATATTTACTTTCGTTTCTTTGCATTATTTAATTTATCCCTGTTTAATAACAATGAGCGATTCACATCATTCACAGATAGTATTTCTGCCTTGCTCTACGTTAAGTACATCGAGTAGGTACCTATAGCCACTTTAATTACAATTCTAGAGAAAAGAATGTACGCCTATGTATTGATTTGTCACTTCGTAGGCAATACTAGTCAAATAAACCAGAAGTATGCAGTAAAACAAAGCTAGTTTGGCGACAAAAAATGTCATGTAATCGTATAGGCTTTGCTCCTCATCTATTCGAATTCTTTGGAGCTTTGTTGCGTTTATACTCGTACACAAACCCTACGGGGAGCGATTCAGTGTTTTTGTTACTATCTTTGTATATATGCTTCCACAATTTTTTTAGTCGCATTGACTTTTTATCCAATATAGTATTAGGAATACTATACTTCCACAGATAAATTGTGACGAAATGTTTCATAAAAGATTCCGTCGTGTAGGTCGACCCTGTAATACTAATCATATTACTGGAGATTATTCAATTTATTAACGATTTACTTGAAGTTCAAGAAATACTGAAAGGCGACAGGTTCGTAAATTTATATCGGCATCTTTACGAGGGATGTCTTTTAAGTTTTGCAAATAGAAACATAGTGATCTCACTACAGTAAATTTTTAAGTGTCACCAAGTCATTAGAAAAATGGAACTCGACCGAGAACATTTTCCCGCCATAATTAATTACAACTTTCAGAGACAATTATCGCAACAAGAATGCCTTGCTGAGTTACTGACTGTTTTCGGCAACGAAGCGCCACATCAGTCGACAATTTCCCGTTGGTATGGAGAATTCAAACGTGGACGGGGTGAGTCTTAGCGACGATCCCAGGGTGAGTGCACCAAAAACGGCAGTCACCCAGGAAAACGTCGATGCTGTGCGCAAACTCATTATTGAAGATAGACATGTGACACATCGCGAGATTGAGGCGTCCTTGAAGATCTCAAAGACCTTAATTCAAAAAATTTTACATGAAGAATTAGGAGTACGAAAATTAGTTTCTCGTTGGATACCCCACCTGTTGACTGAAGAGCAGAAAGCAGCCAGGGTTAATTGGTGTCAAAAAACGCTTGACGGTTTCAATTCCGGAAACTCAAAAAATGTGTACAGCATTGTTAGTGGTGATGAATGGTGGATTTACTGTTATAATAATATATACATATAACCAGAAAATAAACGACAGTCGGCTGTTTGGGTGTTCCAAGGTGAAGAAAAGCCAACAAAAGTCATCCGTTCTCGAAGTGTTTCGAAAAAGATGGTCGCGACATTTGTGTCAAAAGCGGGTCATATTGCAACAATTCCTCTTAATGAGCAAAGAACTGTTACTGCAGATTGGTATACCACCATTTGTTTGCTAAAAGTCATCACGGAGCCTCGAAAAATCAACCCCGAAAGAAGAATCATCCTCCACCAAGACAATGCAAGCTCGCACACAGCCCAAAAAACAAGGCAGTATTTAACGGAAGAAATCGTGGAATTATTGGACCATCCTCCATATAGTCTCGATCTAAGTCCTAAAGATTTCTTTACTTTCCCGAAAATTAAAAACCGACTGCGTGGTCAAAGGTTCCAGCCACCAGAAGAAGCAGTTGACGCATTCAAAAATGCCGTTTTGGATCTGCCAGCAAACGAGTGGAATAAGTGCTTCGAAAAATTGGTTCGAGCGCATGCAGATGTGTATTAATCTTCGTGGAGAATACTTTGAAAAACAATAAAGTCTTTTAAAAGGACCTAACGTCTTGTGTTATTTCCATATGCAAAACTTAAAAGACATCCCTCGTACTTCTATACTGATATGTTTGCGGGTGAAGTTCGGAGCCAGTCTTAGGGCCGTATCGTCAGTCGTTCCTATAATTGTATGACGCCTTTATGGCCTCCTTGATTTTAATAGTTTTTCCTGTCCGTCAGAAAGGCAGGGGTATCTCTGGATTTCTACTGTTTCGCGCCAGCGCTCTATTTTGGGCTTATATTTTCTTTTTGAATTCGAAACTTGATTTTTATCATCTGTTTTGCCAGAATGAAATTTCTTAAGATTCAAAAAGAAAACATAACCTCACAATAGAGGAGCGCTGATGCTGAAGGAGAGAAAAGTCTATGAAAATCAAGGAGGTCATAGGTCGTAGGAACGACTGATGATACGGCCCTTAATGACGTCATTTTTAAAAGTTATAGTTACGATATTTTTTCAGATATGGCCAACAAACAGTGCGAGGTGGTCTATCATACAGCATTTCCGGTGGAAGAACACAAAATGTAGCAAATTACGATAACCGTGAACTAGAAGATTGGAAGATTCAGGTGGAAAACCAATTGCTGAACCAACTACGCCAAGAGTATAGCCAGCGTTACGGTGGCTCAGCTTCTTACAGCTACCAAGGCGGAAGTTCGTCTCATAGTCAGCAAGGCTACAACACTTATCCAACCTCTACTGTCAGACCATATCAGACCATCTACCCATCTTTGCCGACTCACACCACTCCCAGGCCTGCACAGTACGACGATTACGCGCATTCTCAGTACAAGACTGTGCATACCAACGTTCGTTACACACCGGTAAGATCTCACTCAAGCCAAACTTAGGGCTGCCATCCGTCCGCCATTCCACGGATTGCTCCACCATTTTATTTTTTCCATTAGTATATGAAGCTAGTTTCCGTCCTAGAAATATTGTAACTTTTTTCTATCACCCTGTGTAGCCTACGATAATGAGAATTCACCATCGCTGTCTCTGTATTAATGAAATACATATTTAATCCCAGATCCCCAACCCAGAGAGCATCACCAACATCGCTACTAGGATCCAAAATCAGCTGGACAGACAATTGAACGATATGTTAGACCAAGCAAGGCAGCGTTACTTTTCATCCAGCGCCAACTACGCCTTAACAAATACTGACAGGGTGCTGGAACGCATGAAGGAAGAGTTGAAAGGAAACCTCACAGTGCTGCTGGACGAAGACATCAGGAGAAACTACGGTCAACAGATCGAAAGAGACGGACAGTACTACTCCATGGGGCCCAATGGACAGATATCACCACAGCACAATTATGCTGTCAATGATCTCGAGAACTTGAAGTACCAAATCGAGAGGAATCTGTTTGACAAGTTGAATCGCGATTTTGAAACCTACAGAAGCAGGCGAGTATCTTTGATATGTCTAGATGTATAATACGTTGATATCTGGAAAATGAAGTTAAATTTGGCGTCAAGTAGGTTGACTCTGCACTTTCCACGCTGTCATCATAAAGGATTATTATGGCCGGCCCAAGTTAGTCCCTTTGAACTAGCTACAAACACGTATCAAAAAAATTAAATGGGTCAAGTCAGTCAAAGGTACAGGTACATATACAATCAGTATATACTTCATAGCTTCCATCTATTTGAATATTCTAACGCTAGTTTCTTCCCTGCCCTAAGTATCGACCATCTGGCAACGCTGCTTGACTACAACAGTCAAATACGTCATAAGAGGCAGCCTCGATACTATAACATCTCTGCCGGCGGTACTGTCAGACGCAAGGCAGGGTTCTGTGTATGAAAGTCGGCGTTACATCGCATCGTCCCGACCGATCTCGTCTCTCGGGTATAAATATGTCTCCTAGTTATGAGGCCAAATTTACGGGCAAATCTTTAGTGTGTAAAATATGTACTGATAGGTGCTTAAAATTACAGGAGTTGGCAGCGTATAAATTTACCACCCCCTAAAGCCCCCTATTTCCAACCCCTACATTTTTTTTTAAATGAGGAGCCTCTGAAACGTCAAAAAAGAGTTTGAGCGATGTTTATTTTCTTCGTCTTTTGCCCCTAAATCCGCCACCACTGAACGGATTTTCAAAATCTACAAAGCTTTTTCATCCTTGGTATAGTAGTAACCTTAAGTGAAAATTTCATTCAATTCTGAGCAATACTTTCCAAGTTATAGGCGGTCCAAAGATTAGCGAACAGTGACATGGTTTCTCATAATGTACATGCCATATAACATCCAAAAAACACATTACCTCATTTTCGAAATTTTTACAATACTTCCTCGCACAGTGGCTAAAAGGTGGCAATGGTGAAGTATATCACTATGTTGACGAATTCTGTGTAACCAAGATATCGAATCTCTGATAAGCAGTTTTGGTACTGGCAATTAAAAATGGAAAAAATAAATACAATATGTAATGCTACATAATGATCCTTGTGCAGCACATAATTACGTTGCACGTTGTATTACTTAGCATAGAAGCAGTTTTTACCGAATGACATAAAAACTCTTTTATATTTAAAAAATTGGTTTCTCTTCCATTTTCTTAAATCTCTACAGAATTACTAGCGTTTCTTATTATGAAACAGATCACGGAGCTCATATTTGACCATACGGATATTCAGAAAGCTCCGATGTGGAAAAATTGTTACATACGAGGTTTCATATATATCATTCGTGCATTTTTTATTAATCCTTCAAGTACAATACTTTGGTAATGTTTCCTAGAAGGTTTTGGAGAATGTTATGTGTTTCGACCCGATTTTACAAATTTCGGCTTTGCTACCTTGAACCTTTTCCGTTCGTGAAGCCATACTAAAAAATAGTTTTTTGCATCGGTCCAACTCTGTTCACAGTAAAAATATCTGTGCCGAATTAAACAAGAGAATTTCTTACAATTTATGTATATGACATTTGTTTGTGGGAATAATAATCAAATCAGCTACATAACATGAAAATACTAATTCAAATGCAGTTTTTTCATTTATCAGTGTAAACTATGTTAATATAGCAAACTATTAATGAATATGAAAGTTAATCAACAACTATTTCTTATAATATTAAAAAAGGAACAACTATTTCACCGCCTTTTCGTTTCCCAGCCTATTTTGTTTGTTTGTTTAAGATTTATTTAGCAAGATTGCTACAATTACATTCTTTCAAAAAAACCACAACAATTACCTAACATACAGATATTTAGAAAAGCAAAGTTTGCATCTCTAAGAATTTTCACTGTCTATTCTATATCTAAATATTCCTTCAACCCTCCTGCAAAAATCTTTAAATTGGTACTTTATATCATTATTTAGTTTATTAAATTCTAGTCCTAGTCCTTTCCCAAATATTGATTTGCTAGTTATATTACTATTGCAATTTGATCAATGAAAATCTATTCCTCCTCTTGTATAACAATTGTGGCAATGATTTTTCAATTCTATGTAGTGTTCTAAATTTCGAAGTTCAGATTGGATCTTTCTATAGATGCAGAAGAAGCCACAGCTGTGAACAACTGTTAGAAGAAAGACGTTAGTTGACTTCGTTCAACTATGCTGCTGAATGCTGAACACTATATTCCCACCATTGCAATGGTTTTACATATTTTATTATTTCCTCTGCAAACATTACTTATCTGAATGGATCACTCTCTATATTTAAATTTAGTTATTAAAGGCAGTAGGCCTGTCTCGGATTATCATTTTGGGCATATTCTAAAGGTTTGGCCTCTTCATCAACTGTTAACTGGAATTTGATTTTTTTGTAGGGTCCAACAAATAGGTCAAAATATATTTCAATACGAGAGTTGCAGCGGAAAATATATTAAATAACAAAGTGTAAATTCGTATCGTGTAACGAAATCTATAAGGATACCAATTTTTAAACTTCCCCATAGCTTTACAGGCAGCCCTAGTTTTGAGCACATATTTGCACTAATGACACATGCTATAAAACAATGTAAATATTACGCGGGAAGGTAAATGCTCAAGTCCATTCTGGATCATGTTGAAGATGAAGGAGGATGGGAAAGCGCATCAGTCTATACATTATCACAGACATAACTTATCAGTGGTATTTTTTCAGATGGTCTTCTCAGCAAAGCCACAGCAGCCAATCCGCATACGGCTCCAACTACCTCGACCATAGCAGTGGTCAATACGGAGTATACACCACTCCCCGGAACAACTACTATCAACCGACAGCCTCCAGGATATCATCTTTGGTAGCAGGTGGTTCAAACAACAACTACAACTACAACAGCAACTACGGCATTAAAGGACACGGCACCACCCAGTACAGCTCCAGTTCCAATATGGCGGAGCTACAGCGGAGGTTACAAGACGACCTGTCAAGGCAGCTCCAGGCGGCTATTACTAAAGGGCACTACGATTCCTATTCATACAGTCCGTCAAACTACCAGACTTCTCTGCAGCAACTGCAGGATGAGCTGCACAGAAATCTGACCAGGCAACTCAGCGAGTACAGTGCAAGCGGTAAGTACTAGAATGTAGAGATCTTCATTTTACTTCCCACGCCTACTGGCGATGAAGTATTGTAATTAGGGATTCATCAAGTCAAGTAACTAATTGTAAAAGAATAAGATATTATGTTATCACATATACATGCCACAAAAGGTAAATACATACTATGCCAAGGACGAAAAAGCTTTGTAGTTTTTGAAAATCTATCCAGTGGCGGCGGAGTGAAGGGTAAATAACGAAACAAATAAAAATCGCTTAAACTTCGTATTTTGACGATTCAGATACATTTTTGCAGGTGAACTGACTACGGCAGCTTACGACATATTTGCAAAAATCTAATATTTCAGTATTCAGTGTGCCCAAGACGAGAAACGAGATTTCAAAAATGCGACTCCAGAGTGAACCATTTGGCCTAAGAATTTGAGATTTAAGACAGAGTCATGCCTCCATAGGTTCTCTTCAGAAAACAAAATTGAGCACGATATAAGTCATGACCCACCCTCCAGTATCATGAGAGTTGCCAATTTTTTATCAGAATATCGAAAATTGGACCGATTTAAAGTCGCGAGTACAAATTTCCATTTATATAGGGAATAGGTTGCTTCATATCCTTTACGAAAAAAAAATTTGTGCATTTCTTGTCTCGGAAGGCATCCAAATTGACAGCCCATAAACAAGTAAAAAATCGAAAAAATCTCTTCAGACTGAAATATCTGCCGAACGAAGTATCACATCGCAATTTGGATGCGACTTTTGACCTCCTTGGTCAATTTTACTTCAGTCATATTATATTATGTGGCTTTCCAATGACAGTAGCCTCCAGGATAAAAATAAGCTCGATATAAGGTCGTTGAACTTTAGTTTTGACCCACATAAATGTTTGAATATACAGGGTCATACGCTGCTCATGGAGACTTTGACGAAAGCCAGATGGCAGCATTGAAGAGCCAACTCGAATCCAGCCTGATGAACCAGCTACAGCAAGGCCTACAAAGGTCGTTTGCGACACATAGCTCGTACAGCGCCAGTAGTAGCAGCAGTGCCAGCGGCAGCGCTAGTGGCAGCTACAGACCTGTCAGAGGCTCCCAATATTACCAGGCGGGAATGGGACAACAGTACAGAGCAGGGTATGTATCGCACAAATAATTGTCAAAAAGGTTTAACGAGAGAAGACAGACAAAGCGTATAAAATTAGTGACATCTGGTTTGTTCGTACAGTAGTCGGTGACTGTCAAAATCAGAATCAGAGAGATCTTACCTGTTCGTCCACTTTCTGACTGTTTGCCGACAGCTAATCCGCTGTTCGTACAGAACCTTCTGGCAATTCAGAGGACACCAGTCAACCAGTGACAGTGACAGGTATCAGAGTGTGTCGGAACGGAACTACCTTGAGGACTAAAATTGCTTCGCAAGAGGCATTTTATGAACGGACACCTTCGTACCAAAGGGCCGATGGCGATCTAGCTGCACCAACGGGCTTTGCTCCTCAGAGCTCTCTTCCATGGTGTCGCTCCGCGATGTGTCTACCTGACTTCGGCCTCCCATCATAAACGTGTCAAACTTCGTACATCCAGAACTGGCCGATAAGACCGGTCCTTTGTCCCGAGGGTGTCGAGATCGTGTAACAATCTACATGAGGAGATTTTCCCAGTTCTACTAACTTTAGGCAGTTCAAAAATAATAACTAAGTTTCTTTAAGCTCCTGAAAGCAGCCGCGGTGCCTTGGCATGTAGGGTTCACCTGCGAGGCTGCTTCGGTGTAACATTTTCAGGTGAGCAAGTGGCAGAAGAAATTTTAATGAAATTCCATTTTAAATATCAGCCAGCGCCAAAGTGCTTTGTGGTCAATATTTTGTTTATTGACCCGGTAATGGCAAAATAAAGATTATGAATACACTATGAAAAATCCGAACAATAGAGGATATAACTTTCAAGAACCACAATACGATTTTTGTGATCAATCTTTTGAAAATTTTTGTTACAGTTGCAAAATGCGTAATTACGCGATTTAAGTCTTACTTATATGTATTTTCGTAGTCTCAGTTATTTTTGTCCATGTTTAGAACTCTGTGAAACTTATAGCTATGTAAGCAGATCTTGATAAGTTATTGTAGTTATGTTCAGCCGTTTTAGCTTTTAGTGTGTAACACCCTTTATTATTCAAAGACGTTATTAAATCCTTGTAGTTATTTTGACTTCTTTCTTCTAGTAAGAGTCTGGATATACAGGGTGTTTCTAATTTGGCACTCACCATTGGTATCTTGGAAACTGTAAGCGATACGAAGTCGCTTAAATGGGGTAGTCAACAAAGTGACACTTAGAAGGTTTCGAAATTCAAAGTACTTATATTGGGATTTTAAAATAAATTGCACATTAACAATGCCACGTTTTGTCCTCTACAAGAAAGCATAATCAGAATTTCTATATGACGGTTCGTCTCTTGTCCTCCAGCATCAACTTTATTATTTCTTAAGGACGCTATATTGCATTTTTGCACAGATGAATAGAGTTTTTAATTGAACAAATGCATAATACGTCATACATTGACGTTGTCAAACCTTGATTACTTTAAGAAAAACAGAATTTTTTAGGTAGACCTTGAAATTATGTTTGTTTCACTCACCAGATTTATCCCAAAACCGCTCTATTTTTTCCCGACTCTATTCGAGATGGGATTTCAAAATAAATTGCATATTGTCATTGTTACTTTTTCTCGTCTGCAAGATGGCGTAGTCAAATTTTCAATTCGATATTTCTTCTTTCCACTTCCATCATCAAATTTGTTTTCTCATACGGACACTATATTGGAATTTTATACATTTAAATGGACTTTTTAAGCCCTAAATTCAGTGATTATTAGTTGACCATAAATTTGTTGTTGGATGAGAATTAAAAGGAAATAAAAAGATACGGTGAAACCTGAATACGAAATGAAAATACCTAGGAACTTCTGGAATAACTAAGGATTTGCAATGTCAATGTACGACATACATTTTTTAAACCAGAATAAAAATTCTATTCACATGTGAAAGAATCCAATATGGCGTCTATAAGAAAAAAATTAAGTTGATGCTGGAGGGCAAGAGACGAAACGTCATATTGAAATTCTAATTGTGCCGTTTTGTAGAGGAGAAAATGTGGCAGAGTTTATGTGCTATTTATTTTGAAAAACCACCACAAATGAAGTCAGGAGAAAATTAAATCCATTTTGGGAAATTGCGTTCTTTACGTCTCTTTTCGGAAGTACTTTCAATTTCAAAACTTTCTAAGCGACATTTTGCTGATTATCTGAATACGCAACTTTGCCCCTATTTAAGTGACTTCGTATCCCTTGAAGTTTCCGAGATCCCAATGGCGAGGGTCGAATTTAAAATACCCTGTATAGGGAAAATATTATTTTCACCCCAACACAAACAGTCACTCCCTCTCCGTGGGCACCCGTGAGAAAAGCTGTATCACAAAATCTCCAGAATTCGTTATTTTGTTTATTTTTTCATCAGCTTTGGGTTGGACTTACATAGTTAGAATATATAAATACTGTTTGTGCATACACTTCGAGGCTGGACGTCAAGGGAACAGGGGACAAAAACCTTACTACCCTAGTTTTATTAAAAGTCATTCACAATACTGCAGACGTTTATTCAGAATTCTTACTATGTATTTACTTCTTCAACTTGTCATTCGATGTGTGGAATCATATTTCTTCGAATTTATGTTTATACTTTATATATGAGAATTGAATGGTAATTACTGAGTAAATCCACTTGACATTTTTGGGTGCTGTTATTTTCTCTAAAAAGTGTCTATGTTTTCCTCTCTAAAGGAAAATTCGGGCACATTTGAACAGTTGGACGAAAAATCCTAGATCATTCTGGTTTACAGCAAATGAACCCATAACTTTTTCAAAATTGTCTACTTCATTCTGAAAAATTTTACATAATTATTGTACTTGATTTCGAGCTCTGACAATTTACTGGAAAATTATCTGCTGACTGATTTGACAGTCATCGAATAGTCAGAAGTTTCTGTACGAACAGCGGATTAGTTATCGGTAATCGGTCTGGTCCACCTCAGCCAACTCGTAACGTTCTCATGTACGCAATTAATACAGTCAGCGACGTGTTAGTGACAGCTAACTGCGTAAACTAGGTCATGACTTGTTGCCGACTGACAGATTGCTGATTGACAGCAAACAGTCTGTACTAACGAACCATTAGACTCATTGAGCCTATATACCGAGAAGGTACGACAATCTGTTCGTGCTCTAAAAACGACCCCCGATTGTTGACGCCTGGAGTACGAGTGGTACGTTGGGGATTTTCCCATAAATTTTAAGGGTTTTTATTTGGGGATTTTTTTATGTTCTGGGGGATTGTCACACGTTTCGTGGATAGAAAGCGCCTCCCGCGCTCTATGAATCAAACCTACCGCTTTCTATTAGTTGACTGTGATTTGGGGGATTTTTTTGAAAAAGTAGCAATTCTGAGGAATGTTTGTGCTTGTTCTGGGAAAATCCTGACCAACCCACTGGCAACGCTGTGCTTTGGTACGGATTGCTATTTAGTTCATTTTAAATTAACTCAACTAGTGTTGATTGTTTCTTGTAAATCCTTGTTGTAAATAGTCGTTGTTATTTAGTGAAAAACTGTTGAAAAGAGCCTCCCTTTGTGCGGTGATAAATTATTTAACGATGGGGAGCAGTAACATGTTCATTGCTTGCTATTCTCCAAAATACTGATGAAAAACTCCATTTTTTGTCCAAAGATCGACAAGGTTTATAGATTTAGTCATTGAAGATAGAAGAATAACTAAAACATGCAAAAATTTATTACAGCTATTTTTGCAAAGGTAATGTCTTCAGTGTGATTATAACTATGAAAACAGAAGTTATTCGTAAAACCAGTAAGTTGGCACCTAGCTGATTGCGTTTTAGGATCCTATGAAGATTTCACGATTTAGTTTAGTATCAAACTCCGCACCACCAGTGAATTTGAAAATAAAATTTTTACTAACCTCAGATGCGTCAATTTTTAGTGTCGTTTTCTTTATTCATTTCGCCGGTTCTCCTGGTATACGGTGAGTTCAAATTTGGCTGACGTCGTAATGTGTATGAGAGAGAAGCACGAGAAGCGTGCAATATGAATGTAAGAAAGAGCCGTGGCCTGGTCACTCGGGTTGCTAAGCAACCTGGTGTTTCCATTTCTTTCTAACGCACATACTGCGCGCTTCTCTCTCGTACACATTACGACGACTGTGGTATATGGATTTCACTATATGCGCTTCATAGATACACCGGCCAAAGCAATTTAAAAGGACAAAATGACGTTTAATTACGTGTTGCTGGATGCAGTGTTGTCAGATGGATCATTTTTTTGGACGAAATGATTATCCATCACTTGTAACGAAAAATTAAGCATGTTTCGTTCAAATTTACTTTTGACTTTAGACTCACATTTATTAAAAATATTTATTCAGGTGTATCGATCAGAGCAATTACAAAAGGTGTAATGATTCTTTCACTTTCACCAGTGGATCCAATAATAGATAATATTAGCAGCTACATTACTTATTAGATCTGGCATTCAGATTTTAGCGAGATCGCTAAAATGCACGCCAAGTGAAATATTTTCGAATAATATTTTGGGAGAGTGAATATAGGGAATATGTAACAATAACGCAATTTTGTTACTTCATTAAGCTCAGTATAAATATAACAGTTTCTAAATATTTTCTGGCAACAATGTATAGTGAACCCCCAAAAGAGGCAACCAGTAATGTATACTAAGTGACATATAAATCCGAACACCCAGTTTAAATGGTTTTATTTTAATAAAATTTTGTATAAGTACTTAATGAAGCATAATAAGTAAATGATAAAACTTTCAAAATGATTGCACTGCTTTAAAGCCCTTTGACCTTTAATAATGTGTGGATGCACACTGATGTGCTACGCATTCTCCAACGCGCCTAGGCATGCTTCTGATCAGGTGGTCAATGTCCTCCTGTGGTATCTCATTCCAGGCAACCACCAACTCCTCTCGAAGTGCTTCTAGAGTCTGAGGAGGACATTGCAAATTGAGCAATCTCCTACCCATCATATCCCACACGTGCTCAATTGGGGATAAGTCGGGAGATCTTGGTGGCCATGGTAACAATGTGACATCGTTATGTTGAAAGAAGTCTATTGTGACTCTTGCAACATGTGGTCGGGCATTATCTTGTTGGAAAGTTGGATCTGCCAGGGTGTCAAGATAGCGTAAAAGGTGGGGTTCTAGAACTTCGTGGATATAACGCTGCGCGTTCATGTTACCTCTGATGAAGATTAAAGGTGACCTGGAACCATAAGCTATAGCACCCCAAACCATAACTCCAGCAGTGTGATGAACATGTCTTTCAACAAAAAACTGTGGATTCCTCCTTTCACCACGTCGCCTTCTAACCCTGGCACGACCATCGTGCATGCCTAAACAAAATCGAGACTCGTCACTAAAGACAATACTGTTCCATTCCTGATCCCAGAGTCACCGTTGTCTGCACCACTCAAGGCGATTACGTCGGTGTTCTCGAGTTAAAGGGAGGACCCAGTGTGGCCGGTATGAAAACAAGCCAAAACTTCTCATTCGTCGGTAAACACTTCGCATGCCAATAGGTCTTCCGTGTTCTGCAAACCATTCATTTGCAATGGACCTGGTAGTGGAGAAACGGTCCCTTAAGGCCAATAATCTTAGGCGGCGATCTTCACGGTCTGTTGTTCTACGGCGGCGTCCAGTGCCCCTTGCTCTTTGCGTATGGCCTTCTCGAAGCCATGCCTGACAACACCTAACCACAGTGTCTACACTTCTTTGCACTCTAACTGCAATTGCCCGAAAAGAAAGTCCAGCTTCCCGAAGTCCCACTATACGGCCCCTATCAAACTCACTAAGTTGTCGAAATCGTACAGGTCTCCGTACTCTAGGCGTCGTAACCGATCGTAAAGGATGTCAAGAACCAAAATCCGCCAACGTTGATTCTTTACTGCGGCTGAAATATTCATTTTTAGAGCGTTAGTGAATTAAAAAAAAAGCAGTATAAAAACCGGAATGTCCAACTGATAAGGCTGAAAATTTTTTCACTTGTTATTTACAGTAAGATAAATACATTCACTAACTTTTATTAAAATAAAACCATTTAAACTGGGTGTTCGGATTTATATGTCACTTAGTATATTATCAAACCAAGTTAAAGAGCGCCGAACTTCAAAGACATTCCGCGCAGTGTTCTCTTTTGGTATACCTTCTCTTTATAAATGGCATAATAACTTTGTGAAAAAAATTCTAATGAGTCAAATAATTACCACCCAAAAGTATATTCGTGAAAAGACCAACGAGCTGCGACTCTTATATTTCTGTTAAGGGATAGATCCCCAAAGGGTGACAGATCACCATGCCTAGCTAGGGTGTCAATTCTTGAAAACGAGTAGATAAGCTGATAGAAAGTATTCGTGCTTTATTATCTTTCAGGAAAAAGTAATCCTTAACAATGATAGAAGAAGCGGAATTCTGACCGCCGTCCAACAGTATCATTCCTAAAGACGAAGTTAACTTTGTGCAAAACATTTAAATATACAAAGTATCTAGGATCTTATTAATTTGGCAAGCACAGATAAATTCATAAACTCGTTTGATCAACGTCAAAACAACGTGAAAGGATAAAAGGATGTCAAAAAAATTCGGGATCATTCTATTTTACTGCGTTCAAGAACTGCTCGCCAGGAGGAGCGTCGGTAAAGTAAATGTAAGGGATGCATCGCCATGTTCTATCGTTTGATGTGAGGTCGCTAAGGAACCTCTAAGGCAGATGAAAACGTAAAAGCGCCCAATGAGACCAATGAGTGACCAGTTTCTGGTAGAGCTCCTAAAACGCTTAGAAAAACTTCTCTCAAAATAATATTTCCGATCACAAAGCTACCTTCACCTAAGAAAAACTTTTGCAATAAAATTTGTCTTTCCATCTCGGTGTAAACACATCGACTAAAAAACTTTCTACTTGCAAGTTTGCTTCGATTTATCTGAAGATAGTCAACGATATACTTACTGTTTTTGGGCGCCCACAAAGGAATATGAAAGATCCTGGCGCTATCTATAAGACAATATCAGAACACCAAAATGGATTTAGGAATCTACTTTGAAAAGAGTTTGATTCTGCTATTGTCTCATGGATGGTGTCAGAATCTTAAATCCCTTCTAGGTGCATCTCTAGAGCCTAATTGGATATGTTCGGGTGGAATACGTTAATCCATGACCTACCTAAATATTCGACCTCTTTACAGGTATGAATCCATGGATGACTGTGTTGGAGATGACCCAAACGCTTACTCAAGACAAAAGAGGAGCTACCAACCATACAGGAGCAGACCTATTGGACTAGGGGTTAGTGCAAACTCCAACTACGGGGGGTACGGTGCTTATGGATCGGTAGGAAGGCATCAACCAGTTGGTCAACAGGTAGACGATTCAGATTCTACTCAACAAGTTGAAGAATCAGGATTTGGTGTTGGACAGCAGACGGATGACAGCGATACATTAGAAATTGCAAGGCCACAGCATTTGGGCCAAGAGGTAGATGATTCAGATACACAACAGATTGAGGATACAGGGTTTGGTAAACTATCAAGCCATGGACAACTTGTTGATAATTCTCAAGCGCAAGAATCGGGATTCGGAAAGTTGCAGAGTCAATCTCAAGTACAAGCTCAACTAGGCCAACAAGTTGATGATTCCGATACCCAACAAGTCGAAGAGTTGGGATTTGGTAAACCACTCAGACAAGGACAACTGCTTGACCATTCAGAGACCCAACAAGTGCAAAATCCAGGATTTGGAAAACTACAGAGCGAATCACATACTGGACAACAAGTTGATGATTCAGATACTCAACAAGTTGAAGAATCGGGGTTTGATAAGCCATTAAGACAAGGACAACTACTTGATAATACCGATAGCCAACTAGTACAAAAACCATTATATAGTGGAATGCAGAGCCAATCTCAACGTGGACAACAAGTTGATGATACCGATACTCAGCAAATAGAGGAATCAGGGTTTGGTAAACCATTGAGACAGGGTCAACTAGTAGACCAGTCTATCAGCCAACCGGTGCAAAAACCTGAATTTGGAAGACTGCAGAGCCAATCACATCTTGGACAACAAGTTGATGATTCCGATACACAACAAGTCGAGGAAGCGGGGTTCCAAAGAAGATCTGATCAACCTCTCGGTAGACTTCAAAGCCAATCCCAAGTGCAAGCTCATCTTGGCCAGCAAGTTGATGATTCCGATACACAACAGATCGAAGAATCGGGGTTTGGAAGGCAAGATAGACGCGGACAATATCAAACTGTCCAAGAACCTGGTGTTGGGACATCTCTGGGCCAACAAGTCGACGATTCCGACACTCAGCAAGTGGAAGATAGTGGCTTTGGGAAACTGGAAGCTGGAAATCAAGTAAGGGGGACGACAAGAAGGCCAGGAGTCACTGTAAACTTGGACGCGGGAAGAAGATATCAAACTGATGAGTTAGACGCAGTTCAGCAGGTCCAAGAACCTGGGTTTGGACGTGTACCACCAAATCAGTATCACGTTGGAGGACAAGTTGAAGATAATTCCGACCTTAATCAACATGTAAGTTATAAGACTGTATGGAAATTAGCCTAAGTAAATAAATATTAAGAAACACATTTCATTCATTTAATTTTTTCGGGTAGAACTGTTCCTTCATAATAGTGACTGGTGCATACATAGTATAGACTTCTTTCTCAAAAAAATAAATTGTAAACGGTTGAACTGTGGGCTGCTGAAATCATGATAATGTTGAAATAATAGTAGAATAGCCTTGATAAAGCTGGAGAATGAAGTGTTGCCCTTACTTTACCTTATACCTAAGAACTTGAAGTAAGTATATTCAAAGGTTGTACCTTAGTATGGATGAATATTCATAGAGTTAATCGCGAGATGCAGTCTACACGTCAATTTCTCCTTCAAATCGTTCCTCTTGAAGTTAGAACTTCCACCAGATTGAGGCTAATAAATCGTCACGAAATCATTAATTTTTCATTACAGAAATACTCGTACTGAATTAGAACTAGGAAATATAACATGACTGTTGCCATTCAGTATATTACCATCAATATTACATGGGTAGTATAAATGGCAACACTAGCTTGATGATGTCTGCCTAATGAAGTGATTCGACCCATAACGACTCTATATCTAGACCAGGCACTGAATGGAATTGAGTTTGCAAAATCTGGGGACCACAGTCTATGAAAAGATATCATCTGAGACTGAGACTTTTTTGATTTCTCGGATAATTCTGCACAAGAAAAGTCCTTAGTAACTTTTCTTTAAAGTGAGTCGTTTTTGAGCTATGTCTGGAAACCCCTAGAAACGTTCATGATGATTAAAAACTCGTTAAAAATCCCTACCATCCCCTACAAGACCCCGAAGAGTTTTTCAAGAGTAATTTATTTTACAGCTATTTTTAAGCTAGTTTGTTATGTCAAAATTGGCGAACTTTTGATTTTCGCACCTTCATCAAATTGAAATCGAAACCAATGTTTTGTTTATAGTAAAGTGCGTCGGGGGTCTTGTAGGGGGACGTTTTAGCTTTAATTTACATACTTGGACACGACAAAAATCGTTCTTTTTTAACCGACTTTTTATTGGTTGAAGATGAAGATTTCTAGTGTTTCTCAGACATTGTGGCTTATAGCTCGAAAATGACCCACTTTAGAGAAAAGGTGCTTGTTCATAATGTTAGGAGATCAGAAAAAATGGTTGGAGCAAAACAAAAATGTATAATCACTTAAGGGGATTAAGAAAATGGACCTAAATCTGGTTCGGCAAGATCCGAATTTTTATTCTTCTGACCTCTTTTCACTTGATATCTATTCATCAAATGCAGTCCGCACATATTGCAAACTCAATTCCATCCAGCGCACAATGTGTAATCTCCCGATTTATCAAATCACACAAATCAGACGACATACGGATCTATAACACCATTGATTACGGTATCCTCGCCCAGTAACTCTAAACTAGTCCCATCATTGCACTCCCTATGATGGACCAGGTATGATACGCGTTGTAACAAACCGAATATGTAACATATGGTTTGTTTTTCCAGGAAACTTGCGAGCACTTATGATATATCAATATATACGTATATCAAAAATGAAGGATCTTATTATTTTTGACCTGTACTTATATTACAGCGAGACAAAAATGATTTTTTTATACTCCAACCACCACGGAGGTCTAAGGCCTAAATACCCATGAGGAACCGTGGGGCTATAGGGGGATACAGGGGAAAGGGGGAGCGCCACACGGACTCTTGCGAGAGAACACGTGTGCATGCAACATGCACACATTCTGGCCCCACCTACGAGATCCGCCGGATGGTACCTCTGCGTTCGACAGTCAGAGACCGTCTACCACCTACGGACAATCACAACATCCATAGCCAAGAGAAAAATTTCCCTTGAGACGGGATTCGAACCCGCACAGCGCACGGCGACTGATCAGGAGACCTAAGAGTCTACTACTGCGGCTATTATTTCATTGCTGGCAAAAAGCCTCAATCATAGACAACCAATATGCCGTGGTAATGTAGATTACCACCAGGAGACAAATTTGACTATGCATACTCGTATTAGTGGTTATTCCGGAAGACCAGTAGGCCGCAAAAGGTTAAAACAATCTTTATTGCGTTTTTAGAGAGTTACAAAATATGGTGTTTCTCCGCTGTTGCGCAAGTTAATGAATATACAAATGTTGGCTACTAGAACCCTGCGTTGGGTATGATTATTTATCTTATGTGTATCTATTTGGTATTTAAATTTTATTCTGACCGAAACATCAATAAAAGTAACGATAAAAAATTGGGCTCGTGGTTATGAAACATCTATAGGCATTCGGATTCGACTCCGGATAGAACCTGAATCTGATTTGCGTTAAAACCTGAGCTTTTGCCTGCGATGGTAAGGCACATCCCCTGAGCAATGAGAGAATGAGTCAATTGAGATATGCTACCATTGATTAACGTATTCTACCTGAAGATAGTCATCCATGTACTGTATGTCGGCGTCCGAAGAATTATCCGAGATGAAATAAGCCGTAAAAACTATATGAGCATATAGTTGGGTACAGCGCCACCTACTAGACATCTTTTTTATTATACCGAAGCAGCCTGCATATCGAGTGTAGTCATTAGCAACTGTGGATCGGATTAATCGTACAGGAAAAGAGGTGATATGTAAGAGGAACAATGTCAGAGGCAACATCGATCCGTGGAGAACATCCGCGTCGTCATTGTGGCATGAAGAGAACCCGTCAATTACGACGGATATCTTGCGGCTAGAGAGGAAGCCAGCCACCCTCTGCAAACCTTTTCTGGGAGGCCATGGGTGGAAGTTTGCATAACGGTGCCACAGCTGATCGACGCTTTCGTGATATCAAGAGCAACGGCATGAGCCTCACCATATGACCGGACGAGCTTACTCCACAGTTGCGTGACGTAAGCTAGGAGGTCCCCCGTGGATCGCTTGTGCGGGCAACCATACTGCCTGTCGCTAATCAAAACGTGAAAAGAGCACCCGTCTTACGGTATTAGGCCTGAAAGTTACTTCCCGCATAGTGTAGGGAACCTTTTGAATAGACGGTACTCGGGCGTTTGGGGGACATTCATGGTGGGGTTAGCAGCAAAGATCTTGGCAATCACTGCCACCTTAGCCTTGGAGTCGGTTACAATCGTTTTATCCTGGCACGTAAGCGGTGGAAGGCAATCTGTTTGGCCAGCGTACTGGTCTTTATCATGGCGAACCGCTTCGTTATATTTGTTTCTGGTCTCGACCTCGACAACAGCTTGTCTGTTCTCTACAGTAGCGTTTTGTAAAAAAAGTTCTTGATCTTCTACCCACGAAGAGAGTCGCACGATTTGTTGAACCAGCCGTTGGACCCTGGTTTAGTCACTTTCACTGTATGAGGGTTGTATTCCCCCATCTCAACCTGGATAATTTCAGTATACAACTTCTTCCCGTTCAAGTGATTGTACTCGCGCGTTAAGGAATGCTTCAGTACCGATTGTCGGGTGGCGGTACAAGTCCGTCAACGGGCCATTTTAGGTTTATTTAACATCATTCACAAGCAAAAAGAAGGTTAGGCAAGAACCAGTCGACCGAGGCGGCACCACCCGCTATCTTTTCCCAGGGTGTCTTAAGAATGTCCTCTCATTTCTTCTCTAAAATATTTTAGACGCCGAAATACAGTACATGGTTGGCTAGCTTCAGGTAGAATACGTTAATCAACAGTTTTTCCTATTCATACTCATTATGACAAAGGAACAATACACTGGTACGCTGTGTCTGAGATCCGGCCGTGTGATCTCCGTCTATATAGCTTGGCAGAATGAATGAGATTTATGTGGCGGGATCTTGGACACGTTCACAGTCAGGATGGCGACTGCTGTACAAACAGGGGTTAAGATTGATCAGGTTTTCACCGAGATGAAGATGGACATGTATTTTGGTTTGGTGTTCCATATCAAGGTGACATTCTGATGGGATTCCATATTTCTGAGCTTAGTGTTCAAGTTGACTTAATCCGATTGCCACCGCTCTACATGTAAATCTGGTTACTATAGCGTCGTTATCCTCTACGAAATAGTAGAAGTTTTGCTGGAATTGATTTAATAAAATGTGTTCAACTTGAATGGAACAGTTCTACCTGCCTTCCACAAGGCTGGCATTTAACACTGGTACTATTTAAGGTCGACGGAAAATACATAACACAAATAAATGGACTCAAAAACCTCGACATTTTTTCAAGTCACCAGAAAATCTCAAATGCTTGCGGATTAAATAAATCAAGCAGAGAGCAACAAGACAATAAGAAACTTTCTCATTTTGATATATATGCAATGGTTGCATGTCGCTTTGTAAGTAATCCATCTACAATTTCTTGTGCATGTGGCATGTACACACTGAACGTTCCAAACCATTTTAATAATATTTGAATGAAAGTAATTAGAAGTCTTAATAGTAGTTATGTCAAGCCAGGTCACTCGAAGTCCTATCGGACGGTCTTTTTGTGATATTATTAATAGATACATTAATTTGACGAAGAACCCACGAAACAATATCTACCTGACTAGATAACCTACACACGGTCTTCAAAATTATGTTGACCTTGACAATGACCTTGATGACGACCTTTAATGTTTTTTCAGGGTCAAGTGAAAGTTTTCGGTTAGAACTCCCCTTTTTCCTTCTGAATTGAAAAGAGGAGCAAATTTCACGTACGAAAATCAGTTGTTGATGACTTTAACCATTTACCTTCAAAGTCATTTCAAGGTCAAATCAAGAATCGAAAACAATTTGCTCGCCAGCACGGTTGTGAGGTTTGTGGGGATTGCTTAGTGACCTTGACCATGACCTTGGAGTATAAGACAAAATTTCCAAAGGATATCTCTCATTTCTATACTGCAAGGAGAACAAGCAGAAACTTTTACGATCGAATGTGACCTTAACCTCGTGTCAAGCGTAAATGTTATTTAAGGTCAAGGTCACAATCGGACGTATAATTACCTGCCTAAAGGCACCATTTTCAGTATAAAAATGAGCAGTTTTCTTTGAAAATCTTGACCTGATATTGGAGGTCATAGTCAAGGTCATCTTTGAGTGATCCCAACAAATCTCACAACCTTGCTGTCAAACATTTTTGATAGAGAAAATTGTTTTCGACGTCTTGATTTGACCCTGAAATTACCTTGAATAGGCTTGGCCATCGTAACGTTCGGACGTAAAATTTGCTTCTTTTTTCCAGTCCGAAAAATGGGGTTTATTTGAAAATATTCGCTTGACCTTGAAAGGACCTTGAAGGTCGTAGTCAAAGTCATTGCCAAGGTCACTATCACCTTGTCCCCTCGAAACCTTACAACTTTTGTTCAATTTTTTTTTCCTACAATGTGTAGGGATGGAGTTTAAAATGGAACACTGAGTATATTTGCATTCTCTACAGGGTGTTGTTAAAGTACCTGACGACACTTTCTAACTACCATTTTCTTAGTTACCTAAATGTGCAAATTTGCCCCCATTTAACCGACTCCGTATCTATTACCGTTTCCGAGATTCCAATGGTGAGGGTCGACTTTGAAACACCCGGTATATATACATATTTTTGGCATCTCAAGTAATAATTTTATAACATGTTTTGCATTCTGCCTGTAAGTAACTCCTTGAACTGAGTTCTATCATTACCAATTACTATTACTCATACAAATATATGCGGTAATATTTAATCCTATTATTGTTTTAAGGTGGAGAAAGACTTGAACTCTGGATCCCAAACAAGTTCACCTAGCAACCCCAAAGACCTTGATGTGATCGTGAATGAACTAGAGAGGGACATATCCAGTCAACTCCAAGGTGAAGTAAGCACCAAACCTATTTCCCCAAGAAACCCCCAGGAAATACAAGATTTGATAAAACGACTAGAAAATAGTTTGAACCTCAAACTCCAGGATATACGCAGCAACTCAAACCAGTATGGTAGCTCACACTCTATGTCCTTTTCTGGGAACTTGAATGAACAACAACTGCAGTACTTGAAAGAAGAAGTTCAAAACCATATTCAGAAGGAATTGGAGAAGAAATATGGACAAGGTTTCAGAGTCACTTCATTTTGGAGCAACAGCCAAAGCCAATCTGTATCAGATACAGGTTTAATGCAAAACACACACAGAGGTTTCAACAACATCAATTTTAATGATTTCACTAAAGAACAAGTTCAGACATGCCAAGAAGTAGAAGATAAACTATTAGAACAGCTGAAAGAAGCCATCAGACTGAACATCAATGTAGCTCAAAGTAGCAGTGATGATCAGATCCGTGAGTTACGAACACAACTTCATAAGAATATTACTAAGGAAATAGAAAGTTTTAGGCAAGGATCACACGGGTACCTGTACACCCTACCACAAATCAACAGGATTCAACTTCAGTTGGAAAGTGACCTGAATAAGGAATTTCAACAGGAAATCGATACGCAGAATCCATTGAATGTAGGGAGCTTACGAAGGAAAGAAGCTGTAGAAGAAAAACGCGAAGCAAGCACTCACAAAAAACAGGAAATACTTAGTTGGAATATGGAAGGATTCAGCACAAAACAAGCTCAGTTCTGTCAGTACCTTGAAGATACCATAACAAAGAAACTGAAGGATTCAGTCAAAACAAATTATATAAACTACCAAGGACTTAACAAGCCAGCTCCTGAAACTGTCTACAAGGAACTGCTGATTGAACTTCCTCAATCAATTGACAAAAGATTGAGTTCATTCAGCCAGTACTTCTTAGGCAAGTATATGTCTTTTAATCAAGAACGACTAGCAAAGATTAAAGAACAGCTCAATCATAACTTGAAAATCAAGTTACAAAGAGAATTATCTATCGAGGAGAAAGACTCAGAAGTATTTGAGCCATCAAGTGCCCCCTCGCAATTTTCTGGCAGAGACATAGAACCTATAGAGCAACATCCAGAGGTTGACTCTGATGCTATTCAGAAGATGGAAGGAAATCCATTTGGCAGCACACAAACTTTACAAGTAACAACACCTGATACATTGGTACAACAAACTGAAGAGATTGAACCTCTAAATAGCCAATCTGTTACACCCCAGGAACCCTTAGCTCGCGTTCCTATGTTCACTAACTCTAGACCTGTGGTACCAAGACCAGTGAGCAGTAATCAATTCCTTCAAACAGAAATTGATCTGCAACAAAGGGAAATTCAAAATCAGAGGGCGTTTGGAGGCGTGGACCAAAACCAGAGGTACCCAGGCAATATTGGGCAGCAACACGTTGTTACAGGTCAAGGAGAATTTGTGGTGCAACCTCAAACTAGAGAAGAAGCAGAACAGAATGCTGATCAGCTAATCGATTCGTTGAGGGCAGCTCAAAATAATAGACAGAATCCCTCTGGTGACCAAGATCGCCAGAGACAGTACTACAATGGTGGAACACATAGATCTTATGGATCTCATAACTACAGAAGTTCTTATGGCAGCCATCATACACATTTAAATCCATCTGGGGATGTTTATCAAAACGAAGTTCGAGAACCATTACCAACTATTTCTTCACAAACAGGACAAGGCTCATATGGCAACCAACTAAGCTATGGTCACCAACAGGAAGTAAATCACCAATTTGAAACTGCCAGCAACATTGAGCCAGTATACCCTGCAAGAGTAAATGAAGTTCAAACTGTAGATGAAACTTACAGGCCACAAACAGGAGTAAAAGGAGGCATACGAGGAGGGTACGGAGTTTATCAAAGCCCTTACTCTTCAACTCAATACACTAATTTATACAATGAACCAACACAAGATCCTCAGCTGACTGCCAGTGTAAATGCAGATGTAGAAGAAGTGGCACCAGTGAACCTTAATGCTGAAGAATTGTCTTGGTGGCAGAGATTCAGTAAGAAAGTGAAGCAAGGAGCAAAGAATTTGAAAGAGAAGATTGTTGGATGAATGTAACTTGAATTATTTATAAGAATTTAAAGTATGTTTTATTATAAGTTATTTGTATCTTATTTTTAATAGAAAAACACGTTTGAAATCAAGTGTTTTTTTTACTTTGCAAGAACTTAATATTAAATTGGAGAATAACCATTTCTATCAAATGTAGTACTATGTATCAGCAATTGCAACTCAATGACCATTCAACAATAGTAGTAGCAAATCTGAAGCTAACTATACAAATGTGCTATGACTGTAACTGCTTGTTAATGGAGTACCATTGACAATAGGTAATATAAATTTTGTATTATATAATACTGGGTGCTGTCAAACTGAGTTATATTTTTTTATGTAGTAACTTTTCTTTGAGATAGTAAGGATGAAGAAGCTCCATATTTTTTGTAACTGACCCTATAATGTAGCAGTAATTAGCAAGAAATATTCAATTTATAATTGATACATAGAGTGGTTTGTAATGTGGGAAAATGAAATATAAATATTGAAATCGAGAATATTTAAATAATTCTCCATTCAAAAGAAATAGGGATAACTATACTACAAATTAATTATCAAAAAAGACATAATTATATTTGCAAAAACATTTTTTTTGAGAAAGAATCAAAAGTAGCATTTCTATCCCTATAAGTTATTTGTATGCATTCTGTTAGAGCTAATATTGGGGATATTCAAAGTGATTTTATCAAAGACAATTTTGTTTAGATTATACATGCTATTATTAACATACCAACTGCAAGGTGATATAACATAACCACTTGAAGTATCACACTAAGTTACACAAGTGATAGTGATTCTAAAATGATTGTTCTGCAAAATCATAAACATAATGGAAAATAGTTTTATGGGCAATATCTTTGTACCTGACTAATGTCATGATTGATCAGTCAAGTTGTACCATAATTAATGAAAAGGCGCACGATACTCTAAGGTGGGCACTTCATGCCATTCTAGATACAAATATAAAATCATGCAGTGTCTACTCACCTCTGGCATGTTGAAGAAGAACCTCACAAATTCCTGTTGTTGATGAGGCTCTAAAACGAATTTACAAACATCAATTAAATATTAATTGATATTTATCATCATCAATTCGGTTTGTAAGAAATGGAGAGTTCTTACCTAAGTTTAGAGCTTTGAAATTTGTGGTCATTTTTTATATACTGCAACTGAAATCTTCTGAAGTACCAAATCTGTTGAAACTAAATGCAGATAGCAAGTAATAAAGCACAAAAATATATACAATAGTAGTAGAAAAGTATGTATTTTTGGTATGTGTATTTTGAGTATTATGTATACCGCAACGATAACCTTCTTTCTTTTTTTGTCTTTGATGAAATCCCGCCCTGTCAGTTTTGACATTTGTCATGACTTAAAGGTTAGATGAGTCATGTGATTGGAGAGGCTTGTGAAACTCCACCCATAAATCATCGTACATAGAACCTTCCGTGTTTCCCTTGTTAATTTTTACACATAAGCACATAAGTTTGACTGTTTGTCGCTTATGACATTTGTCTTCAGTCAACGCCAAAGTACTTATTTCTCCCTTCTAGAATTTTGCATTAAACAACTTAATTCCTCATTATTTTGAATTTAACAAATATTAATAACCTAGTGATAGACTAGCTACGTTCAAAATGTCCAAAAGAAGAATTGAGGTGTTGGACCCGTTTATTAAAAAGAAAAGGTAAGATATCCATGTTGAGCTCATGTGGTGGCGATACGTTATTTTGATTTTTGCAGGGAAGAGAAAGGCATTAGTACTGCTGTAACACAGGTAGCATCTGGCTCAATGAATCCCTATACTAGTCTACCGTATACCCAACGATACCATGAGTTGTTCAGAAAACGTATCGGACTCCCGGTGTTCGAATACCGTGCCGATTTCATGCGGATACTGAGCGAGCATCAGTGCATTGTGTTAGTAGGCGAGACAGGTTCAGGAAAGACAACACAGATCCCTCAATGGTGTGTTGAATATGCACGAACGGTGGGTTCCAAAGGGGTATGTTGTACTCAACCTAGAAGGGTAGCTGCTATGTCAGTCGCTCAGAGAGTTTCTGAAGAAATGGATGTTGCATTAGGACAAGAGGTTGGTTACAGTATAAGATTTGAGGATTGCTCTTCATCAAAAACAATTTTGAAGTAAGTACTGGCTTAAAGATTAATTTTAATACTCCTAAGATCTATACTTCTGAACAAATTTTGTGCAGTATAAAAGCCATTCATAATTGGTAGTGTCGGCAGTATTGTGCTGATCTGTTACTATCCAGTCACTAGTACTCTATTGGAGATGAAGTAACTGATTATAAAATTTGGTTACTTTTTACCTGTGATTATTGGTAATTGATTACTCAAATGTAATCATCTATGCCAGTATGCTTCATCTTGCTGTTCCCTCTGTGGGGCTTATTCAAACCTTGTACATGATTTCGGATTACTGGTATGGGAATGGGTAATGGGCTCTACACATATCTCAACCCCAAAACAAAATGGGTTGCATATATGTCTTATAAGCAGAATAATGCAGTTGAATGGGAAAATAAAATCCTAGTGATAATTAAAGCAATTAAGTGTTTTGCTACGCTAAAGTCTAATTGTTTTTTTTTTTTTATTATTTCAGATACATGACAGATGGTATGTTGCTGAGGGAAGGGATGAGTGATCCAATGCTTGAGGCATACCAGTGCATACTCCTTGATGAGGCCCATGAACGAACTTTGGCTACTGATATTCTAATGGGAGTATTAAAGGAAGTCATTAAACAAAGGAAAGATTTGAAATTGGTCATTATGAGTGCAACATTAGATGCTGGTAAATTCCAGCAATATTTTGATAATGCCCCATTAATGAATGTACCTGGCAGGACACATCCTGTTGAGATTTTCTATACACCTGAGCCTGAGAGGGATTATCTTGAAGCTGCTATCAGAACAGTGATACAGATACATATGTGTGAAGAAGTTTCAGGTACAAAAAATCTTATAGTTTATTATTATATTTTAAATAGGTACAGTTACCTAATTACCAGTTATCAAATACAGGCAAAGCTGCATTATAACAATGAGGTAGTTTGTTTTGATGGGTTGCTCATGAAATGAATGCATAACTTCAAAAATAGTACTTCTAAGTTGAAAAATAAAAATATTTTAATGTGTTAATCATAGTGCAACATGATTGATCTTTTCATACTTTGGCAGTAGATTATGAAATTTATTCTTTATTACTGCTATTGTGGTTTCATACAAAACTTCATTCGAAAATATGATGGTATACTCACTGGAAATTGTGTAAGTAATGTAATTCCAACTAGCCAAAAAAAGGTTGAAAATTTTCATTTAAAAGAAGTTAAACACCATATTTTGGATTCTTTCAGGTGATATTTTGTTATTTTTGACTGGTCAAGAAGAAATTGAAGTAGCTTGTAAGAGAATCAAAAGGGAAATTGATAATTTAGGTCCAGAAGTAGGAGAACTTAAATGCATTCCTTTGTATTCCACATTGCCTCCCAATCTACAACAACGAATTTTTGAAGATCCTCCACCAAATAAGCCCAATGGAGCAATTGGGAGAAAGGTAATTGATAAATACCTGTTACTAGATTGAGTCTTATAGGTTCATGCAATGTACATGGCATAAAACCTTATGAGTTGACAAGACAGTGTTAACAAACTGTTAAGTAGACCCAAAACCACAGCTTAAGATTTCATTGACTATGTGTTTAAACTGCAAGAATTAGGTATTTTTGTTATAATGTTTTATTGTGGAGAGATCAAACACATCACTAATTGTAATTTTTAGGTAGTGGTGTCGACAAATATTGCTGAAACATCACTGACAATAGATGGAGTAGTGTTTGTGATAGACCCTGGATTTGCGAAACAGAAAGTGTATAATCCCAGAATTAGGGTAGAATCTCTTCTTGTATCACCCATCAGCAAGGCCTCAGCACAGCAGAGAGCTGGTAGAGCTGGCAGGACGCGACCTGGAAAATGTTTTAGACTGTACACAGAGAAAGCATTTAAAAATGAGATGCAAGATAATACTTATCCAGAAATTTTAAGGTATGCAATAATCTGATAGTTTTCTAGTAACATTTTGCAGGCGAAGGAAGTGTGATTCAAAAAATTTAAAAATTTGAAATGACCGGCCTAATGTGTGGCTAAACAGCAGCTAAAAAAGAAGAAAACTATTAATTTGCTTATAACCTTCATGTTCATCTTTTTTGTCAATTTGAATGTATTCCTTGGAAGAGCTTTGTGCAAGATAATCAAATCTTCACTGCATGGGATGGTAACATCCATACATTTTATGATTTGTTGACACTCACTGTAAACTAACATCAAATTGAACAGTTCATTGATACTGTAGAAACATGGCATTTTCTGTTTTTTCAAATCTGATTTATAAACAACCAGCCCACCTTACCTTCACTGTGCATGGCAGCTGGGGTGGATACTAACGCACATTTTATCTCTTCTTGCTTTACTGGAGGCAGAGCTGAATTTGATATCACAGATTTTTTCGAAACCTAATTATTTTTACTTTGATGTATATGTCGGCGTCAAACGCTGAAATCCGTCATTCCCTGAAATGCCTAGTCAGTCCTTGTATTGCCAGCCAACACCGTAACAATTTCATTATTACAATGTTTGACTAAGCATTTTAGTCATTCCCTGTAATGACTGAACAATTTCAGTCAAACACTATAACAACCACATTAACTTCATAACTGCTTTTGCCTATTTTAGTCAAACGCTGTAATTAATACAGTGTCGCTCCAGTGAAGTACATAATATAACAAGGTACTACTTTATCAATAATATTAAAAGAAAAATAATCAAGCATGAATTCATCTAAAAGGAAAGAAGAATAGATTAAAATGTTGTCTTTATTATTACATTATTGTTTTTTTAACCAAGTGTTTATATACGAAATCCGGCAACAATGGATGCTGCTGTTGGGCAATCATACGTACGTTATAATTTAGGTTAGGTTCACAAAATTATGAAAATTGACTTACCTCCTTTAACTCATTTGTATTTAATGTATTCACTGTCGTAGTTTCTTGTAAAACAATTCTGAATGCTGCGACATCTTTACAAACACAGAAAAGACGATGCGTGTACTCAAGTAAATGATCACAAAACTGGTACAATGAATGACTGAATCAGGCAAATGGAGTAACGAAGTTAATGTGGTTGTTACAAGTTAATGTGGTTGTTACAGTGTTTGACTGAAATTGTTCCGTCATTACAGGGAATAACTGAAATGCTTAGTCAAACGTTGTAATAATCAAATTGTTACGGTGTTTGCTGGCAATATGGGAACTGACTAGGCATTTCAGGAAATGACGGATTTCAGCGTTTAACGCCGACATATATATTAGGATGAAAACAAATTCCACGACCTGCCTTGGTAGGTCACATGTCAATACAGGCTCAATTAATTTTCCTGGTGAGTACCTATGGTGGTATGAGGCTTTGTATTCTGGGATCCTAGCTCGATTGATTCGAACTGGAGACGCACACATAGCTTGAAGGTTTGTCAAAAATGTTAATTTAATTAATAAAAAAAGGTTAAAATTCAATTTTTTTCCGAATGTTGAAACTTTGAATGCGTCCCCAGAGAGAACTGATCGACCTAGGAGTTTGGGATTTTACAAAGTCGCATACGTTCATAGGTTCTCTTCAGAAAATAAATTTGAACCCGACATGAGACCTGCCCTCCAGTATCATTAAAATAGCCGATTTTGGTCCAAAATACCGATTAATTTGAAGGTCCGAGTACAAAATTCTATGTATATAGGCGGTTCTCTCCTTTACACAAAAATTAATATAGCAGATTTTTCGTTTCGGAAAGCATTCAAGCTGTCAGCCCAATAAACCAGTGAAATATTTCGGAAAAATCACTTGACTGGAACATCTGCTGAACAAACTGTCATATCGGAATTTGGAGATCATTTTTGTATTCCTTGGACAATTTCACTTCGGAATAGGTATATCGTGAAGTATAATGCTCTAAAAGGACGGCAGTAGTGAGAACATGGAAAAGTTGCCAAAACGTTAGAATTAAAATTTTTGCTGAACCTTCAAACTTTGAGCGCGTTAGGTTTGACCCAGTCATGGACAAAAGTATATAGACAGATATGAATATTTACATAAATACCTTTAGAAAACGAATTCATACTTCATTGCTCCATAAACAAATGCGTTATTAATAATAATAATCTATATTCCAAATTGTACAATGACATTACAACAATTGTATAGCCACTACAAAATGAAATGTTGCGTCACTATTACCATAACTATAGTAATTTACCCGAGACCTTTTTGTGTTACATGGTTATTTATCTTAAAAGAGCTACAATCTTAAACTATTACAACTCCCATGAAACTTATCTATTGTATAAGGCTCTGACTAAACTAAAAATTGCTTAATAGTCTTTTTAGATTTATGTAAACTGTTTAATTTCATTTGGTAGATTGTTAAAAAATGTTAAACACATGTAAATAGGGCTTTTTTCTGTGGAGGTTAATCTGTGTATCGGATAAGTAACATAGAGTGTTCGAGTATCATAAACAGTTTGCACCTCAAGCTCAAATAAATTTTTATTTTTGAAAAAAAATATAAGACACTCATACACATAGATGGCATACATAGTCATGATTTTTTCAGTTTTAAACACCCCCCTACAAGTTTCATTAAAGTTTAGTCCCTTTAGCAGATGTACTGCTCTTTTTTGAACCACAAAAATTTTTTGAATAAACCTATTGCGTCCCCAAAAAATAATCCCATACTTTAGAACACTTTCAATTTTCATACTCGTATTATTTAGTTATCTTGATATTACCCTAAAACCATAGCAAATGGAATTGAGCCTCTTCAGCAGTTCGAATACATGTGTTGTCCAATCTAAAAATTCATCAATATAGATGCCTGAGAATTTTACACTTTCACTCAACTGCAGTTGATGATCATCTATATCGATACATTGAGGCTTAACGACTTTACTCTGCTTAATTCTAAATAATGTTGCATCAGTTTTGGATTTATTCAGCAAAAGTTTGTTCTCAGAAAACCCTGTATTCACACTTCTGAATAAGAGATTCTCATTAGCAGTTAGGTCCTCTACACTTGTCCCACCCAACACTAAATTTGTGTCATCAGCATAGCAGATAATTTTATGCTTGCTCTGATCACCACTAGTAACAAAACACAGATCGTTTAAAAAAACTACAAACAAAATGGGCCCAAGTATACTACCCTATGCTATGCCGGTTGAAGTCAACTCAATGTTTGACTTGTAAGTTTGACCTCCTTTAACAATTTCAACCCTTTGTAGCTTTAATAACAATATGTCTCTGTTGATGCAATCATAAGCTTTGGACAAGTCCAGGTAGAAACCAACCGCTAAGTTTCCCTCCTCTAATTGCTTAAGTACTGTTTCAACAAATTGAAAGATTGCAGTATCTGTTGATCTCCCATGTAGGTAACCATGCTGATGTGTACTAAATAAATTACAGTCATTCATAAATTCTAATAATCTCTTACTGATGCCTAACTCAAATAATTTTGAAAAACCTGTTAAAATATTGATTAGCCTATAATTTTCTAATAGCTCTGGATTACCTTTTTAAAAATTGGTTTTATAACAGCTATTTTCAAATTCTCTGGGAATGATCCTTGTCGAACAGCATTATTAATAAGTAAGCACAAGACATGTTTTAAAACTGGAATGGAAAGTTTTACTATTGTTGTTGGAACTTCATCTATAGCTGAATTTATTTTTTATCCACCTTCACACACTACATCAACAGTCATTGGTCTTAAGTATATTGATTGGTCGTTTTCTTGTAAATTGCAGTCAAAAGGTACCTGTGTCACATCTTTCAGTAAAAGCGGAATTGCTGATAACATATATTCATTGTACTGCGGTGGTATCAGATTTGGATCTCCTTTGAATGTCTTTATGATTGTTTTGACCTGTGATTTCATGACATATCACCCACATAGATTTACTTTTATTGTCCGAATTTCTGATTTTCTGATCCTATCTTTCTGATTTGGCCTTCTGCAACAAATAGTCATATTCTTTTTTTGTGTTCTTGTACATTTCCTTATAATCACCATCTACTCTACATAGGGTCAACAGAATATCCGTCTATTTTTGCACTCTGTAATCACATCATTACACTCATGTTTCCTCACATGACTCTTCTCACTAAATCGTTTCAAAGGAAAACAGTGATTATATACCTATGAAATTATTCATGAATATAATCCATTGCTCATTTACATTTCCAATATCCTGCACCAGCTCAATCCAAACATCATTTTTTATACATTCAAGAAAGTATTGTTTGTTGAGTCTTACAATAGTTATTCACTGTGTAAAGAGAAGTCCCAACTTTAAGAACTCTCCGTATTTTCTTGGCGACTCATGGCATACATAAATGTCACACAAATAGTAATTTCCGTCTGACTATCGTCTGTGCAATATACTTGCTGCCCTCGTCTGATATCTGCCACAAAGGCAGAAAATACAAGTATGCTGAACCAACCGCAAAAGCATAAAAATTGCCCAGTGAGTCGATATGTCATACGCCTGACACTTTAAATGCGTTTTAATATGTTTTTAAAGCCGACTAATAGCAATGGAATTCAACCTATTTCAAGGTCAAACCTTGGTTCGGTGGTGCTGCAACTGAAAAAACTGGGTATTGACGACTTGGTGCACTTCGACTTCATGGACCCACCGGCACCCGAGACATTGATGCGTGCCCTGGAGTTGCTCAACTATCTGGCGGCATTGGACGACGACGGCAACTTGACAGACCTCGGGGCCGTTATGGCCGAGTTCCCGCTCGATCCGCAGCTGGCCAAGATGCTCATCGCCAGCTGTAATCACAACTGCTCTAATGAGATACTCTCCATCACTGCCATGCTGTCAGGTATTTATATCTGCAGAGTGCGATGGGCAGAATGATTGCATTTTTTTTTAATATTGGTCATCTGTAGTAGGATGGTTGTCAGTGTAGTCGGTGGAATTTTGATAGCATGGTGACTACTTTTTGTGTCTGCGGGTTTTGTACTACGTGAGTCACGAAAACAAATCCTAAATATCTGAGCCCCGATAGCGCTATGCAGAATTTGAGAGACCTTGTTCATATAATTTTCAAACTGGCTGGAGACTGAAACTGGGGAAAGTGTTTCTTAATGATGTGCTAAGAAATCCTCAAATAATTTATGAAGAATATTTTATGTAATGTGCGCCTAAAATCAAAAGTACTTTAGCTATTATTTTTATCTTTAGCATTTTATAGGAGGATGTAAAATGACATACTCTAGTTTAAAAAGTTATAGTATTTTGCCATTAATAGCGTCACTACAAACATGTACGATATTTTTTTCTCAGAAAATTGGTACGCCACTTGATATTTTTCAGAGTGAATATTTTTACTAGTAAGCTTGATCATTTTATTAAATATATAATAGTGTGGGGACAATGCCCGATAAAACTATCCATATTATATAACAAAAAGTTATGATTAAACATTACAAAACAGAAAAAAATTTACTGTCACAGTGCTAACCTCAGTTTGTGCGTGCAACATGCACACATTTAGTCTTAGAGAGCCGCTGGGTGCTACCTCCACGTTCGACAGTCCGAAACCGTCTTCCAGGCAATCACAACGTCCATAGCCAAGAGAAAAGTTTTCTTGGAACGGGATTCTAACCCGCGCACCTCACGGCGTCTGATTTATAGAAACGTAGCGACTACAACTACGCCACCGTGTTGCGTATACTAAATGTACAAAAAATTGATCAGATTCTTCAATTCACGAAATATCTTCATATTCACAGAAGACGAATGTCTATGCTCTTGGTTGTTTCACACTTCAATAACTACAGCTCTTATGTTGTAACCGCATCTGACTAGCTATATTCAATAAATTGTATTGCATTGTTGTCGCAATTGCTACATCGCATCGCCGGGATGTCATTGACGACTTCTCCTCATGTGCTAAAGTACCAAATTCGTCACGTGGCTGTCCCCCTGGCAGCGACGCACTTGTACGTATAAAAAATATTTATATCATTCGCCTATATATTTGAAATATGCCTAATAGACTAGACAAAAAATTGAAATACACCCCCACCCCCCATTTTTTTTAATTATCTGAAGTCTGAAATATCAAAAATTAATTTTCAGCGATTTTTATTTTTTAACTTTTTGCCTCAATCTCCTCCGCCACTGGACCGATTTTCAAAAACTAGCTAAGCTTTTTCGTCCTTGGCATAGTAGGAACTTTGTGTAAAAATTTCACCAAAATCCAAACAGTACTTTCCAAGTTATATAAGGGTTAAGGATTAACGGACAGGCAGACAGGCCGACAGAAATGGTGTGTCATAATTTTTGGCGATGTAGATGTCATATAACATCCAAAAAAACATATCTCATTTTCGATTTATTGGCGAATACAATACTTCCCAGCCAGTGGCGTGGGAAGTAAAATATCAGTGGTGTATCATTTTTTTGTAGAAGATATTACAAGGCGCATTTTGAAGCTGCAAGATTCTAGTTTTCACTTTTTTAGCCGAAACATTTTAGCGACAATGGTTGTCATGTAATTCTAACAGATAGCACAAGAAACATTTTTTACAAAACTTTTGTCTTCTTCATTTTAGTCCACGGGCTTGAAAACAATCTTATAGGGGGTTTATTCCAGTGTCCGGAAATAAAAGGATTCTTTTTCATTCAAAGTCAGATATCTCCGCGCCAATTGATCGTATCGGGATTTTAAAAGCAGGATATTGAAGCAATATGAAAGGCTTGTTACTTGCAATCTGACTATTAATATCTACCACATCCAATACAGCGACGATCCTACTACACAATATTGGCCATAAGTATTACTCACCCTGGGTATTTTTTTGTATGTGACAAAACATATTGCATATTGTTTAAATATGTCAGCTCAATAGTACAGTTCATTGATTAGTAACTTGTAGAATAAATATTAAACAATTCCAACAGTGAACCTGTATAAAGCAAAACATTTTCTATAAAAAAAATAACGATTCTTATTGAAACATGCATAATTCCTGTAAAGTAGAAAAGCAGCGAACCGTTCTTAGAGACCATTGTACTATTGAATTGCAAACGTAGTAAGGCCTAAACATTCCGTTTTCTCTTTGAGCAAATGGTGAGTAATGCTTTTTAGCAGACGTTTGCTGACTTCATTTTTCAGGAAAGCAAGGATTGATCACAAACTTCCTTTACTGATTTTTCGTCATTACAGTCGCTCTTATCTTCTTTGAAGCATCCAATCCAACATATATTATATTCAAAGACAGACAAGTAGTCTTCCGAAAACTTAGATGAAAAATAAAGGGCATTCGGGGGCATGTCTACAATAAAGGAACAGGAGATGAAATAGAAGGGTTGGTAACGCGAGCGGCGTACGTTTCTGCTTATTGGCTTGATCAGGCCCAATTGGATGTGGATCAAAAACGCCAAAGTGATAACATGTGCCACAACATCTGCACACGGGTGTTACCTGATGAAAAACAAGGATGTAAAGGGAAACACAACTAGAAGCCACCAACTAGAGTCAGCAGGCTGATGTTTGGCTTCAGTTAGAAGACCTGTTGTTTACGAGGTTTCAACTAACTACGTACGTTGCTCGAGTTACCAATCCTTCTATTTCTGCTCCTATCCCTTTATTGCGGACATGCTCACGATTGTCCTTTGTTTTTCACATATTATATTAATTATCTTGTGAACTGTCAATCGGAAGTTCTATCATAATTTCATTTCCAGAATTCAGTTTGAATTTACATATTTGTGGTTGTGAATGCAAGATGAATGAATCAGCTTATAGTAACTTACGTTAAAAATAAGCTTATAAATTGTAACTATACACTCGGAAAATGTCATGTTGTTCTAACAGCTTTCCACCATTTAATCCAATGAAATTCATGAAGTCCGGTAATTCTATAATAATGTTGTTGCTGATTTTATATAATTTCTCAATGTCGATATTTTTTTCTGCATCACAAACTATACTAACTTTAGTAGCCTTATCAAGCCGATTATCAGTTTCTCTTAAATTGCCTGGTCATAAAGGCAGTTTGATAAACCATATACATAAAATAAAAATATCAAAAAATCGACGCTACCTACACATACAAAACAGAACGTCCGGACAAGCAAGCGTAACGTCAAGCCGTTCAGGTCGATTCAAGTTACTAACTTATCTCTACGAGGGCAATTCTGGAGGTCATACTTGAACGCAATACTCCTTTCTACGTTTTTTTTTTAATTTATACTGTTGGCAGTAATCAATCTGGTGAAACTCGAGATCGATTTCGAAACTCTTTACACCAAACACTGACGAAAATTTATTTTCACACACATGCTTTCACTGGAAAATTTTCTAACGGAATATATGAAGTACACATAGAAAAATATTTATTATAAAAGAACAATCGCGTCAGAAACTATTTCGGTACAAAAACAAGAAAATATTAATACAAAACACTCTCTTCTTAATACGACTCCCTCTACAGACCTGTCAAATTTGTGTTTGCTTCAAGATATGTGGAATTTTGAATATCACTAGATATTGTTGCAGTTATTGTTTGTTGCCACGTTTTGCCGTGATTAAGTATTCTTGAGCACTGTAATAATGGAAACAATTTTGCAACAACTGCCAACCAATAAGGAAGCTTTTTTTATGCTTATTGTAAATACCATATATCTATTTTCAGCAAAATACTATATCATATCATTCAATTGACCACTTTACAATCGTACAACCTACGCACCATTTTATAGAGTTCATATACTCTTACATGAATTTTCATCACAGTTGAAAATCCGTCAAGTCTTCTTCACTTTTTTCCTGCTTTTTATAAAGCGAATAGTTCGGGGAGCATCTGAGAAAAGAAGTTCCTTGAGAGGTTATAGAAACGCCTCCCAATTTTTATTGGTTATTTTGCTTCCTCGTTTTCGAAAACTGGCCTCCTGGACCTCTGTTATTGAAAACGAGAGAGTAGAATCACCGAGGAAAAGTTGGCGTGGTTCTCTTCCTTGGGGAATGATATGAAATAATGCGTTCCTGGGTTATTCATAGAATTAAATGCTCCATTACAAAGAGAACAGTAGTTCCAACAGACAGCTTGCCGTTTCCACTTTCCGTGGTCGATTCTGGTAATAGGTGGCATTTTTGCTGTCTTATTCCGATCAACTTTTCAAGGAATCTATCGCTGCGGTTCTACGTGGGACACCCTATATATCCTACTTTGCAAATAAACAAAATGTCCGCGGTCGCAAAATAGTTTCCCGCAATATTGAAAAACTTGAATCGCACCCTGTTGGCTGGACGTGTTGCCGCTTGCTGCCCTGTCCGTTCTGACTAAGGGTAGCTCTGTAGGAAACTCGATTTGCTCGGTGGCGCAACTATATCGGTTGGATACGGGCGCGTGACGCCCCGCTCCAATGTTTAGTCCCGCAGTGTTTCGTCAGACCCAATGAAGCGAAGAAGGCCGCCGACGACGCCAAGATGAGGTTCGCGCACATAGACGGCGACCACCTGACGCTACTCAACGTCTATCACGCATTCAAACAGAGTAAGTACCACTTATGCAAAGGTTTACCCAGTACTCGGCATATTCTACCAAGTACCGGGATTCGCCGTGTATTTACTCGGTTTAAACGCAACACACACAACTTGTGTAAATCAAAGGATTGTAGATGCGATGTGCAAAGTCTGAGCTCATATGCCTTTCCCAAGCTTTGATATATTCTCCAAGAAATTATTCGTTAATGGAGCAGATGCCATAGCAGTTCATTCTGAGACTATATTGTGATATTGTCTTTTTGGTTTTATGATTTACTCGTATCTTTCATTTGAGAACTCAAAAAACAACAGAAACCACAAATTAAATTAAATAAAATGCAGCAAAAGTAGAAACGTAACGTGGAGCAGCAGCAGTTTTAATTTGTTTATTTTGTAACCACCTCCCAAAGGACCGCTTATTTTTTGAATTCAGCGTTCCTGATGGCCTTGACAGGGCATCGATTCTATTGTCATTTTTCGAAATTTGAATAACTTGGGAGCCTCGCGTTGACTACCTTGAGTAAACATCTAGGTTTAAGGGTCGTGTATATATATATATATATATATATAACTCAAATATCTTTCTTCAACGAAAACGTTTTTAAAAAGATTTATTTTTGAGAAAGACCAAATACAATGATGTTAATTGAATGAGTTCTGAATCGAGACTGACTGCAAAGTTCATTATACAAACCAAAGTAAAGAACAAATGAAATACAATACTGTAACTGATAAGAAAGGAACGTGGAGGCAAAAGTCCTTGTTCAGCATATTCTTCTCTGTAGACTGGTACATAACTCCTCCACCCCTAGAATGAAGCTTCCCCTGGAAGGTGAATTTCTTTCTTCTTATATCTTGAACTGGAATCTTCTCTTCTAGTGCGTTTTGTGGGACTTGGACCTTCTTCTTTCATCTCGGCTAATTCAATGTCGATTTCTAACTTGGATGCTTTCTTGTTTCTCCATCTTCTATATAAAATTATGCAGCAGATGCTTGAAAATACGAGATATAGTAATATGGTCCAAATACTGGGTTTTCCAAAATTTTCTATGGAATTTTCTTCTAAAATTGGTAACATTCGATTAACTTGTAATTCTGGTAAATTTAACGTTTTCAGAGTAATTTGTGTCTCTGGGATATTTTGTTTCATAAAATGGAAATCCATTTTGTCAGCTACGAGGGGCTTTCCATAGGTTTTGTCTTGAAAGATAATTTCATTATCTTGGAATGATATTTGGCATTCACTGGCTTTGACTAAGAAAATGCCAAGTAATGACTTTGTATCGATTTGCTCCTTGCATTTAATTTTCAATTTTTCTTCGGTGAGAAATACAGCTAAATACTGGTTAATTTCCGGAATAAATTCGATGTGATTTTCTTCAATCTGAAGCTTCGTGTATCTACATGGCTCTGTATGATCTTCTGTAATTATTGACTTCTCGCATTGGGCTTTGTGATTAGCTAATATACGATTAGAGCATTGATAGATTCTACCTTGGGTACAAATCTCGTGCAGGGGTTTGATCTCATTTCGATCAGATTTTAGCAAATACTTATAATTTGGGATAATAGTGACGAATTCTGATTTGTGCATCAGAGTCGGTATAGGTAACATATAATAAAGATCGAAATGTTCAGGATAATCTATAGGAATAGATAGAAAATAACTTATTTGATTCTCATCGATTTTACAACTGATAGAAATAATAGATTCATAATCTAGCATATTTTCATACTTTACTTCAAATGGTAATTCATTTTTATAAAATGTGGATATCTTACGGAGTTCTTGAAATAATTCTCTAGTCCTTATTATACTGGGATGCATGGTTTTCAATTTGCAAAAAGTTATCGAATTTTCGATATCTTGTAAAATATTCAATATGGCATTATAAAGGATAATTAATTGATTGATAATGTCCTTCGCTGAAAGAATATCCTGGTTTGTTGTCTGGTTCAATAAAATATGTTTCAATTCTAAAATGTTATTTCTTAATGTCATCTCATTGTGCTGTATGTCTTGAATAGTCCCGTTAAATTTTGCGACAAGTTCATTGTTTACTGAATATTGCATTCTCAGCTGATTTTGAATATGATGCTGATTTTCTTGTAAATGAGATAAAATTTTATCAATACGTTCTCCATCGTCGGAGTCTAAATTTCCTGTTATTGTTTTTACTACATAGTCTATGCCATTAAAAAGTCCTCTCTTATTGCGAGTCTTTTGAGAATGAGATTTAATGTATTCGGTTTTCTCTTGAATCAAGCTCCTTATATGAGATACTATCTTACTATAATTTTCTAGCTCGTTATTAATCTTAGAATGGTTTCTATAACTATAGTTAAGATTACTGTATTGAATATTCAAATCTTCATATTCCTTATATAAAGGTGATAGATCATAATAGTGCACAAAAGTATGTTTTGTCTTTTGTAGCCTAGCTGTGCCTAAATTTACTGGCAAAATTCCTAAATTGTTCGTTATGTTTCTTATTTCTGCTCCGCATCCGAAATAGATGAGGTATCTGAAATATTAGTAAATTTAAATTGATAAGTTTTCTTCCTGGGCCTTTTAATATTGGATAAATGGATATTTTTGGAAGTATTGGCATGTGTGGGATCTATCTCCGCTCTTTTTAATTTCTTATCTATACTAATTAATTTTTCTTGCTTATACTTATTTTTAGTTTTCTGTTGCTTCTGCTTATTCTTAACATATACCTTGTT